AGCGTAAATGTATTACAGTAGTTATATTCTTGCTTTTGGTTGGTTTTAAGCACTTTGTGTGTCTTGTAAAGTGCTAGTCAAAAGTATTCATAGTATTCATTATTATGTAGTATTAGCATGGACCTGTTTATACTGCCTTGGAGCTTTTTGATCTCAAGAATTTAAATTAATGTGAAAATTACAAAAAATGTTTAATTACTTTTACCATATAAATTGAGAAGATTTCTGCTGTATCATTCCCTGTGTTTTAAATCAAGCATCACTAGTCCTCCTCTCACGTGCCATTGTCTGTGAAGACATTAAGTGTACCAGGCTGTATCAGCATGGGGAAAATGCTAATGTAACCGACTCAAGTCACATAGCAATTACTTGTACTATGCTGCCCCCTGGTGGAAGGTTGTATAAGAAACACTACTACGTCTCCTTATTCATTTTTACATGCCTCTGCAGAGATAATTCTGTTATTAATAAGAAGTTGCTAGAGTATTAAGTACAAGAAATATTGTTTTAAAGTTTTATGGATTTTCCAGAAATGACCTCATGCATTTGGTTATTGTGTGTCAAGGGTCTAAATTACACTCAAAAAAATGGAAAAAGGCTTATAGACTGCAGCTTATGCCACATTTAAAAGATTAGAGAACAAATTCTGAACACTTTTTGGTTGAGGTGCCACTGATTTAGCTGTCAAGTGTCTTCTGATCTGCTTGTGTTTGGCTGGCAGAACCTCACAAACCTTAGCAACAGTGTCATTGTGATGAATACCAGACTAACAGCACTTCAGACGGGATCTGGTCCAGTCACACATACATATACACACACACACACACACACAAATTCACGCAGGCACACACTCTCACACACACACGCACTCAAACACACACACACTTACACACACCTTCAGGGCAGCGACACACTGCAGTATCAAGATTGGCCCAGCTCCCTCTTTCCTACTCAAGGAATTATCATAAGCAACAGCAACTGCCACTTCTTTCAATGAGCCTGAGCAGCACAGGGACAGTTTATCGTTGCAGAAAGTAATTTAGGTATGTCACAGCTATTGAAGGATTGCAACAAGTTCATCTCTCCCTAAAAAAAACTCTCATAGCCCAGATACTCCCTTTAAGACTGATCATGTATTTAATATAGAACTATAATAAAATCCTTGGTGTATAAAGACAGCCTGGACATGCACTCAGTCACCAATATATATGTACAATGAATAAAAAACATCTTGCTATGACTATTTACGGATATGTATAGATGGTTTGTGCATGTTTAGTTCTCTGGACTCTACATTTTAGACTAGGGTTGTCGAAAAAGTCATTAACAAGTTCTTAAGACTCATGTGAACAGATATTGATCCTGTAATAATGAAATAAACAGCACTAATAGGACTCATTTTGTGTAATTTCTTGATCAGAACTAGTAAAATACAATGATACTCAAACAGAAAATGACATTCCATTGATAAATTCATGTGGTATTAAAATGTGCTATACTGTGGGACAATTCCAGGTAACACTATAACATTTCCATGGATACAAGCTGGTGGTAAAAAGTTACATAGTTCACCTTTAAAGGGCCTATATGATGTTATTTTCTGATCTATGTTATGTTTTTTCTCATCACAAACATACGTGAAGTTGTGTTTTGTTTTATTCGCACATGTTTAACACACAAACCCTGCGTATTTGACATTTTGAGCATTGGAGATGTAGACAGACTAATAATAAAGGATTACTAAAACACATGTGAATGAAACAAAACTCAACTCCAGGTCTGTTTTTGAGGAGGTAACAGCATTTTAACATCAATTAAAGCTCAATTTTGTGTAATATAGGGCCTTTAATTACAACGTTATTAGCTGTTTAACTGAAACAATATTAAACAGCGGCATTTAAACTGTACATTCTTCTAAGTTCTGTTAATGGAAGTGGCGTGTATTATCTTTCAGTGTTTCGCAGTGCGTTCTTTGGGCTGGGTGGAGATGGCGGAGGAAGACTTGGCTCCGGGGAAGAGCAGTGTGGCTGTTAACAACTGCATCAGACAGCTGTCCTACTGCAAAAACGACATCCGGGACACTGTGGGCATCTGGGGAGAGGTGAGGAGGAGAATGGACACAAATAAGCGCGTGTCTTTTGCAGATCTAAAATGAAAATCCAAAAAGCACAGAGAAACAGAGATGTGTATTATAAGCAGCATTGTTGGGGAAATGGAAAATGTGATGTCAGGAGATACAACTAAGAGGGGGAATAGACAAGAGCAATTCAAAAGTGGTGCTACAGCGTTACCTTTAACTTTGCAGAGCTTGAGTTTTATGAGAAGTGACAGTGCACAGACAGCAAGTTCATCTCTCCCTAAAAAACCTCTCATCGCCTAGATACCCCCTTTTAGACTGATCATTTATTTAGAGACAGCCTGGAAATGCGCTCAGTCACCAATATATGTGTAAAATGAATGAAAAATATCTTGCAATGGCCATTTACATCTTTTTTAAAAGCAGATCTTTTACATAAATTGAACTTTTCAGAGCTTTTAATCATGTTATAGTTTAATTTACCCTCTTGAAATTATATCTGGAGTGATTTGTGCATGTGAGCAATCTTTAATTGCTTGTTTTCAAGACTCCATTTTGCCAATCAGTCCCTGTTTTCACTCCCACCGGTATACTCCCTCTTACTTCTTTCTCCAATTTTGTTTTCTTAATTGGCGATGCACGTAGGATTCAGCAGTGTTGCATAGTCATTTTGGTACAAATGAAAAAAAATCCTCTTCTCGCTAGGGTGATGTGCAGCTATCTATAAGAGTTGCTAACTTTTGTTGTGATGTCATTAACAGAGACGTTAGCATCGCTGTTTTCTATTTCGACTTATAATGTAAAGAGTGTGATAGGTTATAACTATATAGCAGGCTCAAGCACAATTCTTTAATGCAGAAAGGTGTTCTGAAGGATTTCTTTGTTTTTATGTCTCCAGGGGAAGGACATGTACCTGGTGTTGGAGAACAATATGCTGAACCTGGTTGACCCCATGGACCGCAGTGTGCTTCACTCGCAGCCAATCGCAAGCATCCGTGTCTGGGGCGTAGGTCGAGACAATGGAAGGTTAGTTTTTGTTTATAGATCTTATTTTATGTTTTTTGTGTTTTGAACCCAAGTTGCTGTAAATAGTTTTTTGTTTTGTTTAATTGGTATGCTGCTTGAGGCTTGCACGCTGTCAGTTAAAGGTAAAAGGTATCATCTGAAGGTAGCAGACAGGTGGAGGGCTGACAGACAGTGGAGTGCAGTTAATGATTGATGATCAGGGGGGTTGCTAATGAAAGATTAACTCATGTGCACCAAAGCGCACAACAGAGGAGGAGGAGAGAGAATGGCCTATACTCTAACAGGGCAAATCCCCTCTTGATTGACTGTTCCCAGCTTTCACTCCAGCTAAGCCCCTAAGTTACTTCAGTTTGTTGTCCGCCAATGCTTATATATTATTTATTATTTGTATTGTGAAGGGTGATCTTTCATCTGTAGCACTTGTAATATTGAGTTGTTCACCCCACAAGCACTTTTGAAAGTAGAGTTTGTGCAGCAGTTCCTTAGGTAGTTTTGTCACGATAATTACTACTGCAACAGTAGTAACAGGAACAATATATTTTTGGGCTCAGTATTTATCGCCAGTACATTTCCTTTGCAATAATGTGGAGATTTTAGTTATTTTAGTTTTAATATGACAACATTTGAGATGTAGAGGGTTGAATAAGTAACTTCTATGGCTAATTATTGATTCATTGTATTATTTTTGTTTTACTCTGTTTACTCAAAACGTGGGATTGTCTTGCTTATTCTTATTGTGTCAGTGGCATAAAATGGTTCCAGGATTATCGTTTATCGCACTATAGCTGTGTAGCAATATATCGTGCTTAAAATTTTGTTATTGTGACAGGTCTATCCACAAGAAACAAGTCTTTGAGAAGATGTCTAGTGGTTCATGATGCGATAGCATCATTTCTATACCTATAGACTCATACATACAGAAACAATTGCTCGTCATTATGGAGATTAAAAAAATCAAATTATGACAGTCTGGTTTTTTTTAGGTGATTTCATATTGTGATTCAGTGTTTTTTCCATTTAATCCAGGTGTCTGCCCAAACTTTTACCCACCCACACCTCCTGGGGCTGATATTTATTTGTGGAGGATAAAAAAAAAATCAAGATACGAACTGCATGAATCGAGATTTTAAAATCGGGCTCTTGGCTCTATGAAATCACGATGGAAATTTTTTTGGCATATCGCCCATCCCTTATAGACACCATGAGTATTAAAACTAAAAACTATATTCAGTACATAATAGCTGATATTCATGTTTCTGTTTTGAAGGGCTTTTTGAGGACATTTACCTGTTTAAAAGATATGATTTAGATTTAAAATACAAAGTATAGATTGAAAGTTTGAAACCCATGCGCCTTTCTCTGTTCGGTTTATGTCTTTTGCTAACATGCATAAAAGCAGATACCAGTTTATAGAAACAGGGTGTTGTGTGGCCTATTGTCCACAAATACAATGTAGTAGTGCCCCCATTACGTGACCACATGATGGCGCTATGTCATTTTCCTGTGAGAATGTAGCCTATTAAACATACAGCTGTGAAATGTTGACTGTAGAGGTTGATGGCTGCTGTATAATTCGGACTGTCACAGACTCTGCATGCGCACACACACACACAAACACACACACACACACAGACACACACACCACTGCCTTGCAAGGACATATCCACTCTGAATAGGAGAAGCACTAATAGCTACTGGCACTTTTGAAGCTGTGTGGTTCATGTGGGACTCTTTTTCTTTTGAACATACACACACGTGCCACCATGGTAAGATAAAAGAGGCACATATTAAACCTTTATTGATGCTGCCCACAGAGAGCGTAGTCAGAACAGTGAAATAGTTGAGCCGCAGCAGAGGGAGGAGGATGTGATGGTCGGAGGGAGGAGAGGAGGGGGATTTTGGCAGGAGAGAGGCAGATAGAAAGAGGGGGAGGTATGCTTAGTGTTCGCTGGGTGTGGAGCGGACAGGTTGAGGAGTCTGCCTGCATGCTGCATCCCCCCAAAAATAGATGCGGTGAGTGTGAGGTGCATAGGACTGACTGCCAAGAGACAAACAAAGCTCAGTGAGTATCGTACTTTGTTGTTTATCAGACATTTGGCTTGGCACATTTTGGAGTGTAAAGAAAATGTGTTTTTTGTATATTGATTGCCACTGATGTTGTGTTTGCATCCTACTTAAAGATCTTATATTATGCAAAATGTACTTTCGGGAGTGTTTAGTCCAGTTAGAATAGTGTTACCTCAAATCTCAAATTGCACCGTTCCACCTTGTTATGTCATGGAGTGGTGGTTTTCAAGTTAACAGATGCCGTTTATCTTTAGTTCAGTAGAGATTGGCAATCCCAGCACTGAAATTACCCAGATGGTTCTAGTGAAGGTGTACGGAGTTTAAAAACACAATGGAATGCTTCCTGTATTACCACATGACATCACAAGGTGGAACAGAGAGTTTTCCGTTTGAGAGAAGAGCTCAGCCTGAATATGCAGAGTTTGTGTGTTAAATATGTCTAAATGAAACAAAATACAACTCCAGGTATGTTTGTGATGAGCAACATAGATTAGAAAATATGGGACCTTTAAGACACTTTGGTTTTGACTTTTCCATCCCAGAAAAGATGAATGCACTGATTTGACATTTGACATTTTGGATGGTTTAAGTCCAAATATATTTTCTAGCATGACTCTCATCCAGGCTTGGGGCTAGGACATGTATCTTGGATTGCATTATACCTCCACAAACACGTGCAGTTGAATAAAGTGCAGTATTTTATTTCCTGTAATTTCACTTTGTTTTTCCCAGTGCACAGCGGAACATTACACCCCGTTTAAATTGTTGTGATTGTTTTACCTGCTCGCTTTCGTCCCTTGTAATAGATAAGAGCGTAGTGACGGCATATTCCCCCCTATTCCCTGGTGCCATAGAGCTCATTATCACAACTGAGATTACACATTCCCATAGTAACCTTGACATTTGCAGGGGCGTTGGCATGACGATGAGATTATATTAGAAATGAGATAGCCCGCCCTGGTCCCACCTCAGCTCCCCTTCAGCCACCCTCATTACTCCCACTTATTGTTCTTTACTCGAGTATTTGCCTTTTATCTCCAGTGGGTTTCTTGCAGGGTTTCTCAATGTCAATATTCATTTCCTCACAAATGAAATATTCTTGAAAGTTTAAGGAAACTTCTATTAAAATTGATGTAAAGGTCTGTTTGTGAAGGGACCATATTACGCTTTTTTCTGATGTTATAAGGTTTTTCCTCATTAAAAACATACCTGGAGTTGTGTTTGTTTCATTCACACATGTTTAACACACAAATCCTGCATATTTAAGCTGTACAGAGGAAGAGCTCCACTGTGTTTTTAAACTCCATACACCTTCACTGTAATAATTTGGATAATTTCAGCTCTGAAATTTCCAGTTTCTAATAAACAAAAGGTAAATGGTAGCTGGTAACTTGAAAACTACAGCTTCATGACATCACAAGGTGGATCAGAGCATTTTGAGCTTTGGAGATGTAGACAGACTAATAATGCAGCTTGATTCAAACATGTGTGAACGAAACAAAACACAACTCCAAATGTGTTTTTGACAAAGTAATAGCATTCTAACATGGCTTAAAGTTCACAAGAGTCAACTTTGCGTAATATAGGACCTTTGATACAACATTTGAAGGTTATATCTATATTTTTATTTATTTGGTAATAGATAGAGGCAACAGATTCTGGTATTTTTCATTCTTTGCAAGAGACAGGTCCCTTCTTTTTCTGATCTCTATAAGGTTGTCCTACTTATTTTTCACTAACTGTCTGTCTTTTCCCCTTGGCTTTCTTGGATGCAGAGAGAGGTAAACACATATCTTTAAAAACTCATCCCCAATATTCCTACTTCACCTTATTGTTTAATTTCCTCTGTATCTGGCTACTCCCTTCTTCAAAGTAGATATTGATGCATTGTAAACACACACTTAGAGTCATAGGAAATGAAACTCATCTTTGTTCTGTTATTTCACAAAGTATGCACCCACACAACTAGACAATTTTACCCTTAGGCTACATAAATATTGTTAGTCTTCGTGTTTTCAGTATTTCCTATTATACTTTGCAGTTTTGTGATCACTTTTTCTGCCTTTGACGTGAATTGATTTAATGTGATTCCTGGAGTTTCTCAAAGGCTGCTGTCTCCTTCTTCTTTTCACTTTTGCACATGATCGCTTTCGTCATGTGTTTTTATTGATCTCTATTTAAACATGTGAGATTTGTATTCATCAAAATCATAAAGGTCACTCCATCACTCATGTGTATACCAATAATACCTATCAGACAACAGCATCCACTCATTATCACTGCAGCCTTTGTTTTTACTCCTTGGTAACTCCAAAACAAAATAAGACACATCGCCTCACTAAGTTGTATTTATAACATATTTTTCTTTTCTTTTTTTTTTCCCCTCAGAGATTTTGCGTATGTGGCACGGGATAAAAACACCAGGATCCTGAAATGTCATGTGTTCCGCTGTGATACTCCAGCCAAAGCCATTGCCACGAGTCTGCACGAGATCTGCTCCCGGGTTAGTGCTCTAAACTCTTGCCAAAATTACACTTGGAGTTACAGATTTATGTGAGGGGAGCGAGAGTTCCACCACACAACAAATGGTTTTAAATGATACAGGAGGTGTTGGGCAAAAATGAATTATTGGATATGGTTTGTTTCAGTAGCTATTGCCAAGACTGAAATATGTGATTTATACATTATCAGTATTATTGCCTAGATCCAGAATACACACTTCTTCAGTACTTTACAGCCAATCAGGGACACACATGGTCCATCCATATTGGAAAAAATAAGGGAAAGAAATATCACAGGGGACTGAAAAACACTGCTAATTTCTGTAGAATCACTGAGTGAAGCACTTAACTCTGTTAATCTGGGGTGAGATAAAATTGTATTTGTAAATGATAAATGACCATTGAGCTCCTTTGTTAATTTTTACATTTTCATTTATATAGCACTTTTCAGACATGTTACAAATACACTTTACAGTTCATGATTCATTTACTCCAGGCATGGTGGTGGTAAACTATTATTGTAGTCATAAGCTGCCCTGGGACAGACTGACAGAATTGCAGCTGCCAATCTGTGCCATCAGCCCCTTTGTCCACCACCATCACTCGCACACACACCACTTTCATATTAGGCAATATAGGTGAAGTGCCGTGCCTAAGGACACAACAACAGTTTTTGCAACTAGCCCCCCACTGTAGCACCTGGTTTTCCCAGCAGTCTCCCATTCAAGTACTAACCAGGCCTGGCCTTGCTTAGCTTCTGAGATCTGACGGGATCAGGCTTTGACAAACCAGTCTGGTCTCACGCATCACTGAAAAAACAAATCTGGTAGCACGATCACATTTGACCGGATTTGTGACGCAACAGAGATCAGCCTACTGTGGGGTCCAGACTGATATCAATCTGTATAAAAAAAAATACATATATATATAGCATTCTGAATTTGCCAGGCAATCAACATTATACGTCAACATGTATAATGTTGAAGCTTCAAAAACTGGAGACTCGGGGAAACTCGGGTGCTGCGCTGAGGAATGGGTCAAATGTAGGGGACACATTTCCTTAAGGGGACAATAACATGCACCTTAACCAATAACCTTTTTTCTTTCATCTTTTACTCCTTACAGGTCTTGAGTATCATGTAACTTTGAGTGTGATTAGTGGCCAACTAGTTGTAGTAAAGTGTTATGAATTGAACAACCAAAATGAGTTTAATATTCTAATTTATGTGCATTTGTAGTAGTAGATTTAATTTCAGGGACACAATTAAATAAAGTGGCCATCAGCAAAAGGTCACAGTGATTCAAGGACTCGTAATCTCTCGTCCTTTCATATATTTCCTACTGTGTGCTCACTCTAGGCTCTTTTTCAAAGGTTTCTTGTGTAGAGCTGACCAAACATACTGCATAAATGAAATGTGGTTCTTTTTCCCCTAAACAGATTTCATGTCTTTTCTGTGTAACCTTCAAAGAATCCAATCAAAATTCACCTTTTGATGTGAAATTAATATTGCAGAGCATTCATATTCCAGGTGCTTGGAGTCAGCGCAGACATAAAACAGCTTCTGCCTCTCAGCTCGGCGTGGACTATAAAAGGCTTGCTCTAGTAGGGATGTATTTACAACACTAAAATATAGGCAGCAGCCCTTTTCATCAGGGCCCGTGCTCACAAAATCCAAAAACAAGATTAAACATGTCAAATGCCCATAAAGTATGCCCTAACACTTTCGTACTCTGCATTGTTCTTCACAAATGAACACAAACTATGAATTTTCAGCCTTAATAATGCCTCGTAATAAGATTCTGTCCTTTTGCTGCATTTGAATTTGATAAAAGCTTATTCCATAATGCCTGGGGTTAAGTCAGCATGAAGTTCAACTGAAAGTTAGTTTTGGAGCTTTTGCTAAATTCTGCACTTCACTGATAGACATTTATACAAAGGGCACATTTTACAGTATTTTCTAATCTGTTATAATGTTTCCTCATGAAAAACATACCTGGAGTTGTGTTTTGTTTCATTCACACATGTTTAACACACTAATCCTGCTCCACTGTGCGTTTAAACTCCATACACCTTCACTAGAATAATTTCGATGATTTTAGCCCTGGAATAAAAGCTGTAAATGTGAAAACTACTTCTACATGACATCACAAAGTGGAAGATAAACAGACTAATAATGAAGGGTTACTCTAACATGTGTGAATGAAACAAAACACAACTCTAGGTCTGTTTTTGAGGAGGTAACAACATTCTAACATCGCTTAAAGCTCATAAGAGTCAGTTTTGCATAATACAGGATCTTTCAAACTCCTAATAACTTTGAAACACAAAATAGCTGTTCTCTGCTTTTTTGCTCTATGCTTCATAAGATTTGTTCCACATTTATAAGCTAGGCCGCATTGGGACAGTCACAAAAATGTTGCTGATGTCGTTGATGTTCGACAGGCATTGCAATCAAAACATGTGAATTATAGTGGGAGAAGTGATTTTGTGGCATGTAGTTGTACTGCAGGAAGAGGCATCCTTCTTTACCTCTGTTCCCTGTAGTAAAAACTAGACAACGTGACAGTGCTTGGTCGTGTTGTCACAATGCTAAAATTTCAAACTCAATTTCGATAATACGGAATAGAGACAAAATGGATGGGAGTCGAAACGTCTTGATCATAAAAACAGAGTCCAGATGGCCACAGATAAAACCTTCTCTACATTGAATCACTCCTAGACGAGTGAAGGATTACACCGTCTCAATATAGAATATACTTGATACTTAATACCCATTCTGATACCACAATGATAATAAAAACACTTTTTGTTTAGACAATAGAATTTTCAGTATTAAATCACAGTATTTTTTTTAAACATGCAGTCTGTAATTTCTCAGTTGTCCATGTAGGTCAGGGGTCTCCTACCAGTAGCTCTCCACCCACTTCAGAGTAGCGCACCAAGGGATTTTTGGATTCTATGTATGTGCTGAATAAGTAAAATTTGATTAGTCACCATTGTAAATATATAATTTTGATGCCTAACTTGGTGCACTGAGAAATGGATAATGTTTTATAAGCATCTAACTGTTCCCCGTCTAAGGCTTACCGAGGCACTTATGTATAGGGTTAGGGTCAATTTCTTTGCAACTACTAAAATAGGTAGTTCTCTGGCAGTTTTGTTTTGTAAAAGTAGCTCACTAGAGGAAAAACATTGGAGACCCCTGATGTAGGTTCTATAGTGGTCCATGGGTGTATATCTGGTCTTAAACAACATAAGATCATTCTAAAACTATTCATGATAAGTTTATTTCTTTTATTATACTTGCTCAAATGTTGCTCTAGTTTTAATATGACTTTTAATATCGATTAGAATCTGATTTCTGATACTTTTGCCAACCCTAGTGCCTAGAGCAAACTTTTACGGATCTTTCAGATTGTCTTATATTATCAAATTCCATGTTATTTCACAGTTTTTACATTCAGATGTTTTTGTTCATGTTAGCACCCATACCGTTTTTGTTTTGGCACAACAAATTTCCTTTTCATTAATGCCATTTTCAGGTATTTTCTTCTTTCTTTGATGTTGTACCTCTCTTCCTCAGATAATGGCAGAGAGAAAGACTGCCAAAGCGATGGCTGGGGGCTCTCTCCAGGACAGAATGCAGGCTGGACTAGATCTGCCTTTACAGGGTGGGCCTCAAAACACTCACCTTACTCACAGTCCCTGGTGCTTTTATCATTCATGTTTATTGACTTGTTTTGTTCCCTGCAGAATTCCCCACACCAAAGACAGAGCTGGTCCAGAAGTTTCAAGTGCTTTACTTGGGAATGCTTCCTGTGGTTAGACCGATCGGTAGGTTTATAGGATGGAGCGTCAAAGGGCCCATATTACACTGTTTTCTGATGTTATTTCCTCTTCAAAAATATACTTGGAGTTGTGTTTTGTTTCATTCACACATGTTTAACACACAAGCCCTGCATATATTATTTTCAGAGGTCTTCTCTCAAGCAGAAAACACTCTATTCCACCTTGTGATGCAATGTGGTAATACAGTAAGTGCTCTACTGTGTTTTTAAACTCCACACACCTTCACAAGAATAATTTGGATGATTTCAACCTCATAATTTTAGATTTTTGTTTTATCTATTTATTTGGGCAAGTAAGAAATGTACTTTCTTCTTCAATGGAACATATAACATTAATGAAATCATAGCAGAAATAACAACAAATTTTTTTTTTTTAAATGGTCGAAAAAAGAGTGGGAATAAGAAAATGTATTTAACCCCACTCCCCTCTTCTAATGTAATCTAACACAATGAGCTTTCTTTTGAAATTTTCATTCATTTTCATTTTACATTAAACTATATGAACTATTTATTGCCAATCTCTTCTGAATTAAGGTAAAAAGTAGTTGTTAACTTGAAAACTATCCCTTCATGACACCACAAATTGGAACAGAGCATTTTAAGATTTGATGCAGACAGACTAATAATCCAAGATTAGTCAAACTATGTGAATGAAACAAAACACAACTCCTGGTATGTTTTCAATGAGGTAACGTTCTAACATGGCTAAAAGCTCACAAGTCAAGTCAATTTTTTCATAATATAAAACCTTTAAACATTATAACATTACAATTCTTTCTACTATGTGGACTTTATGACTTTAAATATGTTATGTTTTGTTGAATCTTCAGGGATGGATATTCTGAACGGTGCCATAGACAGTCTAATTAGTTCTTCCAACAGAGAAGACTGGACTCCGGTAGCTCTTAATGTTGCAGATGCTACTGTCACTATCAGCAAGGATAAGGTGAGATCTGTCAGAGATAAGTGCATTTTAAATCTCCCTATAGGATAATTTAATCATAAACCTCTTTCCGAATAGGATGAAAAGGAGGTTCTGGTGGAGTGCCGTGTGCGTTTCTTGTCGTTCATGGGAGTTGGGCGTGACATACACACTTTTGCCTTCATAATGGACGCCGGGGGTCACCGCTTTGACTGTCACGTCTTGTGGTGTGACCCCAACGCTGGCAGTGTGTCAGAGGCAGTGCAAGCAGCGTGTATGGTAAGACCAGCGTGCCCCTTCTACATTCACTCCAGAGCATAGACTGTGTAAAGAAGTGGACTAAGGGACTGTGACATCACCCATAGCATTCGGCTTCAGTCAAATGAAGCTCATGAGGTTAGCAGTTATAGGAGCAAACTTGTACCCGAGATCCTTTTTAGGATTAGGAAGTGATTTACGGACAAAATAGTGAAATAAAAACACCAGGATGTCATGTAGGGGTGTTAACCCTCTCCAGGCAGGCGTTGCAGATTTGCAACAGCTAAATTCCAATTATCTACTTACTCCACATCCATATTTTATGAGCTTTTTTTACTCAACGTGGGCAATGCAGACTGTGCAAGAATGACTACACGCAAACGGCCTGCCAGAAGTGCAAAATACTTTTTTTGTTTACAAAGGATAAAAAAGTCAGGATTGTATATTACTACCCCATATTATAATTTTCCCCAAATATCAGATTTTTCCTGATACTAAAAATTTATTTGAGCCTGAGAGGGTTAATACGAACATTTAAAGACTAAAATGACAAGGCTCGTTGCAGCATTTACAGAGTGAGGGATGACAGTTTTTCAGTGTAAAGACTCAAAATCGATATTGATATGAATAATTATAATTTTAATAAAATGATGATGATCCCATATTTAAAGAGCTGTTATAATAATGTAAAACAACATTGATCTAGAAGAGCTTTTTTTCAGCACATTCTGGTGATTTATGCCGATTATCTTTGTTGGAGATGATCATGATTATATAAAATGTCCCACAAATGATTATATGTCTTCACTTTTTATCATGCTAAACTATATTATTGTTCATTGTCCCGTCCCTAGTGCACTACCAGCTCAGCTACTGCTCATGCATCACAGGTTTAAATGGGCAGAAGCACATTAACAGTGAAACTCAATGGTGTTGGCAGGAGTCATTGGTCATTTATATTGATCGCAAATAGCACCTCATAGCGGTCCGATCTTCACACCACAACAGCTTTTACTCTGTGTCTGACGCCCGTCTCTGTTTCTGTTGTAGCTGCGGTACCAAAAGTGCTTGGTGGCGCGCCCCCCGTCCCAGAAGGCCTGTGGCTCGTCCCCCCCTGGAGACTCTGTGTCCCGCCGTGTGTCCACCAGTGTAAAGAGAGGGGTCCTTTCTCTCATCGACACACTCAAACAGAAGAGACCTGTCACGGAGCTGCCGCAGTAAATTCTCCTAACCACTATCAACTTTCCACTGCTACAATCCCTTGTCACCATGGTAACTAGTCGTTGCGGACACCCCTCATCATCTGTTACCATGGAAACAGGAATGCCCAGGGGTCTGGAAAACTTTGTGCTGTTTGGAGCGGCATGGAAATTCTCCTTGAAGTTTTGCTCTGGATTGTAAATTTCCTCCATCACCATAAACTGAAAGTATCATGTTCAGAAGGACCACCTGCCCCAGCGCACCTGCCCCAGTGCACCTGCCCCAGTGCACCTGCCCCAGTGCACCTGCCCCAGCGCACCTGCCCCAGGCCACCTGGAGGCATTAGTGTACATAGTAACATCCTTCACACAAACAGTGAATCTACAGAATGAAGAAGTGGGACCTGTGAAGAGGGGAGTCATTTCTATCCTTACTGCTGATCTCAGTACTTTAGTCGTATCTGTCTGTACATGTGTTACTACAAGCATGACCTTGTAAAACCTGGCCTCCATTTGATTGTTTGTCCTGTGAGTCTCTGTAAAAGTTTACAGGTGCACTGCGTAACATTTCTAGTGGAGGGTTTACCACCTGCTTATCTCCATGGAAATGTTATTGCTTTATCTGGAATGTTCCACAGTATAGATTAAACCTATTTATCAAAAAGAAGATAAGCAGGTTACAGCACTATGCTACATCACAATTCAGATCTGTGGAGAGTTGCTCCTGTTCACAGAAGGAATTATTGTATTTCTGAGCAATAAATACATCTGTAATGAATAAATGCTAGATCTGTATGTTTAATGTCATACTAACAAATCAATTACATCTCCATGGAGACAAGTAGATAGCAAAGCATCCACCAGAAAAGCCGCTCAGTGCACCTTTAACACAGAACTGAGAGATGCTGAAGAAACTAGCAGCTTTCTCAGCCCGCATTCTCTATAACCTGCTCAAATGCATGACTTTTTCTATTGTAAACAAGCATTCAGTACTCCTGCGGTGAGACGGGAGAGAGAGCAAATCCAAGTCTTCTTATTTTTGTAGCCTCAACGAATGGTGACCTTTCACCTGAAGCATTTTTCATGTAGTTACTGGGACACCAACAGATAATCATCAGAAAGCAGAGATGGAGGACAGACTCAGCATGCTGCTACTCTACACCACTGATCATTTCTTACTTAAATCACATCTCAGTATTGTCTTGAGACTGAATATTCAACTAAAATGGAAGCTGTAATCATGAGAAGTTGTGTAAAAACTAAGACTGAAGGACTGTTGTGTGGGCTGCTAGAGGTCTGTCTCCATGGGGTCTTTCACTTGAATGGATCTTTTGTGTTTTTCATGATACTGTAATATACTTAAGTTTGTGTCTGTGTCCAACAGTGCCACCGATCACACTCCATTGACTTCTGCACACGCCTTTCAGTTGAACATAGCTTTGTACATACTTTATCCGAGCCTGTAACTAAAATAATTAAGTCCAAAATACTGAAAATGGACACGTTCTTTTTTTCTAGAGGATGTACAAAATGGTGAGATTCGCAAGCAGAAATCAGGAGTGTGACAGTGTAAAGGGTCAGCCACATCACCTTATTTTTGTCAAATGGCTGATGAAATGTGAATACAATTAGTCTGTATATAATATCATTTTAATGTAACTTTTAGGCTTTCATTTTTGTTATAAGCTATTTTTATTTCTGAATGTCTTTTTTCTATTTTCATGTAATGAGATGCCTTTTTTGAGGATTCACCAAATGGCCAAAGTGTAAAATATTGACGTGTAGATAAGAAAATCCCAGATCACATAGCTGAACGTATTGGCAGTTGGAAATGTTCCCAGTTGTCAGTTATGCTGAGTGTAACTAAGCAAATATCTATGCATTATTTTGACTTAGCAAAAAAGAAGTCCTAAAGAGCCTTGCATGCCCATGGATAGTTACGCAAACTTTACTGAACAGAAATATTTTTTATTTTTATTTATTATATTTTATAAAGATATATAGTATACTGGTTAGTTGGGACAAGTCAAGTCTCGTGTAACATTGTCTCAGTTTTGGTTAACCCACAAACTTTCAACAGTCAACAGAAAAACAAAATTTCTCCATTTGTACAGTGCACTTTGAAGTAGGAGTCCACAGCTGCTCTGAGTGGCGTCGCAATAACAGCTGTGGAAATCTGGTGTTTTGCTGAACTTGACATGCATAATTCACATAATAGAGATATACACCTGCTCACTGGTTTGTACACTTTATCAATGTAACCAACTGTGAGAATAAACAACATTAAAAGCAACAACGTGTGAGGGTCGTAATTCACTTCTATGGTGACATTTGATGTTTTGTTCTTTTTGGTGTGCTGATTGGATATTTAGCAAGATTCTGTTAAAACTAAAGGCATCTGCTTCATCAAAAATAATTATAACACTGCTTAAACTGTCACTTCAGTGGGGAATTCATTTAGACCAGTGTTTCTCAACCTTCTTATCCATAGATATGTTCATGACCCCACATCATTCTCCTACCTCAGACATGTCAGACTCAAGATCATATCAAATATGTATTAGAGCTGGCCCGCCGGCTACAGATAGGCTATAGAGACATTATGTATTTAAAATTTTCTTGTTCTGGACTCAGTGTTTAAGCAAAACTATTATTTTAATAAGAAATGTTATCTCAAAAACATTATCTCAAAAGAAGAGAAAACATGCAGATTTTTCAATAAATATTTAGTTTAGCCCACAACTTAGTCCCAGTTTTTAATTTTGGCCCTCTGTGATTTGAGTTTGACACCCCTGTCCTAATTGATAAGCTACTGCCTTATAAGGAAAATATAATTATTTTTATTGTTAATAAAGATACAGTATTTAATTAATTATCTTGTTTAGACCTCTTCTATAAACCCCTGGAGACCCCCTTGGAATCTTTGGAGACCCAAACTGGGGGTTGGGAACTGGTCTAGACCAGAAAACAATCGCAACAAGAACTCTAGTTTGCACACGTCAAATGCATTTTATCTGCATCTTTGACAATATTTGTAATACATAAGTAAATGCCAAATACTGTCCACAGCTTTTAGTCATTCTTTTGTGTATTTCATTTTTTATGGATAATAATAATAAGAAGAACTGTAATCTCTCCACATTTACAGTAGGTAGTTTGATTTCTCCCATGTTATCTAGGGCTATATGCAGAAGGTAAAAAAGTAAAAGTAAAAATAATCATCAGTCAGTCGTAGCTCTTGTGAGGAGGTGGTGGGTCGCCGCCATGTGTAGAGCCAATCAGGTGAACAGTTTCCTCCAGCGCTGACGATTTTGTGCCTCATCATTCTCTGGTGTTACGACGGGCCATTGGAGGTCATTCTCAAAGACATCAACCCATCACCATGACAACCATGACAATCTTAATTTGCAGTATGGCGCTTTAGCTTTCTTGAGCAGAAACAGAGGTATCACTCTTGATGCTTGTAGCACTGCTTGAAGAGAGAGACTCATGAGGAGGCCCAGAGTTGATAGATTTGACCACTTTGTTGCCAACACGAGGCATAACTTTGACTTCACCTTCTTCTTTCTCTTCGTCAACACCACTTTTATGCAGCTGTTTCTGCCCTGCTTCAGTTCTTGGAGCAGGGCCGGCAGACTCTGGCTGTGTTCTGGCAGGTGTGGACGATCCAGAGGAGGTCTCCGAAGACGTCATAATCAGGGCTGTATTGTCTTTGAGCTTCTTCACGAGGGGGGTAATGAGAGACAGGCGAGCGGAGGCTTTAGCAGAGGACATCAGCGAAAGAGTAAGACGCGGTATTCGCCGAGGTTTTTTTTTGCCCTGGTTCACTTTCTTCTTCTTCACTTTCTTCTTGGCGCCTTTCGATTGACTTTTGGTTTGCTTGGAGTTAGCTTTTCCTTTGTGTCTTTTCCCACCCTTCTTTTTCTTACCAGCCTTGCCACCTTTCTCATTCTTCTCCTCCTCATCTTCCTCAGCTTGGCCATCTTCATCTTCTGCTTCCTGCTCGCTATGGCTCCCGGCTTGTTGATTTTTCTTCCCTTTTGCCTTTTTGCTGGGTTTTGATTGCTCTGGGAGTATTCCACCCAAGAGACCTTTCGCTGCTGCCCTTGCCAATACGTCCTGGACTGTTTCTACTTTAGTGGGATCAGCCTGGAATAAAGGCAAGGACAATTTAAGATTATATGTGGAGATACAATGCATTAAAACTATGTGGCTCATGGGAAACATTGTACCAAGGATATATGAAACAACGGGAAGGGGCAGTAAAGGAAATCACAAGGGACATGGCTGTTTAATTACATGTTTCAGCTGCATACTGTGGCCTTGTACGAGATGCATGTGTGAGGTAAAAGTAAGTCGTGCTTAATTATAAAACTTCAGTTAAGGCAGTATTGAGAAGTTTTATTGACTTTTGTGAGCTTTAAGCCAAGTTATAATGTTGTTACCGCATCAAAAACATACCTAGAGTTGTGTTTTGTCTCATTCACACATTTGAGGAATCCTGCATTATTAGTCTGTGGTAGTTTTCACGTTAACAGCTACCTTTTACCTTTAGTTCAGTAGAGACCGGCAATTCCAGGGCTGAAACCATCCAAATGATTGGTAGTTTAAAAACACAGTGGAGCACTTCCTGTATTACCACATGACATCACAAAGTGGAACAGAGAAGAACTCAGTCTCAATATGCAGGGTTTGTGTGTTAAACATGTGTGAATGAAATAAAACACACTCCAGATATGTTTGTGATGAGGGAACAACATTATTAGCCAGGTGCCACCTAGTGCCTCCGCTCAATTTCATTTCTCTCCAGCTACTAGGTCAGGAATCGAAAGACACTTGATGGTTTGCAAGAACCCTGAAAGTTGTAGACTGCGCACCACCCAATCAGCGAAGAGCTGTGAAGCCAGCAATTACATGGACACCACTGAGTGTTCCAGCACATTACATATGGCCAACCAGATAGCAGCGAGTGGTTAAATAAAAAAGTACCACCCTACCATCAAGCGAACAAATTCTAATGCTGCAAGGTCAGACGGTTTCCACAAAGTGAAACCGGCTGATGAATCAGGCTACAACATTATAACATAGATCAGAATAGTGTAAAATTGCCACTGGTTAATAAATACAAACTTTTAATTGCACTGTCAAAACTAGAGTCTTCAAAGGAAACTTACATTTAGTATCTAGTATTTGACTGAATGCATTACTCCCATTTTAATAGCCAGTATGGTATAAAATATGAGATATGTAAAGGTGCACTACAGAACTTTTCTGGTGGAAAGGGTCCATTTCCTAGGCAGGGGGTCAAAAAAACAAAAACAAAAAGCATTTGGTTAAGAAACCTGGTTAAGAATTGTGATCATGTGCATTGTATTGTTAAAACTGGCTGCTTGTGCAATATTGTTTGTGTTTGTTACACCAGGGTACTATAGTGCAATAGTAGTGGAGTCATTCCATTTTTTAAATATATATATTTTTTTATAATAATACACCCTTATGTATATAGTATTTTATTGTATTTTCTGATATTTAATTAAGTTATGGTAAGTTATACTGAATAATGTGCACTTAAGGGGGGTGGTGCCAGGAGGAGGTATCGCCCGGGGAGTAAATCAGTGTAGGACTGCCACTGGCTCCATTACTTGCTTGTCTCCATAGTATTGCATTAAACCTCTCTCACTGGAGAGAAGCAGAGAGCAGACCCCTCACCCGAAAATTTACACAGAGCACCTTTAAATTATTGGCAGCCACGGTCTTCCTCATATTCTCTGCTCTGAAATCAAAGTTGCCCTCTTCTTCAAACCTGCTAAATGTATCTTCCTTTCTCCCGTAGCTGCTTCTTCTGCCTCACAACATCATCTTTCTTACTCTAGATCATTTAGTGTCCTTAAAAACCTAAACCGAGCTGCCAGGTCTGGCTGTTTATAATGAAACGAGGAAGTGTGCGCCAAGACTGAATATAACGTGATGGATGGGAGCTTGTCAGCGAGTCTTCCGTTTTTGGGCAGTCCTCTATCTTGTGCTAGTAATGAAGATGCCTCTGTCTCCCTTTAATTGTTTAAAGAGATAATAGTATTATTCTGTCTCTGCAGTCTGCCATGTCTAAATTTCACATCAGTTTAAATGGTCCTCTGGCGTAGATTGGCTGGGGCTGAGTGATTCATCTGAGCAGCAGTGAGCCAAGTCCTGAAGTGTAACTCAAAGTGTGACAGCAGCTCTGATTTGGGAGCAGTCAATAATTATACAGAGAAGATGAGACTGGAGATTACTGTGCAGCTACCTGACAGGTGTGCATGTCCTGTCTTTGGTCACTAAGAAGGAGTTCAATTAAAGGGCCCATATGATGCTATTTTCTTTAAATCTAAATGTTATAATGTTGTTTCCTCATCACAAACATACCTGGAGTTGTGTTTTGTTTTATACACACATGTTAAACACACAAACTCTGCATCCAGCATGAGTTTTTCTTTCAAATGGAAAAGACTCCAGAAGTTCTCCACTGTGTTTTGAAACTCCACACACCTTCCCTAAAATCATTTGGATGATTTCAACCCTAGAATTGCCAATCTGTACTGAACTAAAGGTAAAAGGTAACTGTTAACTTAAAAATGACCACTATATGGCATCACAAGGTGGAACAGAGCATTTTGAACTTAGAAGATGTAGACAGACTAATAATAAAGGGTTACTCACATGTGTGAATGAAAGAAAAACACAACTCCAGGTATGTTTTTGAGGAGGTAACAATATTCTAACATGGCTTAAAGCTCACAAGAGTCAATTTTGTGTAATATAGGACGTTTAAGAAGGAGATTTTTATTTTTTAGGGAAAAAAGAAAAAAACACAGGTCAAGTTAGGAGATACTTTAATTGTCGCCAAGAAAAATTATACTATAGAGAGATATTTCCCCATTTTTACTGTATAGTAATGAGATGTTACAGGGGCTTGAGTGTATTTCATCTATATCTTGTCACTTCTTTTATGGAGTATTGGAATAATGCTGCCGTTTTAACTCTGTGTGTGTGTAATTGTGTGTTCGTGCATGTGTGCGTGTGTGCACGTGTGTGTGCGTGTGCAGATAAGCAGAGCGACCTCCCCACAGACAGACAGTAAAAGAGTGCATCCTCAGCACTTTTCTAGAAGGTCTTAGTGCAAAGCAATCACACACACAGACGGATCTCCAGTGTTCTGCATCTGCCAATCTTCACATGTAACATTCATATACATGTTATTTTCTATTACATTTTTTCCAATTTCTCACCTGTCGGGAGAGTCTGGCTATGAAACAGCCGTTAGTGAACTCGGAGGGTTGAAGGCTGAAATACTTGGACTCAGCACTGTCTTCTGACTGGGAATCGTCTGGGAAAATAGGTCCATTCACCCTAAGAAAGAGTAAAAAATGGCAAGGAAGCATTTTAATTCATCATAGTGCCACATTAATTCAACAACAAATACATAAAATAACAGAATTAGAATTAAACAATTCATTATATTAACAACAATACTAGTTATATGTACATTTCCATCAGGTATGACATTTGATCACTGATTTGGGAAATACTATTCTTTATTTAAGGCACTATATTATTTTATTTTCTGATCTGTTATAATGTTGTTTTCTTATCAAAAACAGACCTGGAGTTGTGTTTTGTTTCATTCACATGTTTAACATACAAAGCCTACATACTTAGGCTGAGTTCTTGTTTCACACAGAAAACACTCAAGTGTTCCACGTTGTGATGTCATACGGTAATACAGGAAGTGCTCCACTGTGCTTTAAAACTCCATATACCTTAGAATCATTTGGATGATTTCAGCTCTGGAATTGTCAATTTCTACTAAACAAGAGATAAAAGGTGACTGTTAAACTACCACTTCATGACACCACAAAGTGGAACAGAGCATTTTGAGCTTGGGAGATGCAGATGGACTAATAAAATGTGTGAAAGACACAAAACACAACTCCGGGTATGTTTTTGATGAGGTAACATTTTAACATGGCTTAAAGCTCACAAGAGTCAATTTTGCATAATTTAGGACCTTGAAGAACAACACAATTGTCCACTATAGCAGCTGGCCATGTTTTTCACCAAAAATGCCTACAGTTTAAGTCATGATGAGCTTTTGAATGGCACACACTACATGCACAACACCTCAACAGACAAAACTGCATGCTTATTCAGTAGAAGAACAGTAGTGCATACAGCTATAAGAACCACCCCACTGGCAGCCTTGGGACAAAAGCATAAATTGGTCCCTGCATCCTATCACCAACTTCCTCTATATTGCACATCTGCCCTAATGGACTTTCAGTATCATGATAACAGCTCTCTGCAGACTATACAGTGTGGAGCCAAAACCAAAGACTACGTGACCTTCCTACATTCTTTGGTACTTTGCTTTCACATTTGCATTTGCTAATTAAAAATTGCACTTTTATTTTGAAATCTTAATATTGTATGATTTTGATTTTAATGCTTTATAAATAAGGGTGTGTCTGACTGGTTGGGTTCTATAGAAAAATATATATATATGTGTAATTTGCGTTGAGTGCATGTTTACCTAAAGGGCAGCAGTTTGGGATGAGTGCAGGTTTTCTCTAAAACTCTCTTCACCAGCTGTGCGTTTTCCTCAGGGTACTCTGAGCGTGTGCAATAGACCACAGTCTGGACCTTGGGGACTGCACAATGAACAAAGGGAAAGGAAGTTAATTTGTTGTAAAGGTGGCTACTGAATAACAATGCACTAGTACTGGTGTGTCCAAACAACGGCCTAAGGGCCAAATGTGGCACTCAGACCAGTCAGGCTGCCAGGTAAACTGGCCCATATAATGGTAAGAAGTACTTTTACTGCAATTTTAAAAATCTACTTCGGAAAAGCTATAATAAAATAGTCCATGTGTCCTATTAAGGATCCAACATTGAATAAAGGTCTGGTGGCTCAGTCAAACCTGTTGAAAATGCACAAATTTGAATTATTCACAGTACTGACCACCAGTCTACTAAGGCCCTCCATCTGCCCTCCACTTCATCTGTGTTTCAATAGCTGGCCCTTGCTGAAAAGGTTTGAACACCCCTGCACTAGTATATGTGCATGTATACTACACTTCATTTTTATTTTGGACAGTATTACTCACATGGGTTACTCACATGATAAAGCATGCCCCAGCAGTAATGCTTGTTGACTAATCAGAGAGCTGATTTTAGATTTTGACACTAATCCATGCGACAGGTCTGTAAGAAGTTCCCAGTCTGGAAATGCACACATAAAAATACATACATATTCAAGAGTGAAGGTAAAGGTCCTATAGGACACCTCATCAAAAACATACCTAGTGTTGTGTTTTGTTTCATCCACACATGTTTGAGTAACCTTTATAATTAGTCGGTCTGCATCTCCAAAGCTCAAAATGCTCTCTTTCACCTTGCGATGTCAAGGAGTGATAGTTTTCAAGTCAACAGCTAGTAATTGGAAATTCCAGTGCTAAAATCATCAATTTGCTTTTAGTGAAGGTGCATGAAGTTCAAAAACACACAAAAGCACTTCCTGTATTACCACGACATCATCCTAAATATGCAGGTTTCTGTTTTAATCAAGTGAATGAAACAAAACACAGCTCCGTGTATGTTTTTGATGAGCAGCAACATTATAAAATATATCAGAAAATAGAGTAATATGGGCCCTTTAAGCACAAATATTGTTCTCTTGTGGCTTTGCAAATGTAAATGTTGCTGAAAATAAAATTAAGTATTGTCAAGCTTTTTCTGCTGCATACCTCCATTTTCGCTATGCATGATGGGCACTGGATCATTAAGGGCAGAGGACGAGCACTGAGGTAGTACAAGGATGACCTTTAAATGTTGCACGGTGTTTTCCCATTCGTTCAGCTCAAAGAAGGATTCTGAAAGTATTCTCACATCTAAAAAAAAAGGTAGATTTAAGCCTCTTTTTAAAATATTCAACAGAAAGAAATGTCCAGTAGGCCTGTCACGATAATTATTATATCAAGTGCAATATATGTTTGATAGAATAATATTTATACATTTTTTGGGTCAATGTTTATCTTTGTACTTGTGGTGAACCGTCTGTTTTTTTAAATTCTGCAATAAGATTTTACTTGTAAAGGACTGAAAAAAAATCTTCTGTGACTCATCAGACAAACTCAAGGATGAATTTGTTATTTATTTATTACAGTTTGTGTTTAAACCTTATTATGCCTTTAGAATATTAATGTTAATGTGTTACTGTGTCAGTGGCATAACTTAGCCTCCATATTATCATTTATCGTATATTCATTCTCCATACAACTGTACAACAACTCACCCTTGTGTAACAAATAACCCTATGTCCTGTCAATCATTATATCGTCTTTGCACTGTTTTTCCTTATGACCTCTTGTAAATAACTGTAATATACAGTTTTTATATTACTATATTTCTATTTTTTACTTTACTTGTACTTACCTTGATATAATTAAGCCTTATCTGACACAGTGTCTTGCTATTTTTGCTACTTATTTTTAATTTATTATTATCATTTAGAGTTACCTCTTTGTTATTACATTTATTGTGATGTGTGAGCTACTGTGTCCAAATACTTTCCCTTGTGGATCAATAAAGTTTGTCTAAGTCTATATCTCACAACATTTGTTATCGTGACAGGCCTAATGTCTCAATAAGCGTTTAAAAACAATTACGCACTTTCCAGGTTCATTTGTGTGAGTAGCTCTTTCATCTCTTCTGTCTGTGATGGTGTGTGGTCGGCGCTGCAGATTAACACCTGTCCTGACCGGGCTGCGGTGGCGACTGCCACATGAGCCACTGTCACCGCGGAGAACGACCCCGCCACCAGCACGTCACCGCCATCAAAAAGCAGGGGGCGCAACACGTTCACAGCTACACACAAACTCCTTTCCTGAAGACAAATGTCAACACCACAAATGGACCAGTGCTTTGATAGTAAGCAGTACTGCAGTAAAGAGAATTCATGGAAGCATCAACAACCACAATGCTTTTTATCCAAAATGTGAGCCTATCATGAGTAAAGGTCAAAATAAATTCTCTGCATGTTTATTTATTTATATTTTTCACCAGTAGATGGTAGATGTTAAACCTGCTTCCCCTTCCCTCACTTGTCAGACAGCAGTAACATATATAGCATCTAGTGGTGATATGTGAAACTACACTAAGATGGGGTTGGCTAATCTAACTGCAGATGGTATGTTTAAAAGACATATTATGTATATATGTATTTATTTTGTGAATCTTGGCATAATACTTGATCTAAAACTGCTTGGTAATGGAAATTGGACCACTGACCTGTTCAAAACTACAGAATTGGTAGACCCCGTCTATTCATAGTGGCGAGGGAACACCATTATAACATGGTTAAATGGTCATAAAGGTCTATTTCGAATCATATGTGCCCTGTCATTTACTCTTTACCTGTATGTTCATAATCCGCGCTGTAGTGAGGCTGCTAGTCTGGAGCCAAACATGAAGCTGCTTTGAAAAGACCAGAGTGTCCGAGCAGAGGGGGTCTCTACAGAAGGACAGCTCCTTCAGCTCAGTCATTCTCTTCACTTCACGGAAGCCAGCACTTTGCAAGGCTTCACAAACTTCTTCAGCGCTAATAAAAACAAATATAAAACAAGACATGATGCGTAAATAGTATCCATGAGCAGTTTATGAATTGACAACTTTCAAATGTAGGCACTATGAATACACTGCATACCTGTACATGAGTGTATTAACCCATGCATAAAGGGGGAGTGATTTAGCTTGGTGTTGCTTTGTCCGAACTGGATCAAGTAGGAAGGATGAGACGCTTCGTAGACTCTGTTTGACCCGGAATCGTGCCAAAGAGGCTGCAAGTTTTGTCTTACACCTATAATCATAATCTCAGTCATCTTAAAGGTTCTATATTACACAGAATGGATTCTTGTGAGGTTTAAATCATGTTATAATGCTGTTACCTCATCAAAAACATAACTGGAGTTGTGTTTTGGTTTATTCACACGTTTGAGCAATCCTTTATTATTAGTCTGTCTCCAAACCTCAAAATGCTTTGGTCCATCTTGTGATGTTATGGAACTGTAATTTTCTAGTTAGCATCTACCTTTTACCTTTATTTTTGTAGAAAAACCTAGCGGAGCTCAACCTAAATATGCACGGTTTGTGTGTTAAACATGTGAATGAAACAAAACATAACTCCAGGTATGTTTGTGATGACATTATAAGAACATTATAACATAGATCAGAAAATAGTGTAAAACAAGCCCTTTAAGATAATAATAATGTATTTTCTTCATCCTATGTAGCAAAATTGACCTTTCCAAACTGCTACGAAGATCCTTGACATCCTGATGGCATTCTCCTTTTTCTTCATCTTTGACTGAGAAACTGTGTAGAAAAAACTTTCGTTCCTGGAAGTCACATAGCATTACCATGGCCAGAGAGAGCAAGTCACCAGACTGTTAATAAAAAACAACAACAAATGTTAGTTTGGGTCAGTACCATAAACTGTATAAAGAAGTGGACTAAGTATGTGTGACGTCACCCACAGCATTCAGCTCCAGTCAAATGAAGTTCACAAGGCTAGAAGTTATAGAGGCAAATTTAGAGTCAAGTTCGATATTAGGGATAGGAATTTATTTACGGACAAAATAGCCGAAAAACACCAGGAAAATATATAGCAGGTTAACACGAACATTTTAAGACCAAAACAGTTCACTGCAGCAGTTACAGAGAGAGAAGGGTGAGTTTTTCAATTTAAAGTCAATTGGTGCCAGAGTCAATGGAGTTGAAAGTGCCCCCATGCTTACTTCCTATTTATGTCCATTTATACCGTCTATTGTCAGTACAGCGATCCATTCCCTTCTTAGAATCTCAAATGCTGTGTTTAGAATAGTGGGCATAACAGAGAGGTGCAGGACTTTTGTGGTTGAATAATAAGGTCCTGTCAGACCATACTTTTTCACCCATCACACAATAAAACCACCACTTACACACACATCACATAGTGACAAAGTGGATTTTGCCCATGTATGTGTCATTGCACTGTGTTTTATAGTGTCATTTGCTGCTTTCAGACTTTAACTACACAGTTTGTTATGGATAACCAGACTGAACACTGGCAAACCTGAATACAAACGACCTCTTTATGTACATGTGGTTTGTTAACTGGGAATGCAGACTGAAAGGACTTACAATATTCTGAGAGGTGTGGAAGCAGCTGTCAGTTATCATATACTCCAGCAAATCTTGATCTAAATACAAAACAAGGATTATAAAATATAATATAGCCAGGTTTAATAATAATTAATTTTATAACACATACAATATAGCAGAATATATGAATTACATTTATTACACACTGTTTAGCGTTACCTTCACTGTGTGACCTTTGACCTGTCTCCTCCGCTAGGTGTTAGCTAGGTGGCTAATTTAAGACAATAACGCCAGCTACAGCAGCTAAACAATTTTGAATAATAAATTTAAATATTTTTTCAACTTAAGCATAGCCTATATTAGTTTTTGGCTGTCGAATCATCTGAAGAAGAACACAAAGCCTAGAAAAGTTAAATAAAATTACATCGATGCGACATGTGGCATGATCGGGATGAATCCAGTTTATGGACCGATCCTTCAAAATTAGCAAAAGCTATAAGATAATTTAATATAGTAATAATAATAATAATGGTTACGAAATAGAGAAATACTGGCAAGACACATAGAGAGTAAGTAAATGTGAGATTACATTATCTCAGATAAGCCTATTTTCTATTTTCGAGGCCTACATGCTATCTCAGAAATAATATAGCAAAACATTTTTAAAAAGACATCTAGCAAGACAAGGTCATGATTTCTATTATCTTATTTTTTTCTATTATTTTTCTATTTATTTTACAATTATTTACAGTATTGGTCTGTTTTTATTGCAATCAATAAAAACAGACCCATACAATAATAATATAATAATAGTAATAGTAATAATAGTATAATGTTATTTACTCTGTGTCCCAGTGACTGTGCCTCTTATCACCTCCGTTACAGGCAAATACTTAAGTGAAGTATATATGAGCCAGAATGTGGACTTGTATGAGGAAAATGAAACGTGTAAGTATGTGCCATTTAATCTATTCTGCTGCATTTGAAGTTTTTTTTCACAAATCACTATAGGCGTTGACACATGCTGAGGTGCAAAAGCTTTCATTATAAAGATAAGAATTTCTTAGAGGAGGTAGGGTCCACTGAGCACGAGAGCAGATCAAATTAATTCCTTGTGACAGTATGTTAAGACATCTGTGGTGTTGTGACAGGTTTATACTTCAGCCTATAACAAGCAACCTTAAATGTAACCTATAGCTAAGAGTAAATATAGTAAAATAATTTGACTAATGTACATTTGAGTGTGCTGAAGGCCAGCTGGTAGGCCTGCATCTCTGTGGTCTTGTCTGTGTTTGACGGCAGAGGAGTGTCTGTCTTTTTTCCATAAAGTAGAAGTTGTTGTGTGGTTGGCTTGTCTTCTCGCAGGTGCTGGAATATGGATGCTGCCATCATGAAGGTGTCATCTGATAAAGCAGAGGCTGTAGACAGATTGAATAGGGTTACTTCAGCTATAGGAGAATATAATCTATTCATTCATTTTGTAATACACAAGAGCACCAGTATTGTTTTTCATTGTTGTGTGTTAGCCTTATTCTATAGTCCTGCAGACCTACAGGTAACTGTAACATGAGGCTATGCACCTGTATTTGAGCCACGATACATTTCACCATAATCCCGTCTAATGTGGAGTGTTGATGGGGCAACCTTATTATGCCCGGAAAATTTTATGTGATATCATATCATCAACTTAAAAGCAATTGTAACTTATGTTTTATTTATATTATTGTAAAGGTTTGTTTGGAAACAAATAGCCTACTTCTAAATAACATGAAAGCTTGCGGTAGGTTAACCTCACCGATGGAAGGCTCAGATAAAGAAGGTGGTGGCTCACAGCACAGTGGTTCTTTGTCTTTCTCATTCAGATCCTGAAGAGAAATGGAGCCCTCCTCATTCTCAGAGACACCTTTCACAGTGACGCTTGACTCGTCTACAGAAGATTATACTCATGAGTAAGTAAACACGTCCTGGTGGAATGTAAAAACATAAACCCCCTTACCTTGGTCGTCCATGATGGGAAACATAAAATACTCAAACAAAGTTAATTATTCCCTGTGGTCCACATGTTGGTATTTTATATTTAACATTCTGTCCGGTTATGATGAGCTGACCTGTTTGAGTCCAACTGAACCTGAGCGTGACAAAGGTAAATAAGATGCTCAGCGTCAGCCATGTCTGACATGTGATCCGCGGCTGGGTTCTGAGTGGGTGAGAGCTCCAGGCTGCGCTGGGTAATTGGGCTCCACCTGGGGCAATTAGGTGCTCTGTCAGATACATGGGCATGAATAAATAATGTGTGCTCTCCGACCCTGGGCAAAGGTCCAGCTCTCACTGACCTGCCTCACGCGTCTCCAGGCGAAGGCTGTAACACAGTCTATGGGTAAAACACAGTGAGACAGTGTGGGTCAGATGCACTTTGCAGTCAACACAGAGACTGAGAGGATTAAGAGTCAAAAGTGCAGGGACCACTAGCTTCCAATTAAAGTGAATTAATGTAGAAACACACAGACTGTGGTCTTTTTTGCAACACTCATCAGTGTTTAAATACAAAGTTAAAGTGTGCAGTGCGTTCGATAATGTCCTGTCTGTGCAGAATGAATACATTAAAATATTCAACGCAGCAGTAATTTAAAGGATGCGGCATCTCTCTGTTCACTTCAGACAGTTATGGTAGAGACTATTGCGGATAGGATAACCTGCATATAATGAACAGTTTAAAATTACATAAGGGTCTTACCTACCTTTGTCATAGAAGGTCTTTATGGAAACAGTAACTGCCCCTCTTGTCCTCTCAGATTACAACATGTGCCCTGACCAGTTATCCTATTTTAGGTTATATTTGAATTGGTAAAGGTAAACCCAAACCCATTAAGCACCTCATTGTTTGTTTGAAACGTCATGGTTACAATGTGTAATGCAGTGAGGGCATTGAGGGCATTTCCTTAATGCCAGGGATATTGTATTACAAGTGTTCTTTGGGTCAAACATTTACAGCAGACTGCACAAATGAGCACTTGGACAGATGACCAATATTAAAGTGTAGTGTAGACAAACCATAAGTGATGCAGATGTGTCCTGTGTATTAAGAAAAGACACTGGAGTTAGAGCTACATTTTCATATAAGACCTTGGAGTTACACAGGAGCAAGGAAATTAGACTGACACTGCCCTCTACTGGCTCTCATTGCATTGCAATTCCTCTGATAGTCAACTCTTAAATGGTGAGGCACTACTGGTGAACAGGAAAAAAATCTTAAATTTAGAGATTTGAAACTTCTTCTGTAGTTTACTGACATAAATGCAAGAAATCATATATTACATGTTTTTCCATCATGTAATGTTTTCATATAAAAATGAGGCATTTTATGTTTTTGTTGTCATATTAGATACTAAAAATATACAGAAAGCATTTTGGATATTTTAAACATTTCAGTAAACAAGCTCTGATTGAAAATTTGAAAATGAAATGTATGTAATGTAATAATGTAATACAATAATAATATAATGTAAACAATATAATAAATCAGACTTGAAATTAGACATCAAAAAATTCAGTCCAGAGTAGACGATTTACAATAATATCCTGAGAAATCACTCAAATATGATTACATTATTAACGGTAATAATGTCATATTTTATAACTTATTAAGTACAAATTCTAATTGTTTAACTTAGAATTTCCACTCAACCTGATTGTGTATTTTATATTTTCACCAACCTGATTAATTAAAATCAAATTAAAGGCCAATAGGGGGAGACATTGCAGCTTCTGTTTCCTTAGCATGCAGCACCTGAGGCTCTGTATTGATAAAAGATTTGAAAGTTATAACAGCAGTAGTGACCCATTAATTAGCTTTAGGTTTACACTGTAACTTTGTGCGTAGCCGTACCTGTGACATATGGTTATAAAACATGAGAGGAGGAGCGGTTGTGATTAAAATGGAAAATGAGGTGACTTTTTAAGGCCAAATGAGTCCGGTCTCACTGGGTGAAAGTCCAGCTGCAGAGATTATCCCGTGGCACGCGCGTCATCAGCGTCGCCTCTCCGCAGGGCCCCAGCCGCTCCGCGTGGGTGTTTGTGTGTGTGCTGAACGCTGTTTGTGTGCACTCAATAATCAGCCCCGTTGGAGATGGCGGGTCGTGTGATTGTAAGCCGACCTGGAATTTTCTCAATAAAGGGCTAATCTTCAAGAGAAACTATGCTATGTTTTTTCAGTTAATGTATTTTTTACATTTTCATAATCGATCAGTTTTGTGGAAATCAGCTTGCCCCATTTTTGTCTCTGTGTGTTATAAAAGGCACCTGTCTCAATGACCAGACACGGATCAGACTGTGGCTCTACATTTTACCCCTCTATTTGCAATCAAGCACTTAAGTAGCAAAGTTTTCCATAAGATTTTGCAACTGTTCGGATTTGGTTGCTTTGAGTCACAAGCGCATTAAAGAGGTTTTCAGTGATGGTGGGTGTTACGGCTCCATGTTCTGTGGCTAAGGTCAGGGCTCCGGTCCACTCTCCGGTCCATCTCATTTACATTTAAAGGTCCCATATTACGCAAAATTTACTCTTCTGAACTTCATGTTATAATGCTATTACCTCATCAAAAACATACCTGAAGTTGTGTTTTGTTTCATTCACACATGTTTGAGTAATCTTTTATTATTAGTTTGCTCAAAATACTCTGTTCCACGTAGTGCAGTAATTTTCGAGTTAACAGCTACTTTATAATTCAGTAGATTGGCACTGGGGCTGAAATGATCCAAATCATTCTAGTGAAGGTGTATGGAGTTTAAAAACACAGTGGAGCACTTCCTGTATTACCACATGACATCACAAGGGTTTGTTTCGCAAGTGAGTGTTTCTCATTTGAGAGAAGAACTCTGCTTAAATAGGCAGGATTGGTGTTAAATATGTGTGAATAAAACAAAACACAACTCCAGGTAGGGGTGTGTAAAAATATACTGATATATCGTATCGTTCAGTGTGATGATACAGTACTGATTGGGCTGCTGTATTGATATATTGCCAAGAGTATTTTTTAAATATATTTTACTAAATTATTTTGTTACAGCACTACAGTTTTGTTGCTTGTTTAGAGGAAGGAAACTAGTTTATGCAGCACATTTGACATTTTCACTGTTTTGATGATTAAATATTTCATATGAAGAAGTGGTTTAACAAAGACTTTTAGTATTTAGCCTTTATTTTTTACTGAACTGTATGGAATCGATTTGAAAAGCTCACTGTATCGAGATATATATCGTATCGTGGCCTATGTATTGAGGTTTGTATCGTATTGAGGTTTGTATTTGTAACTTCTTAATGATACTCAGCCCTAACTACAGGCATGTTTTTGATGGGGAAACAACATTATAATATAGATCAGAAAATAGTGTAATATTGGCCCTTTAAAAGAGTCATGGATAACATTATTTGCCTTTTGCTTAGACAGGGGTTGCATGACTTTGGAATAAAAGATCTAAGTTTTGTGATTGCGACTGGATTTACAATAGGCCTAAAGGATTCTGTGCACATTGTAAACAACCCCAGGAGCTTTAACATTGAAGAAAAGCTGAAATACAAACAGACTAATAGAAGAATCCTGCTAATTTCAGAACTTGTTTATAAATAAAACGGGTACAGTTATCTTTAAAGGTATACCATGTACCTTTCCTGGTGAAGGGTCTGCCAGCTGTGGAGATGTTATTGCTAGTCTTGAATGTTCCATGATATGACATTAAACAGCCATACTTTACATTTATTAAATTATAGTTGGTTTTATAGTTCAAAAATACCTAGAAAAACAGGCATTCTGACTGTGAGTGGGATTGCCTCTCCACAGATCTGACCTGTAACTTGGCCTGTTGGTCCATACTGTGAAACATTCCAGACAAACATGGAGAAAAGCATCTGACTGACCCTCCAAGAGAAAAGTTACACAGTGCAGCTTTAAGATATTTTTGTATAGGCTAAAAAGATGGGATATTTTGTTATTTCCAGAGGACAGATTTTTGAGATTACAGTTGTTTTTTTTAGCTGGTTCACACATATATCCAGTTCTAAATTCAGTTCACCACATGGTACAATGGTAATGTGATCCTAGTTTTCCTTCTTTCTCAGCTTCCGTGCAGTATGTGTGAGAGCTTGATTGGGCCCACTTGTAGCAGGTGAATGGATACAGTGGCCTTTGCCTTTGTGTATCATTGTCAGGCGCTTGGTGTCTGAGCGGCGCATTTCCTGGGAATCTCTTTGCTGCGTGTCTCAGATCTCCCTTTCTATTGTGTAGCAACCAGGGCAGGGTCTGACGCGAGCTGCTTTCTGTGCGGAGTTAGCTTTTGTTTAGGGCCCATGAAAAGATTTGCAAGTGCACATAGGTTTAATAGAGTGATATTTCAATACATAAAACCATAAAGTGCTATAAATCATTTTTCAAATACTCCTTAATGTGTCCTAATGGGTGTAGTTTTTTATACAAATGTAATAAATTATTATCATCATGATTATTAAGACAACATGTCAACACAGTTATTAAGATAATCACGTTAAAGTATGTGTGAGAGACTTGTTTAAGCGTGCAAATCAGCTCACTTGTTGTAGCTCCAACCAAGTCAGCTCTTCCTGGTCAGATTGTGTTAGAATAAAGATCAGATTAAGTGTTTAACTTGAGTAACAGAGCTTTAGACAGAGCAGTGCTGTCAGTTAGCTTTATCTTTTTTGAAATACTCTTAAATGTTCATTCTTCCGTGTCATTCCTAGGTGTAGCCTTTTATTCAAAAACCATGTCATAATGATTAAGACGATCACATTAAAGGAACATTGTTGGCTCTAACTTTTCTGGTGAAGGGTCTGTCATCTGCTGGTTGAATGTTCCAGGACAAGGCATTAAACTTATCTCCATGGAGATTTCAGAAGCACTAGTAGTTGTAGATCATTTCTGTTCATAGTTATAATGCATGTTTTTAAGGCACTGTGGTGGAATAAAACACCTGTAATGATATGTATTATAGATATATGTTTAATGTCACACTGTCGAAGATTAAAGGCAAAGCGGAACATATCTCCATGGAGACATGTGCCTTCAAATATAACATACACATACAGTATATGACAATGTTCATATCCATTAATTTTCAGATCCTCTAACAGTTTTAAAGCGCACTATGTTGCTACAGAGAAATATTGCGATAAACTATTATATTGAAACTACTTTGTGCCACTGACTAATCAAAGCAAGATAATTTCACAACTGAAGGATTTTACACAAGATAATTTCAGTGAACCAGTTTTTTTAAAATATGCAGTGTCATTAAAAGGCAATGGCTGCAATAGGAAAATAGCAGAAGGAACCAATAATCACCGGAGAAAATGATTATATGTATTTAACTCTCTAAAGGTCAAGTCATACGTAACAATGACAAAAGGTAAATTGTACACACAATAAGTAAAAGCCCAGAAATATATTGTTTTAGCTTTCACATATTTACCACAGTGACACAATGCACACATTAGCAAACATAGATAAAACAGTTTTAACTCAAGAAAAAATACAAAATGAATTTAAACAACACATTTTCAGGAGCTTGTGATCAATATGAGCATTCATGACATTGTTTAGGTGTTTTGTTTTGTTCTTTCAAAAGGTGAAAAACTGTTTGCTAATAATTTTACGTGTGAAAGACTTGTTTAAGCACACAAATCATCATCTCACCTGTTGTAACTCCAAACAAATCCACTCTGTCTTGTCAGATGGTGTTAAAATACAGCTCAGATTAAGTCTAATTTGAGTAACAGAGCTTTTAACAGAGCAGTGCTTTCTGTTAGCTTCACTCCAGGAAGTGTTGATGACATCTGCTGTCAATAGAGATTAACAACTGAATGCAGAAGTGAATAAGGTTTGTTAAAATAAGCATTAACTGAACCACATTGAGCAACTTGTTCAACTGACTTGGCCTCCTCCCTGGCCGAGTTCAGTTGCTGTGTGTTGAAACTTTTTTTTTTGTTCTCATCTGACTCAATCTCAGTTTCCTATGCACACAGCAGCTCGCTAGTTCCCCACTGCTTTGTGTGGATGTGCGCAGTGACTTTATCTGTGTCTGTTATGTGTGTTTGCACTCAAAACAGACATACGGCAAGGCTCTCTTCTACTGCTACTCGCCAATGCACAACCAGCCCTCTGCTCTCTCCTCCATAACTCCATAACCAGCAGCCGCAAAAGACGTCACAGTCACGGCACACTGCACCTGACACGAGGAAGAAGGAAGTACCAGACTCCGCCCACTCTACTGTCTGCGAGGAATCCAGGTAGGCAAACACTTGCTCTAAAAAGTGTTCAGTTATTTGCACAATGGTGAATGGGGCTGGAGTTCAGAGTACTGTTGAAACTCCTCACAACAAGATCAAACAGGTATGATATTGTCCATGCTGTATAGGGTTGGGTGGGCAGACCAGCAGGTATTAAAAACAACATACAGTTTTGTTTTTGTTTTTTTCCCTTTAGACAGGTTTATTGATTTATTGACAATTATACATATTTCATATTTTACAAGTTTTTTCCACTGTCAGCAAATATGTCATCACTGAATTCTTCACACCACCTGTCACCAAGTAGGCTAGTCATCATGATCTACGCACATTCACATTCACGCAAGGGGTTAAACTGGATTCTGTGACAGTTAGGAAAAGACGCATGGTGGTTCTTCTTCTCCTACAAGTTCTGGGATGGACACATTTCATGGAATACCGCTCCCATGATTCAGCACAGGCTCGGACTAACCCAGGCCACAGGAGGATCGCGATTCTCATCCAGCATGATATAAGTAGGAGGAGGGAGGAGTAATTGGGGGATTGAGCTGCCCCATTCAGGTTTGGTGAGTTTTAGGAGCAGGTAGTGTGTATACCAGAAACAGAGACACAGTAGCAGACAGAGCGCTTGTGTCGGCTGTGGAGGATCTAGTATGAGAGGGGAAAAGAGAGCCTTGTGATTGTCAGCAAGTTTTGAATGATTTCTCAAGTTTTTCCTTCTCATCACTCAACCTTGACTAAAGGAGTTGGACTAGCAATGGTGTGCTGTAAGGACATATTTTAAATTTCCGTTTCAGTTCAATAGTGGGTGTACTGTGGGATCATTATCGTGTTTATGTCTCTGTTCTCTTCAACTCTCCCCCCTCCTCACTTTGGAGGAATGCGGGGCTTATGTCAGTGAGAGTCAGGTACAGACTTACTAATTACTTCTGGCCTTCCTCTCTTTGCGTCCTCCTCCACCCTCCTTCTCTCTCTCTCTCTCCCTCTCTTTCTTGTTTCTGTCGTCTTTTGCTGTATTCCTGCACCTTGCACGCTTCCTTGCTTCACTCTCCTCCACCACGAGACCTTGTGCGCTCCCCCTCTGTCTCCCGCTGTTGCGTCTACAAGTTCTGTCGTGACTGGAGCATAGGACAGGGACAAACGCAGAAGATCTGAGTCACTATCCAAAAAAAATAGAAAAGAAAAAAACACCAAAAGAAGAACAGAAACTTTGACCTGTTCACTCCCAGTCTATCAGACAAACTGGAGGTGCCTTCAGTCGGCTTTCTGGGGGGTTAACAGTGAGTTGTGGGCGAAGCGTTGAGAGCAAATACAAGGCTGAGGTGAACCTGTTCGACAGCTCACGGGGAAATAGAAAAAAGAGGAGAGGAGGATGAGCAAGTGACTAGCCTGAACCGTGCGTTGAACTGTTGACAACTTTGCGACTACTCTTCCCATCTTCCAACAGGTTAGCTTTCTGAAAACACACTTACTTTTGGGATTTTCTCTGTGTAAAAGGTAACAATATTGCCATGCCAAAGTTATCTGTTTGACTGTTAGGATGTTTGTTTGCTTTGCTGATACTAACTCAGTGGGTATCTGGAAGGACATTTCTTCAGCTGGGCCAGTGTTGACCCGGCTGACTGCTCTAACCTTCACTACAAGGTTAGAGGACAGGAACTCAATGTTTATTTGTGTGCAGTGAGTGTGTAGCTGCCCTGTCTTCTCATTTTGTCCATGTGTGTTAATTTGTTGAAGTGTGGATTGCTCAAACTGGTTACGCATGGCAACAGTTCTTCTTCTCTTATACAAATGAGATTGAGTTGAAGGAAACTTGCATATGTGTGTTCTTTGAAGTATGTGTGAATTGTTCAATGGACTGTTTAATGCTTCTAATTTATCAGAAATTAAAAGAGTTTCTATTTAAAAGAAAGATGTAGATTTGCACAGAGCAAACGCAAAATCTTAGTAACAACTCTTTTAATCTGTCTTTTATTTTACAGTTATGTGAATAAGACAGAGTTGAACTTGGACTTGGACAAACTTTATTGATCCACAAGGGAAATTATTTGAACACAGTAGCTCACACATCATTATGAGCAAAATATCACAAGAGCAAAATTATAAATGGTGATAATACATTCTAAATAACTAGCAAAAGTGGCAAGAGACTGGTGTTAAATAATGTCAAAAATGATTAGTGTTTGCCCTTCATCTTAACTGCCAGTCATGTACCTGTGAATACTGTAAATAGTTGCCCCATGCAGCACTAGGTGTGTGAAACATGGGCGTGTTGATGTGCTGGTCAGACCAGAATCCTTATTTTCTAGAACTGCCAACAGTAATGCATAACAGTGTCTGATAGTGATTCATCAAATTGGTCTGCATTGTTGAGTGTCTTAAAGGGCCCATGTTACGCTGTTTTCTGATGTTATAATGCTGTTTCCTCATCGCAAACATACTTGGAGTTTTGTTTTGTTTCATTCATACATGTTTAACACACAAACTCAATATATTTAGACTGAGTTTTTCGCTCAAACGGAAAACACTCCACAGCTCCACTGTGTTTTTAAACTCCACACACCTTTGCTCAAATCATTTGAATAATTTCAACCCTGGAATTGCCCATCTCTAGTGAACTAAAGGTAAAACTTAACTTGAAAACTACCACTTTATGTCATCAGAAAATGGAACAGAGCATTTTGAGCTTTTGGAGATGTAACAACACAGGGTTACTCAAACATGTGTCAATGAAACAAAATACACCTCCAGGTATAATTTTTGAGAAGGTAACAGCATTATTACATGACTTAAAGCTCACAAGGGTCTATTTGGGTGTAATGTAGGACCTTTAAAACGCTGGCTGCCACTGCACATTGAATTTAGCAGTGGAACTACTATTTTACTTTTAAATTTTTTTTGTTATTCATCTCTTAACACTCTGTATCATATCACAGAGTAGCAAAAGAGGGGACAGTCATCACAGATAGGAATTTATATCAGCATTTTTTTCTGTGACTAAACCATGTGACCTTAGTGAGATCAGTTTTGTTTGGGGCTGGTCTGCATTGTTGAGTGCCTTCAAAAGTTACAGAACCTCTCACTTATCATTTATCAGGGGAACTATATTTTACTGTTACTTATCTCTTAACTTGCTGTATTATATCCTACATTAGCAAAAAAGTGGACAGTCAACACAGATAGGAATTTATATCAGCATTTTTTTCTTTCACTAAACAGTGTGACCTTAGTGGGATCAGTTTTGTTTGGGACTGCTCTAGTTTCACCAGCACCAAAAGAACAGATAGAAGATGCTTTTAAAACAAGGGCAACTGGAAGAAGATGGAAAACACTCAGTTAATTTGCTTTTGTATGTTGAAAGACTCAATCATTTTTAAATTTTCTTTCAAAACTTCCATAAATAAGGAAGAGAAAATGCACCAGAGGCACAAATCTCACACATAGTATTGGTTTTGTCACATGGTAGTCACATGACCACCCTATTCTTGAGATGAGGAAGCCCACATTGATTGTGGTGTGTGAAACAAGTGCTTAATCCGGTACCAACACGAATCTAAAGTGAGAGTCTAATGCTGAAACAGGGAGCGGAGAAGCTGTTCGCACTATTGTGTTGTTTATGAAACACCTGTAACTAGATCTAACCACACACACACACACACACACACACACACTGTTGTCACAAACACACACATACCTGGAAAGCACAATGGCCGCATTCTTCCCTCTTGTGCACCTCGTGTTCCTCCCTCTTTAGCCAGCCTCAGATCTGCCAAATGCCCAGTACCAAGGATGCAAAAGAGAAGGGATTTTTTGCTTTCTCAGTCTGTATAATGTCTATTGAAGTTTCTTAGTCTAGTTTCACCCTTCAGGTTTGGTCATGTGACAAAAACATGCAGTATATTTTTCATTTTTCATAACTATCGGTTAGCAATAGTAGTACGTCTTCTTATTCAGTTAGTTTGACACAGTATATAGTACCTTTACCTGTATAATAAAACAGGTGCTGTGTATGAATAATGCCCCTCTAACATCTCTCTTTCCCCCTCCCTCTCTCTCTTGCCCTCTTTCCCCCTTTCCCGCTAACATCTCTCCCGCCCTCTTTCCCTCACTATCCCTCTCTTTCCCCTTCCCTCTCTCTGAGCTCCTCCTCCCCACTCCCACCTTACCCTTGACCTCTGTATAACCTCTCCTCCTCTGCTTGGTGACACTGTCCTCAGCTTTACTCTCCTATGTGTGCCTTATTTTGGTATGCATCTTTGTAGCTTCACTTTTTTTTGTGTAAGACATCGGCCTGTCTGCTCACTTTAACACTCTTGTTCTTGGGCAAGCCTCTCCGCATACCTGCTGCCACATACAATGGACTTGTTGTGTGGACCCCAGACCAAGAGACAAGGCGTGTACAGTGGACGACTTCAGTTTGTCAGTGAAGCCACATGTGGATTTGTCGATTTATTCAGTGAAGTTAATTCATTCTCAGTAAAGGGAGAATGAGATTGAATTGAATTAGCATAAGAATAGGCATAGTTAAACATCCTGTAAATGTATTCTTATGAGCTTTAAGCCATGTTAGATTGTTGTTACCTCCTCAAAAACATATCTGGAGTTATGTTTTGTTTCATTCACACATGTTTGAGGAACACTTTTATTAGTCCATACATCTCCAAAGCTCAAAATGTTCTGATCCACATTGTGAGGTCATGAAGCAATAGCTTTCAAGTTAACACCTCCTTTTACCTTTAGTTCAGTAGAGATTTGCATTTCCAGGGCTGAAATAATCTAAATGATTCTAGTAACAGTATATGGAGTTTTAAAAAACACAGTATAATACTTCTTACTTACTTTCTATTTGAGTGAAAAACTCAGCCTCAGGATTTGTGTGTTAAATGTGTAAATGAAACAAAACAGAACTCTGTATGTTTTTGATGAGGAAACAACATTATAACAGATCAGAAAATAGCGCAGTATGGGCCCTTTAGAGGTTAAACAGGGAGAGCTAAATGAAATACCCCATGCTGACCCTTTACCTTTTAACTAGTAAGTAATATCTTTTAATCTATGAAAAGTATTAAGTCACATACTGGAAGTTGTATATATCTATTATTATCACAATCTCTAGTCGTATCTCTAGACATCTCATCATCTCTTCTGCCTTGTGCTCATGTTGTATTTGATAGTATTCCTTGCTCTGGCTTTTGTTTGCAGTCAATCTTTAATTTAAATATTTATTATATGTAAATTTTATATATTTATTTTACTGTGTGGTTTCACTCAGATGCAGTCAAGACCACAAGCAAATTGACTCTTGTGAGTTTTAATTGTTAGAATGTAGTTATCCCCTCAAAAACATACCTGGGGCTGTGTTTTGCTTCATTCGCACATGTGATGTTGAGTAATCCTTTATTATTAGTCAGCGTACATCTCCAAAGCTCAACATGCTCTGTTCACCGTGTGATGTAATGAACCTGTAGTTTTCAAGTTAACAATTACCCTTTACCTTTTGTTCAGCAGAAATTGATAATTCCAGGTCTTAAAATTATACAAATGTTTCTAGTGAAGGTGTATGGAGTTTAAAGACACAGTGGAGCACTTCCTGTATTACCACATGACATCACAAGGTGGAACAAAGTGTTTTCTGTTTGAGACACGAACTCAGCCTAAATTTGCAGGGTTTGTGTGTTAAACAGGTGTGAATGAAACAAAACACAAATCCAGATGTGTTTTTGACATGGAAACAACATTATAACAGATTAGAAAACACGCAGCACTGTCTGTGTATCTATAGTTGTAATCTTAAATACAACAGAAACATAATGACTGGATGAATTGAAACGTAAATAGATTTCAAAAGCTGTTTTATGTCATGCAGTCAGAGCGGTGGTGGATTTAAGTGTGGTTTGTCCATTGTGTTAGGCTGTTATTAAAAGCTCTCTCACATGCTGATGAGAGTCCAGGCGGTGAGCTGGGATCACGTTGACGTTCAGCGGTGAGTGACCACATGACGTGAAGCTCTAGTTATGATGACAGCCTGTTTTGTTCAGTCTTTTTCTAGATAACTCTCTTAGTTCTTGACCTTGGCAGTGACTGTAGTTTTGTTCAACAGTGGTGGATGAAGTACAGTTTTATTACTTCAAGGTGCATAGTCTAACTTTTCTACTGGAGGGTCCATTAAATGTTTTTCACCATAGAGATGTTATTACTTTGTCTGGAATGCTTCGGAGTATGATATTAAACCTTTCTATCTTCACAGAGACCAAACCAGACCAAGTTACAGGTCAGCTCTGTGGAGAGACAGCCCCACTCACAGTCAGTGTTTTTCTGGGTATTTCTGAGCAGTAAAACTACCTGTAGTTGCATAAATGTAAAGTAGAGTTGTTTAATGTCACACTGTGAAACATTCCTGGCAAAGCAGTGATGGATCCAAAACCAAAAAGTTATATGGTGCAAGTGAAATTACAGCTAGAGAGGCAAAAAGTTACTCAAGTAAAAGTTTCACCTGAAAAAAAAAAATTCTTAAGTAAAAGTATAAAACTACCCATTTAAAAATGTACTTAAGACTAAAAAGTAAAAGTATTTCACACAAATTTTCAAGTATTGTTCATTTGTTGAAGTGTTAAATATAATGATATTGATTAAAATTATATAGATTGTGGTCAACAGTTTCTATACGAAAAAATCGAATCTTGAGTATTTGTTTTTGTTTGCTGAAAGACAAATTTTCAACTTTATTAGTTTGAGCATAATTTTCTGTACATTACAATAAATTCATTGTGATTCAAGCACATAGCTGGGGTGCTCAAGAGAAGTAGTCAGAAGTTTTAAAACACATAAACCACAAATATGGTAAAAGTAACTTCTGAAATCATATGAAAAATACTTTTAATTTTTCAGTCCAGTTCAAAAATGTAAGTACAGATGCCAGCCCCTAGTGAAGTAAAAGTAAAATGTTTGCACTTTAAAATGTACTTACAAAGTTTCCCACAGGTTTATATGAGACTATGGTGGCACAGGGAAATGTTGCTTGATCATTTTATTGAATACAAATTTGGAGTAAATATGTTGCCTCTGTTAGTCGAAAAATGAATGATTAAAGATTACATAAAATTACTACTATACTTTTATGATAAAACAACAAGAAAAAGTATACATTTTACTTGGCTTTTTCTAAGACTGTGGGGGCAAAAATTAGACTACTTCATATTCTGTTCTCTTAATGGGAAACACTGTACTTAAAGGTGCACTATGTAACTTTTCCGTCACCTGCTTGTTTCTATGGATATGTCATTGCTCTGTTTTGACTGTTCCTCGTTATGAAATTAAACAGATTTAGCTTATATGTTTTCAATTATAGGTGGTTTTATAACTCAGAAATACTTAAATACAGAAATGCAGAAAAACAGGCATTCTGACTGTAAGCGAGGTCGCCTGTCCTCAGATCTGACCTGTAACTTGGTAACTTGGTAACTTGGTATGGTTTGGTCTTCATGATGATAGAACATTTTAATGCCATACTGTGAAACATTTCAGACAAAGCAATAACATCTGTATGAAGAGAAGCAAGTGACGGACCCTCCACCAGAAAAGTTACGCAATGCACCTTTAAGTAAAGTACAGATACCTAAAAATGTTCTTTAAGTACAGTACTTTACTACTTGTACTTTGTTACCACCCTCCACCTCTGTAGTTCAGCCATTGGGTTGTGACAGCTCATGTGACCAAAGTGTCAGCTGACCTCTTTTCTTGGCAAAAGGGGAAACTTCTTTCTTCAGAATGGAGAGGGAAAAAAAAATTGAACTCTCTAGTGCATTTGAATGGAGGGAGGGATTGTGCTGAGTCATGTTTGTTCATCAGAAGCACAGATTGGTTGACAGCAGCTTCAGGATGTGAGGTGACACTTGAATGAGGAAGTGTTCGAACTGGAATGGACCAGACATTTCCTGGTTGGCAAAAGTCAAATCTTAGTGTGCAAACTTTTACAATATATCAGCATTTTCACAGGCCATATCTGACATTCGTGTTTTTTCTGTCTGTCTTTGTGCTGAGTGTGGGGGTAGTGCGTGTGTGTGTGTTCACTTTAGGCCTGTCACAGTAATGCATTTTGAAGTGCAATATATGTTTGAACTAAATATAGGTGATATTGAAACCAGAACTTCAAGCAAGAATTATCCACAAAAAGTATTCTTAATGTACAGTACTGTTAAAAATATGAGCTGCAATAAATACATAACAGAATGCAACACTTATGTATTTAGTTTGTATCTAAAATAATACATAAATAATAATAATACATTTTACTTATATAGCGCTTTTCAAGACACTCAAAGACAAAAAAAGTAATGAGTCATTAAGTTGTTTCTTCAACCCTCTACAGGTCAAATAACCAAAATGTTCCCACAAGTACAAAGAAAAAGTAAATGTTGACTTCCAAAAATTATTATTTCTATTGAATGATAAGTTGATATAGCATTTATTGTGACACACCTAGTTGACTTTGTGGTGCCTTCTGTCTGTGGATAATTTTGAAAGTCCTAAAAAAAATCTGTGAAATCTGATTCTTAGAATTCCAGGCACAATTAGGTTTCACTTTGTGTGTGTTTTAGTTTTTGTTTTGATTTTGAAAGAATGCTCCTTGGAATCCAGTTTGTGTGTGATGTGTTTAAATGCAACAGGCAATGCTTTTTAAGTCACATTTCAATGACATGGTTTTGACTCATAACCTGCTGCTTGTTGGGAGTATTTTCAACACATGAGAACTGTGTGGAACTGAATGGTAGGAGAGAGAAACAGCTCAAATATGCTTTGTACTTTTTTGTAGGCACAGAATGTGTTTAGAGACCAATTATAATTCCTTTGCCTTGTATTGTTGTACCTGACATCAAAACTACCTACATGTTTACAATAAAAACTACTTGACTACTTAACTATAATATCTCAATTGCATGTTATGTTATATAAAGGCTGTTCTATCAATGAAGTTCTAGTCATGATTACAATTTCTGCACCAATACTCAGTTCAGTTCTGCATGATTTCAGTTTTATTTTCCCATTAAACCTGTGGTGAAGACAGTCTTTGCTACATTATTTTCCTGTCATCAAGTATTGCTAATAAATAACTTTTTTTCTGTTCAGGTTAAAGGTCACAATGGAAGAATAATTATGATTAAATTATGACCTAAATCATCACAAATGTTTTAAATAAAGCAGCTTCTCCTCCAACCCACATCTTTTATACTGTATAAGGTTTATTTTGTGTTTACTATATTTCTATACTTTTATTTTTACATGTACATACAATTTTATACCTTATTTGACACTAGTCTTGCTATTTTTGCAGATTTATTTGTCACTATGTTGTGATGAGCTACTGTGTCCTTGTGGATCAATAAAGTTTGTCTAAGTATAAAGTATAAGTATAGTATTAATGTCATCTGTTTTAATATCTCTTGTCATAATCTCTCTTTTTGGACAAAATTCTGATACAGTTTTGTCACCACTCTTCTCTTTTGGTGCATAGAGCAATAAAGTCCCTCCTTTTATAAGCTTTACAACCCTCTATGGCCTTCACATTTTACACAAGTCTCCCTCCATCCGTGGACTCTGGACTGTCTCTCCTTACAGCAGATTGTGAGCGCTGCCAAAATCTTAAGAATCAGTGATTACATGTCCTTCATTAACATTGGTTGGTTAATGTGTTGCTTGTAGACTGTTTTTGGTGGAGACTGTGACGCCCCCCGTGATAAGAGCATAGATGTCGTTCTGTTTTTAGGGTTGTTTGAGGTTAAGCACACTTCCTTGCATTGTCACAAGAACTGACACTGATTTCCCTGCCCCCAAAGCTTCTGCAACAGAATGAAGGAAATATAAAACCTTTGCAGACAGTCACTCAAAATTGTAAAACCTATTCAGATCAGTTCTGTATCATTTAAGTTTCCCATTAAACTTGTCGTAAAGCCACTCAGCAGCTATATTATTTTATTATCACAAAGCTTTGCTAATAAGTAACTTTTTTCCTCTACAGGTTAAAGGTCAGAGTGCATTAATAATTATGATTTGTGGTTTAATTAAACTGTTTAAGTAATTGTGCAGCTCTTGTAGCCCCCAAAAGCTTCTGCCTAAGAATAATGGAAATATAAAACCTTTGCAGACAGTTTTTTTTTGTACATGTCTGTGTGTACTTTGGTAACAACTAATATTTATTTATTTATTTTATTTTATATATTTATTTTTTTTTCGGAAAGAACTAATATTGTACACAAATTCTTCCAGTTCAAATATAATATCTTTCCCTTTTTCTTAAGTTGTATTTTCTATTTCTCTAGATGCATGAAATAAGCAGTCAGAGTCCCTTAAAGGTGCTTTTCACCATTATAGCATCATTGCCCATTTTCATATAGTAAAAAAAGTAAAAATTAAAACTTTACTATTTACAAGAACATAGGCGCACAAGAAAATAAAACAGAAAAGAAGTCATAAATTTTTTTTCTAATTGAGGTGAAACTTGAACTAATAATTCAGAAGTGTTTTGAAATGGCAGGAATTATTTATCCTATAAACACCAACTTATATATGGTACTCCCTGCACTTTAGTACTACCTCTGCTTCAGCAAATTTATGTTTTTTTTCATGATCTACATTCCCACTTTGCTGGCTGTAGACTTAGACAAACTTTATTGATCCCTAAGGGAATTATTTGGACACAGTAGCTCACACATCACAATATAACATCATAACAAAGTCCAAAAATATAAATGCTAATATTAAATAATAAAAAAAAAGTAGTTAAGTATTCACATATTTAGTCCTGAGTTATACCTTGTGGCCTTTCCTCCCTTACCTTTCCCTTGAGTTTTTCCTTATCACTTGGAAAAGGAGAGGGCAGGAGGAGGTGGTGGTGGGTGGAGGTACCTGTGTAAAGCCCCACCTCTGTGCACAGGCCATGTAGCATAAGTAAATACTAAAGCACCTTTTCTTACCTCTACTCTCCACAGCCAGAGAAGGAGACTGCCCTGCCACCACTGCCCATCCGCACCTGTGAAAAAGTGAATGGACCACAGTATCTGACACCGGTGTGAATGAGCGACGTGACTCCAAAGACCAGGACTCCGCGCCTGCCTGATCCGCACGGCTCAGTTTGGGAGACAGGTACTGTGACGTGCTGACAGCCTTTCATACTCCTCAACAGATCTGTTGAATAGACTGGAGTCTTCACTACCTTTACTCACCGCCCTAATCTATCATGCTTTCAATCTCCTGTATGGTTCTGGGCTGCCCTGCCTGTTTCACCACTTTGTCGAGCCATAAATGGACACAGTTTTCTTAGTGTGATTGGAAGCCTTGACCTTGTGGGTGAAACCAGTGTAACCAGTAGAGTGGCATGACGTTGGTGAGTGTGTACAAGTGTGAGCTTAAGGTGGGGGATAAAAATACTTCAGTGACTACGTGCATGGTCGGGACAATTACTTTATTGACTTCCGGGACACCCATCATATAATGTGTGGACTTTAAACCCTGTAAAAATGAGCCTTATTTGTGTGATGTTATGGAAACAGAAATCATTTCACTTGATATTTCCAAAGCATTTCATTTTGTGTGTTGCTTAAACAAAAGAGATGTGCATAAGAGTGTGGTTATTGTGTGTTAATCAACAGGGTGGGTTGATATTTGCCTTGTCTGGTGTTGTGTTAGCCAATATAGGCAGTGTAATGTGCTTTTGTGGTATGATTTTCATAAATGAAGTACCCTACACACCTTTGTGCTTTCTTCATTCAATCTCCCAGAGACAGAGGGCCACTAAGAGTCTGTCACGAGTCTGTGACGCTGGCAGCGTCAGTGAAACAATGTCTACCATGGCCTTGAACAGGCTAGCTGATTAGCCTGAGGAATGTGTTTGCCGAGGCAAGTAAAGCTCCTTTGAGCTAGTGCTCCAGCTAAAGCGGCTCTTCTGATTAGAAATTATAAGATATTTTTCAGCCATGTGGCAATGTGCGGTGGCATTTGACATTTTCAGCCCTCCCTGCTTTACCAGAACAAATGTGTTAAGGAGTTGAAGTTTCTGTGCTGAGCAGCGATTCGCACTGTTGAATAATTTTGTTATGACCCTTGTTATCCTAATCTTCGTTAAAATGTTATTGTTTTGAGTCTCTGGCCCCTATGCTTTGAGTTGACGCGTGGGCTTGATGCAGAGCCTTGTAAAACAAGTGTACTCATCATCTTGTGATGTTACTGTAACTGACCTGACACTATCCTCATTCCACTTTGTTTTCCTGAGGAAGGCCCAAAGAGATGGTACCAGGAACACAGTAGTTATTATCCTCTTGTGCTCTTATCCATTGGGCTTTTCTCAGCTGAACCCCCTCCTCTGTCCCCTACGACCCCTCTGTGCCCACCTCCTCCCCACTGCACTGCTCTGCTTTGAGCATGAGTGAACTGCAGGAATGAGGGTGACAGGTAAAGCAACATTTTAAAAAAATTATAAAAAGATACCAGTGAAAGGAAAAGGAGAAGAGATAATTAGGAACAATAGGCAAAATGTGTCTGCTGACAGTGGACATCCTCACATTTATAGATTTATCCCATAATTGTTTTTTATTCAGCCAGCAAATGATACTAACATAGTTTTTGTGTTTAGGGTAAATGAGGCAAGATGCTGTTGTATCAATATATCTCAGAAATGGCACTTCAGTAAAGGGGGAAAAGGTGTAGTTTTTGGGAAGAGTTGCTTCCAGGAAGACCAGCGTGAGGCTGAACACTGCGGAGAGCCTCTCCGTGTCATATCTCTCTATAGAAATAAACAACTGCACTTGTGGTCTTGTGACACACTACTCATTGACTTATACAGAGAGATGAGTGCCCAGTACCTCATACTGATTAAACAAGTTTTATTTCAGATTTTCTTCCTGCTTCATTCTTGAAACTTCTTCTATTTTTTTTCCGTTTGTGCCAGGTTTCAGACTTAACAGACCCACACAGTGGCAGGTAACCTCATTAAATGTGAGCCACGATGATCATTATTTAAAGGAAACATTAAAGATTGTAGTCATGGGGTGTTTAAATTCCTTCATTAGCACAAAATGGCAGTATCCACACTTTCATCTACCGCTCATATAAGCTCTCCTTCATGTTTCTGTCTTATACAGACCATTATAATTTCTTACATCTTAACCCTTGATCCACAGGTTTGCGGCTGCATCCTGAAGCTTGTTGGATGATTAATAAACTTAGTTAAGTAAATATGGTTGGCCTATTGTTGCCCTCTTGGTGAGTTTCTCTGTTAACCATTGACCTGAACGACTGACCTTTGATTACCCCATTGTGCACTGACCAGAACAGGCTCTTCTGAGTCCTAAATGGTCTTACGTGATTACTTTAAGTGAATTGTTCTTTCATTTCATCAGTAACAGTAAGAAGTACATTTTATTCAAATGTCCCACAAACCCAAAGATCCTAATATTGCAGTGATTCCATATGCTACCTAATATCACACCACACCTCATGACTCACCTTAAAACAAGTATTTTATTCATTACTCAGTTTTATAACTGATATGTTATCAATTTCTTTCTGAGATGTTAATCTATCCTCTTTGTCTCCGTTGGTTCTTGTGCTAACCTTCCTCTGCGGGTTTTGTGTCCTCTCAAAGTGGGACCAGTTTTGATTTGCAGCTGAACAAATGTCCGTGAACACATGCCGACACTTTAACTCTGCCCCCTTTACCCCATCGGCCGCGTTTCTTGTGTGGTAGACTTTTAGGATTTTCAAACTGGAAGTGAGTTTTGCTTTACATTCTCTCTCTCTTTCTACTCTCTTGACTGTCCAAAAAGGTGTGTGATGTTTGCTTAAGTTAAGCCACGCCGGGTAAAGGTGCACTTGTAGCTCAAAACCACATATGCTTCATGTGCTGACAAGACAACTTGTATTTTTAAAACCTCTTTAAAAACATACATTATTAAGACTAAACAAAATACACAACAGCTATACTTTTCCCATGTGAAATGTAATGAGTGTCACTGTTGGTACCTGCTGGTTTGGAGTGATAGTAACTAGGCCTGTCACAATAATTACTGTATTGACTATATTGTTCAATATATGATGTTTTTTTTTGTTTTTAATTACTTTTTTGTAGTATTAAGCCTCTATGATAACATTTGAGCTGTAGTTGGTTGAATAATTAACGTATATGACACTTTATAGATACTAGAATTAACTACTAAAGTATTTAACTGTGCCTGTAATTTATTGCTGACCACATTTTTACAATCAGGTTAATTTAGAAAAAACACTGGAATAGTCCTGCTTTGGGGTTATTGTGTCAGTGGTATTAAGCAGTTTCAAAATTATCGTTATCTGGATATTTTTTCTGTAGCAATAAATCCTACTTCAAAGTTAGTTATCGTGACAGGCCTGGTGTAAAGCAGCAAAGTAAAAGTTGTACAGTACTGTACTTAAGTATACATTTTAGGTATCTGTACTTCAGTAAATTTTAAATTTGATACTTTTTACTTTCACTTCAAGACATTTTAGAAGTAGGTATCTGTACTTTCTACTCCATTACTTTTTTAACAAGGCTGAAAAGTAAAAGTTTTTTGTAACGATAGTGTGAGACCTGCTGAAAAAAAATAGGGTAAATTCCTCATTTTATTTATTTTTTAATTCCATTTTAACGCATCCACAGTTTAAGGAAACACAAATAAACAAATAAAAACAGCTAGAAAAAAATTGGTTGTTTCTGTTGAACAAAATTCAGCACAAATCTTTATTAAAATCTCTATTTAAGCTTTATTAGATTTATTTATTTATTGGATCCTCCCAGGGGTCCAAGTTAGCATCTAATCTCAAAATCTGCATGAAATACTTTTATTTTTTACTCTTTAACTACTTTTGAAATACTTCACTACTTTACTAAGTAGATTTTTTTTTTCATGTGATACTTTTACTTACTAGTATTTTAGTATTTCAGTATTTGTGCTTTTACTTAAGTAGCAAATTGAGTACTTCTTCCACCATTGCTGAATCACATCTACAGCGATATCCAGTGGTAGTTAGAGAGAGAAGCAGGCAAACAGAGATATCATTTATCTGGATATTTTTCTGTAACAATAAATCCTACTTCAAAAGTAGTTATCTTGACAAGCCTATTAATAACAAGTGGTGGAAAGTAACAAAGTAAAAGTAGTGTACTTGAGTATATTCTTAAGGTATCTGTACTTTACTTCAGTAGATTTTGAAGCTGATGCATTTCACTTAAGTAACAAAATGTAGTACTTCTTCCACTACTGTCAATAACTAAAACTGCAGTAGTTTGAGTCACATCTACAGTGTTATCCAGTGGTAGTTAGAGAGAAAAGGAGGCGTATAGAGCTACCTGTATAGTGCCCGCCCTCTCATGTGAGTGCGTGTGTGTGTGTGTGTGTGTGGTGCAGAGGAGGCAGGCCCAGCTCTGTGCCCTGCTGTACCTGTCTCTCATGGAGGTGGGCCCACACTCAGGCAGCCGGCAGCGCAGCAGACTGAGAAGCTGAGGTAACTATGCTCTTCCTCTTTCCTCTCTACCACCAGCTCTCCAGCACAGCATTTCTCAGGCTCTAGGCTCTGTTTCAGTCTCACTTCCCTGTGTTTTTGTGGTTTTATTGGCTCCATTGTTATTTTGCAGTTTGGTGTCAAGAAATCTTACTAGTTATATCTGTGAGAGTTGTTTTTAATCAGTTCTAACTTTTTGTATGAAACTAAAGTCTTGAAATGAGTTGAAATGTTTTTGCTGAATTGTAAATCATTGTCAAATAGAAAAGGAAGTGTATAACCTTCATCAACCGTTGTCTATAACTTATCAGAAAGACTGCAGGAATAAAGTGAAAGTTAGCATAGCATAGCTTAGTTATCCTTTTCATTGTAGACATAAGACATCTTAGTTAACCAAAAGGTCATTCTTATTGGAGAAACAGGAAGCTAAGGCAGCACCTTAGAAACTATTGCTTATAGAAAACATTGAGGAAGCTTTTACTCTGCTTGTAAAAAATTCCATCTCATATACTGTTAATACAAAGAGAATCAGGTGCCTTCGTCAATCATAAACACAAGGTTATGTGCGATCTTAGACACATTTTAACCCTCAGATTGACCTGCTGGTTACCTATTCTACTGTGCAGTGTCATTTTATAACCTTTGACCTTTACCTGCCTCTCCTGTCACAGATTTGAGGCGTAGTAATGTTATTGTGTTGTTGATGACTTTTTGCATAAAGACATTGTGTGTTAATCCCGTCAGTGTGATGTGACTTAAAGCAGTGCCGGTCAAAGTTAATCATCTACCTGCTGCCACTGCCTCAGGTTTCCTTCTCTTCACTGCACACACACAAACACACACACATGCACACACACACAAATACACTTTGGATTTACACGTCTTACAGGAACATAGCATTGACAGTCATTTCCTGGAGACAGATCCTAACCTTGACCATTGCTACTACCAACTCTAATTTTTATCTTTTTTAATCTGAACTTTAAATCAGGTTGTTGATCTAATTATAAATGATTTAGTTTAGTTTATTTGTTTATTTATCAGCGACAATACACATAAAACATTCATCTACACAAAGAGGTAATATGTTTTAACCAGGTTATAGCAAACTTTCAAATTCCCACCTTCATTTTGTCTATAAGGACTTGTTTTTGTCCTCATGAGAGAAACAGGTTCCCATGACTGAGCATGTATACAGATTTGGGTCCTGACAATGTGATAAATTTAAATCACACACACACACAGCAGCAGACTCTGATGCAATCAACAGAGAATACCTTTTGATGATATGTTGTTAACTTATTTAACTCATCAATACAGCAAGACAGTCAGGACAGTCGGAACAGAGGTCTAACCTTAAAGTCTGGAGTAAAAAGGCTCTTGTTATCACTGGGCAGAACTCCCAGGGTGAATTTTGTCCTCCCTTTGTCATCAGTGTTGCCAGATAAGACTGAGATAAGAAATGTAGTCAAAAGAAACAAACTAAGAATGGACTGAGCTGCAAAACACACTGTGCTGCTACATAGAAATATATTTCTTTGTAGCAATAATGTGTTCTTGTGATTCAAAGTACAAACATATTACATTACTATTACTCAAAGTTTTCAAACATCATTCAAAGTATATGTAGCTATTTTATTGTATAATCGATTACTTATTTATTCACCTAGTAAAGCGTGTTATGTAAGGTCGAGGTGTGTGTGTCAACACAGCCTTAACTGCATCAAGGAAGTGCTGTTGCTTTGCATAATTTTCCATGGTTTTCAAGGAATTAAAATTTAATTTAACTCACTTTTTTAATTTACTTCTATATGAGAAATGATCAAGTTTGGTGAACTCTGTAATCTAAACGCTTCATAGTTTAGTGCCGTGTAGTGCTGCGTGAGTGTTTGTGCTGTGTTTGGAGTGGAGGGTGGGATATTGGGTCAGGGTGAATGAGAGTGAGCGTTACCATGACGGCGTGGCTTTGTAGTGTCCTCACCTACAGTATCTCCATCGTGCAATCTTGTGACGCACTCCTATTACTCGTCAAGCATGGACTGATCTTTAGTTTTAAAGATTTTTTGCACTGAAAACCAGTGTCCTTCAGCTTTGTACAGCTTTTCTTTACGCCTTTAGGTTAGTTAAGACACATTTTTATCAGGACTCAATAACTAAGTGTGTTTTGTCACTGTCAGTAGAAACACTTTTGTCTTGTTATACCAATCTCTTTGTAGACTTTTATTGGGCGTATGACCAAGTCCTAAGTGAACCTTGATCTAGTGTTTTCAGGGTTTACAGCCTTTCATCGCCGCTCACAGGTGTCAGAGGTCAGCATGAAATCAGAGAAACTGCAAAACAAGGTTGTAAACTCTCCGATAAAGAGGTTTATAGATGCACTATTTGTATGCTCATATCCAGACCATATGATCTCTGTCTATATTTGAGAAGTATTTAAAATTAATAGGTATTAAGATGAAAATGTTCTGTATTATGCATAGGTCTAATGTTATACTTTTTGTTTTCCAGGCTCAGAATCGAATGGTCCTGTCAGAATGACTGCAGAAGATTCAGCTTCTTCTTCAGCCATGAGCAGTAACTCATCTCTGTCCAAACCCTCCAAAGCCTCCAGCTCATCTCACAGCTCGCCCCATGGGCACATGAGCGTTCCTGAAGGTGTGGCAGGTGCACACAATGAAGCTGCTTTATTAGCCCTGATGGAGCGCACTGGCTACACCATGGTCCAAGAAAATGGACAGCGAAAATATGGCCCCCCACCCGGCTGGAACGGTCCCTCTCCTCCACGGGGCTGTGAAATTTTTGTGGGCAAGATCCCACGAGACGTTTATGAAGACGAGCTGGTGCCCGTCTTTGAGTCTGTGGGGCGCATCTATGAGATGCGTCTAATGATGGACTTCGATGGAAAGAACCGTGGCTATGCATTTGTGATGTACACAGAAAAACATGAAGCCAAGCGAGCTGTACGGGAGCTGAACAACTACGAAGTGAGACCTGGGCGGCTACTTGGTGTCTGCTCCTCAGTGGACAACTGCCGGCTTTTCATCGGCGGCATCCCCAAGACCAAAAAGCGTGAGGAGATCCTGGAGGAGGTCTCCAAGGTGACTGAAGGTGTTCTGGATGTCATAGTTTATGCCAGTGCTGCAGATAAAATGAAGAATCGTGGCTTTGCCTTTGTTGAGTATGAGTCCCACCGTGCAGCTGCCATGGCGCGCAGGAAGCTGATGCCTGGACGCATCCAGCTGTGGGGTCATCAGATCGCCGTGGACTGGGCGGAGCCTGAAATTGATGTGGACGAGGACGTCATGGAGACAGTGAAGATCCTCTATGTCAGGAATCTGATGATGGAGACCAGTGAGGAGACAATCAGACAGGTGACATACCCATATTTACTCACACGCTACAGTGCATACAGCAGATTTATAGTTCATATTCATGAAGTTAAATGTTTTTTATTCTCAGGTGTTTAGCCAGTGGAATCCAGGCTGTGTGGAGCGGGTTAAGAAAATCCGTGACTATGCCTTTGTCCATTTCACGTCCCGCGATGACGCTGTTCAGGCCATGGACCACCTGAATGGCACAGAGGTGGAGGGCTCCTGCATAGAAGTGACTCTAGCCAAACCAGTGGATAAGGAGCAGTACTCCAGACAGAAAGCATCTAAGGGAGCGTCCTCCACTACTACCCCAGAGGCAACTCCACAGAGCTACGTGTACCAGTGTGACCCCTACACTCTAGCCTATTACGGATACCCCTATAGCACCTTGATTGGGCCCAACAGGGACTACTTTGTCAAAGGTAAGGTTTCTTAATTGTTACTCTCTTTCTGATCATTAGATGTAATTATTACTCTAATTATTGCTCAAATACCATTACATGCATAGTAAATCATAGATAAGTTTTATTGAAGAAAGTGAGATGTTGATGGACTAATGAATGATGAATTGTCATTGTCTTTTAATAACTGATTACATGTGTGGTCTTCGGGTAATAGGAAAATCTTGAACAATCATTTTGTTTTCTCTTTAAAGGATTCCCACTGATACAAAACAATGGTAATTTTTCACATCCTTACTTTTCATTGCCTTTAATGAACAATGAGCTTTTCTACCATATGAGCGACTATACATTTCTAACACCATTCTTACTGCTGTACTGTCTCCTCCATTCTTTGCCGGGACAATGCAGAGAAAAAAAAAGGAAAATATATTAAACAGGACAAATTAAACTGCCCATATTGCGCTATTTTCTTATCTATGTTATAATGTTGTTTCCTCATCAAAAACATCCCTGGAGTTGTGTTTTGTTTCTTTGACATATGTATCCTGTATATTTAGACTGTGTTCTTCTCTCAAACAGAAAACCTTTGATGTCATGTGGTAAAACAGGAAATGTTCCACTGTATTTTTAAACTCCACACACTTCACTAGAATCATGTGGATGATTTCATGACATCACAAGGTGAAACAGAGCATTTTGAGCTTTGGAGATCTAGACAGACTAGTAATTAAGGGTTACTAAACGATAAATGAAAGAAACAAAACTCAACTCCGGGTATGTTTTTGATGAGGTAACAACATTATAACATGGTTGAAAGCTCACAAGAGTCAGTTTTTTATAATAAAGGACCAATAAAGATTCACCCCAAAAACAGACATTTAGGTTCAGTTATAGCTTTGACTTGTATTTTGATAAGAAAGGACACGCAGCTCAGTATTCTTCCTTAGTGACAGCCCTAAATCCCATCCCCTTGTCATGTGACTCCTGTATTTTAAGCAGGTACTGTGAGAGGGCGTGGTCGTGCTACTTCAGGTAACCGTACCCCTGGACCGCGCGGCTCATACCTGGGGGGTTACTCTGCTGGTCGTGGCATCTACAGCCGCTACCATGAGGGCAAGACCAAGCAGACCGAAAAGCCTTATGAGCTGGTGCCCACTCTGGAGCTCGCAGCCTCTGTCAACCCAGTTGGCATCAAGCCTGGCACAAGTCAGTGAGATAGCCCTAAGTTATGCCCTGGCACATACTCCTGATACTGTCCTCTCTGTCTACTTCTTACATCTCTGGTTTGAATAACTTACTGCTGTTTGCATGCCAACATTTATATTACATTGTACTATGATGTCCTCAAATTTAACTTAATCAGCAGAAAATAATTGTTGTGGTTTTATAATTTTGTTCCCAATTTTATATTGTAAATTCAGAAAAGTACACCTCATGATTGTCTTGATTTAACTTAATTAAGTTACATGATATTATATTGTTTCCTCATCAAAAACATACCTTTAGTTGGGTTTGGTTTCAGTCATAAGTTTAACACACAAAATATTGCACATTTAGGCTGAGTTCTTTTCTGAAATTGAAAACACGGCGTTCGAAAACACAACTCCAGGTATGTTTTTGATGAGATAACGTTCTAACATGGCTAAAAGCTCACAAGAGGTAATTTAATTTTAAAGTAGTCTGTGTCATTGTTAAATTTGAGACATTGTATGTAACAGACATTATATTGTGGATTTACTATAAAATATTTACTATTTGAACCTACTTCCCTTGGTGCTTGGTTGTAGTGTGTGTGGAATCATAGGATCTGCATCTTACTCAAAAGTTGGCCTGTCACGATATCAAATTTTCAAGTGTAATTTATTGTTTAACTAAATATAGATGATAAACGATAATATTGAAACCAAATCATAAAGCAGAATTCTAAAAAAAAGTATTCTAAATTAAGTATATTGTTAAAAAATATGAGCCGCAATAGATGCACACATACATACATAAACAGACCGCAACACTTACATACTCTGTATCTGTAATGAGGCACAGAAGTTATTTATCCAACACTCTAGAGCTCAAATCATAAGACAAAATACCCTTGATAAATGTTGGAAGTACTGAACGATAAGGTGATATAGTAATTATAGTGACAGGCCTACTCAAAAGACTTTTTTCTCTGTACAACAATGCCTGTGTGTGTCTCTGTGTTTGTATGTGCTTGTGTTGAGGCTTTGGGGTTAATCCACAGTTTAACAGCATTTTAATCCAAATCACACTCTCTCTCTCACTAACCTCTTTCCTTTGGCATCTCGCTTTACTCTTGTATGTATGCTTTCTTTTAGCATTAGCGTTATGATTAGCTTCATAATTGCAGTCTGTGTGCATGCGTATTATTTTTGGGTTGCCCGTGCCCATGTTGGTGTTTTTTTCTGTCCAGTGGCGTTGCCAACTCTTGGTGGACAGTACCAGGTGTTCAGTGGTGCTCCTGCTGCCAAACTGATGGAGGAGACGAAGGTCCACTCTGTGGAGCACATCATTAACCCTCTGACCATCCAGCACCCAGAGCATAACAGCACGCCCGCCGCCACCACCGTGCTCCCCTCTGTCTCCACCCCTCCGCCATTTCAGGTGCACATTATCACATACCCTCATATTTGATTTGAGAGGCTTATTGTTCAGGTGAGTGAAATACCATAACCATTTCTTTTTTTATCCTTTTCTTTGCCAGGGTCGTCCAATCACACCCGTGTATGCCATGGCCCCCAATATGCAGCGTATTCCAACTGCCAACAGTCTCTATGGAGCAGGTTATGTGCCAATTACAAACTATGCCGCCAACACCGCTGCGCTGGCCGCCCTGCAGAAAAACGCAGCTATGGCAGCAGCTTATGGAGGAGCTTACGCAGGTTACGCAGTGCCCCAGGCTTTCCCAGCCACTGCCTTCCAGTTGCCTCTTCATGATGTGTATCAAACATATTGAACTATGCATCAAAATGGCCAAGAAACATCTGTCTCAGCAACTAAATTTGGACATAAACTCCAAGTGTTCTAAAATGTCATAGAAATGCTTTTACATAAAGACAGTGAATTCATTTCAGGCTGATATCGGTTTTGGACAGCCTCCACTATGCTATGAAGCTATGAAACATTACTGTTCAAAGTTTTGACAACATTCCTTTCAAAGAAACCAACATCTACACAAAATACATTTTTAACTTTGTTGTTGTAGCAACAACTACTTTGAAGGTACATCACGTAGCCTATTTATGAAGAAAAGAAAGATATTTAAGTCTTATTCATAGTTTTCTATTTACATTTAAGATATGTGGTTTGTCAAAACCTTGTGACAAAAAAGGATGCAAAAGAAGTAACTTGTCAAACTACTGACATAACCGAGCACCATTGAAGACTATTGAAAGACAATGTTTATTAGTATTTGTTGTTTTGAGTATTAATTATGTTAGCCAATGCTTTTTGCTGGTGATATTAGCCCTCCACATTGGCTGAAGGTGTCTGCTTAGAATGTGTGTGGTACTTTTTGGTTTATTTACTTTTTGCCCTTTGTTTTTATATTTTTAATGAAGGTTTTAAGTATTTTATCTTTACTAGCATTTTGTGTGCATGCTTTCTTTTATGAAATATGTGGTCTGTCGCCAGCGGAGTAATATTTTAAGATGAATTTCATGAGGAAAAATGAGAAGGTTTTCAAGTCAGGTCTATGGAGAAAAGTTCCATCCTCAGAAACTGTGTTGGCAGTAGTTTAAGACTGAACATATATGTTTATTATGTGTTTTATTACTGTTTTGAGAAGTTTTCAACTTTTGAAAAGTGAACAAATTTGGACAGAAATAGATGAGACTGAGGGCTGGAGAACATGGCACCATTTTGATAAACACTCCATTTCAACTGACATCTGTAGACATCTGCAGACTGCTATGCATTAGGCCTATACCAGCAGAAGCACGGCTGCAAATCTTCTCAACACTCCGATTTGTTCAATCAGATTTCTTTCCCAGGACCTCTCTTACTTTCTGTCCTCATGTGCTTGCTCTGGGTGCACTTCAATATATTTATAAGAGATGACAGAGTGCCATTTCTATATGAAAAGAAGACATATGAAACTGCATTTATGTCATTATGACATATACCATATTAACTTGTATATACTGGACTGTGTTCAGGGTCTTCTTGTTTAAGATATAGTTTCATCTGTAGAAAAAGTGAAGAGAAAAGGTTGGCAGCACTTTGAACTAAGTAAAGAAGATTAATAATGGGCTTTGGATAACTAAAGCAATACCTCGCATGAAAATGCATAGTCATCCTACAGGCCCAAACTTTTATAACATAAGACAAGCTGCTTTATTGAACACCTAAAATATAACAATACCAAGGTGCCTTTTACAGCAGAAAAGACATATGCCTGTGTTCAGGGTGCATTCAGTTGTTGGCTCAATCTCAATCCAGCATAAAAAGGATAAAAACAACATATTGACATGTTTTTGTATGATGTTATTTGATAAAGTTAGGATATATTTAATATATGCATTACATACGTTGTGAAGACGAAAGAGATACTCTTAATATATTGTTGATGCAATTTCGTTTCATTATTACATGTGGTCTAAGTAGTCTCAAGAGTAACAAAGTAGAAACAATGCCAAAGTGTCCAATAGTTTTTTTTAAATTGTTATTTTAAACATTATTTGTGTTTTTTCATGTTTCAAACTAGATTTGGTGTCCTTGAATGAGAACGCCAAGTCCTTTCTTTTTGACACATTTTAACAGGGTGTGTTGGCCTTTTTTGAAGTGTGTGCTTAAGTCAAAAGCCAATGAAACCTGTGCCTTTAAGGAGAAGAAAAACTACTGTGTCCCACAAAAACATTTTACACAAGTCTTTGTTTTGTCATGGAACCAGATGCAGTATGTTGGTGACAAAGATGTTACCTTTGTAGTGTGCGCCTTAATACCCAAATTCCCTTTGCATTTAAGACTTGTGCTGTTTAAAAAAAAGGTTTGTAATAATATTAACAACAAAAACATGTTCAGCAATATTGTATTTATAGTAATAATGTAGATAGATAAATAAAAGCATTTTCGACAGAATTGCCCTTTGCCTCTTTGTGTCTTTGGTTTAAACAACCACAAACGTAGCTGAAGATTAAACTGAAAATGTGCAAAGGTCCAATAAGAGTCAGAATTTTATTTAATGGTTCAGATTGAGAGGACTTTGCTTCAAACCTCTGTGAATGGAAACTTACAGCTGACCACAGACATTAGTCATTACTGTGTCAAAGGACAGGATGAAGGCAGCACTTACAACATTTCATTATGCATCTTAATTTTCTCACAAAAATATATCTTCAAATTAACCTGTTTTTTTGTTGGTTTTTTTACCTTTAATGCAAACATACGATTAGTATGACATTACAGATTCAGTGACATATTTGCTTAAATGTAAAATATGTTTTATTGCTGATGCACATTGGTTATGGGGTGGACCACTTTGTTGCAGCTAAATGTATAATTAATAAATAAAGTTATCTGGCACCCCAGGGTCATATGCCCCAGAGAGGACGTTAATAGGCAGCGGGCATGTTAAGACATTGTCGCCATCTGGTGGATATATGTGTAATAGCATTGTGTGCAAATGATAATGTGCAATGATTTGTAATGTTTTTATTATAATGTATATACTGTATTTAATAGTAGTAGTATTAGTAGTAGTAGCAGTAGTAGTAGGTAGTATTAGTAAAAAAAAATAGTACTAGTATGATTAATATTTTTTAAATAAACTTTTTTTTTTTAAATGCATACACACACACACACACACACATTATAAATATTATTTTACTTTTTGTAAAAATCTAAACTGGTAAGACGATAAATCGCATCACTCACTTTTTACACCACAATAACTACAATTCCCATAATGCCCCAAAGGGCATGTGAACGTTTGTGCCGTATGCCAACAGCAGATGTATAAATAATCCCACTAGCTTTCTAGCATCAGCCCAACGCACAGCAGCTGTATCCAGCTCTTCTTTAGATCTGAAAGCACACTCTGCTGCTCGGAGTGTAACCTCAGTTTATATTTGGCTTAAAGGAGACGTAACAAAGCGCACAAAATGGCTGCGCTAAAGGCCTGGACGAATAAGTAGGTTTACTATAGCTTTAAGAACGCAAAATAGGGTCTGCTTCTTTAAAAAACTATATTGGTTTATAACTGAATAGATAATTAAGTAAAGTTCTTATTTTCTAATTTACGAATTAGTCCTTATAATTGCCGACAAATCATGCATTCGTAGAAAATGAGGCACAGTTGGATAAAGGCCTCTTGCGACCAAAACGCTCTTAAAACAAACACGGACGACTTCTGAGAGTGCAAGTAAACCCGCTCGACTTTTGTGATTCATTGGCTGAACTGAATAGTCCTCACTGTGATGGAAGCAGTCAGTGAGCGAACAGAGGATGTAAATACAGGAGAAGTGTCTGCGGAGGACAAGGCCACAGAGCAGACCTCGGACCATGGTAAGAGCACGACACCGCGCAGGGGGCTTCGACAGCGGGGAGTGGGGCGCCCGAGACCCGGCGTCTCCGCACCAGCCACGGATGTAAATGGGGCGTCTCTGAGCCCGCAAAGCTCAGGACGGGTGCTGCGTGATCGGTCAACGAGGACTGTGCCGGCGTGGCTGAAAGAGGCGAAAAGTGAGGATGAAAATGAAGAAGAGTTGGACACTGATGCTGCGGCACTCAAGAGGCGCAAAGTTTCAAATGGCAAACGAAAAAAGCAGCCTGATGGTGGACAAGAAGCAGGCGCAGGGATCACTGGTGACATACTGCAGACAACAGAGTAAGTTTTTAATAAATCCAAAGTACGACTCTACGTGCTATCAAATGCTAATGTTATGAGAAGAAAAGCTCGTCCCCCTTTTATACATACATAAAATGGGCGGAGTAACACACCTGTCTGTAGTACCTACCTGTGATTTTAGGCTTTGGTTCAGTTCTGTACTATTCTCACCTACTTTCAATTCTGTTGCAGGTCACATGATCAGAAAAGCCTTACAGATGCAGAAGGTAATCAAAATACTGTTATACGATTGTCTCAAATGAACATAGGCAGTACATTTTTACTTCAGATTCTTGTATATTTATCACTGCAACCTCAGTAACATCTCAGTGCATTGTGATACTGACCTAAAATGTGTGTTCCAAGACCTTTTAAAGGTGTTGAGGTTCTGTGAAACCTATATAAAATGCATATACTGGTATTGGAAATATGTTACTATGCCACCCCCCTGGTAAAAAAAAGTTTGGACACACCTGCTGTAATACACTGTACATAATGGTGCCTTTTTAATGTGTTCTTATAGCACTTCCTTCAAAGAAACTTTCAACTCAGAGCCGTGCCAAGCCTACATCTGGCCGGGCTACTCGGGGCCCTGCTAAACCAGTGTGCAAGACTGAGCCCTCAGCTGAAAGTCCTGTTGGTGAGCGATCAGTTTGGGTGTTATATAGTACTATTATAGTTGTATCTGTTTGCCAGTTCATTTACAATCCATAAACTATTAAACAAAAGTCATAGACAGAAACCATGGATATTAAATTTGAAATTCTCTCAACAGTGGATGAAGAAACGAATAAGAAGTTTGAAATGTAAGTATTATTTTGGATCATTTTTATTGATGGTGCGTTGTTGCCACCAATTAAAACATAATTTATTATTTACATATAATGTGACTGCATCATACCATTTGGTTATTCTATTCCTGTGTGGTATCTGTAAAACTTTTAGTAAGAAGAAAGAAGAAGGAGATGACCTCAGTGAAGATGTACTAGATGTAGAGCCACAGTTTCAGGATTTGACAAATATCAGGTAATGACCAATACAAGAAGCAGAAATCTGAAAAATGTGCCATCACATGTTCTACATGCATCTATGTCTGTGTTTTAAGATTGTCTGAAAACTCAAGAACAGGTTCTGTTTAGGTATTTGATTTGTAACAAAAAGGTGAGCCTTGAGATCTCACCTGTTGTAGTTCCAACTCAACCAGCTTTTTGTGCTCAGATTGTTTTAAATAAACAGACAGTCTTAGACAACTTCGACAGACTTTATTGATCCACAAGGGAAATTACTGTAATCTCAGATTAAAGTCTAACAGGCCTGAAATAGAGCAGTGCTTGCAGTTAGGATCACACCCTGAGGGAGTGTTGATGACATCAGCTGCAAAATCAATAAGGATGCTATAATGTTGTTTTCTTAATTCAGTAGTGCAGAAGAGGAAGAAGACGAGAGCAGTGAAGAAGATGTTCCCTTCAGAGATGACCTAAATGACCAGAGCTATGATCCAAAAGGAGAAAAGTGGGAGTTTACAGTTTATCAGATTTACTGACAGTCTACAATAAGTTTTTAATCAAATTTTTAAATTTATATTTTTTTCAGGGAAGGCCCTAAACCAAAGCGTCGGCTTCCTCCGAGACAAAGAGAAAAGCGAGAAAAAGAAACTGATAAACATCCCAAAGCAGAGAAAGAAATAAAAAAGGAGGGAACAGATCTGGAAAGTTTGGAAAGTGCAGAGGAGGAGGTTAAAGCTGAAGAAAAACATGTTGAGGAGACAGGAGGCCCCAGGAAGTAAGCAAACATCATGACTTTACAATGCAAATACAATGTCCATCATTTACTATTTTCACTTCTGTGCTAGGAGAGGCAGAAGGAAAAAAGATGACAAAACTCCACGCCTGCCAAAGCGAAGGTACAATTGTGCACTTAGAATCTGGAGTCATTAGGATTTGATTGTAATTAATATTTCATATACCCTTTAGGAAAAAGCCTCCAGTTCAGTATGTACGCTGTGAGATGGAGGGCTGTGGCACAGTCTTGGCACATCCTCGTTACCTACAGGTCTGTCTCAACTGTGCCATATGATTAATGATTCAATGTTATTTGTCAAGTAGTTTATAAGATGCTAATGTGTTCTTATTTATCCATCAAGCACCATATTAAATACCAGCATTTGTTAAAGAAGAAGTACGTGTGTCCGCACCCATCGTGTGGAAGGTTGTTCAGACTACAGAAGCAGCTGCTGCGTCATGCCAAGCATCACACTGGTATGTGACACACACAAGACATTTGTAGAAATATAAACACCAAGACCACCTCCCAGCACTATTGTTTTTTTTATAGATCAGAGAGACTACATCTGTGAGTACTGCGCTCGCGCCTTTAAGAGCTCCCACAACCTCGCTGTGCATCGCATGATCCACACAGGAGAGAAACCTCTACAGTATGTGTTCTGTACACATTTTTTGGTCTGATGTGACTTTTATTATTGAATTAACAGCATGTTACTCCTTCATTTTTAGGTGTGAGATCTGTGGCTTTACTTGCCGGCAAAAAGCTTCACTAAACTGGCACATGAAAAAGCATGATGCTGATGCTACTTACCAGTTTTCCTGTTCCATTTGTGGCAAGAAATTTGAGAAGAAGGACTGTGTTGTGGCCCACAAGGCTAAAAGCCATCCAGAAGTTCTAATAGCAGAGGCACTTGCAGCCAATGCTGGAGCACTTATCACCACCCCAGCATCATTACTGGAGCTGCAGGGCATCCCTGTGCCCACAGAGCTTGGCAGTCTGGAGGTGGGTCAGATTGTGCCTGAGAGTCAGGCTCCAGCGGTAACCCAGGTGGAGCATATGACCCAACCAGTGGGTCATCAGGTGGTGTTACTGGGTCAGGACCAGAGCCTACATACCATGCAGGTGCCTGTAACTATTGCACTGTCTCCCATTGACCCCCCTTCACCCGCTGACCAGACTCACCTCCAGCTCCAGATGCCTGTGCAGTTTGTGCAGGGCCCTCAGCAGCTGGCCCCTTCCCCCAGTACAGTGGTCACTCAGCAGCCCCCTCTGCAGCCGTACTCCTCTCAGCAGCAGAGCACAGGGCAGCCCCACATCCTTCAGATGACCTTCCAGCCTGTGAGCCAGCTTCACCTGCAAACCTCCAGCCCAGCTCTCGTGTCTTCCGCCCAGTCACAGGCTCCAGCCTCCTCTAATGGGGAGAGCTTTGTTCTTGACAATCAAGTGATGTCTTCCACCACTCCCAACAGCAGCTGCCTCCAGCAGACAGAGGCGCGTGAGGACAGTGTTGTGTGGGAACAACAAGAAACAAGCTCTGATGTGAAGCAAGGATGGTGCACACGAACAGAAAACAGAAGCTAATTATATGAATAATAATAATGAGAATAATAATAATGGCCTAAACACTGTATTTAACTGCCTAAGATAAGTGTAGAAGCACCAATATAGTAACATGTACTGTTTATTCTACTTTAGATACCTTTGGTAGCTTTTTAGATTTTCTGTATCAGGGAAAGTATGTGCAAGTTGTTGCATTTGTACATAAGTCATGTTAACACAAGTTATGTGTGTAAGAAATATGTTACAGTGCTGGTAATACAATAGTCACCGTGTCCTAAGTAAACTATTTAATCTGGAGTGAGACGCTCAAGGTTTCCATCAAAATTAAATGTTTATGCACAATTTTTTTTATAAATACAATTAGATTAACATAGCAAAACATACTTATGTAACATAAAACGTGTGCTGCTGTTAAGTCTTTACAATTAATACATGTTAAAATTGACATCGTATTGCTACTACACAGTTGTAAATGTTAGAAATTCTTAGATACAAACTACACATTTAGCTGTCACATAAATGTAGAAATCTTAAATAGGTCTAAAGTAGAACTGCACCTCTGTAACAGCGTGGTAGAAAGGACACTCAACTGTTGATTTGTATGTTGTAAATAAATGTCTTAACACCCCTTGTTTTGTTCTTTTGTTATCCAGGGTTAGATGCGTCAGATATGGCCTCCCTCTTTTTCCCGTTGCCTTGCATACTGCTTCATTGCTCGTTTTGGGGGAATTAAAGTGTTGCTTAGTCCAACCCTCTTCTTGGTCGCTTTCTGTCCCTCTGTCTTATCCTCCGTGTCATGCTGGAATCCCTGAGTTCCCTGGGCAGCACATGCACTAGTGTGGGCCTCTCTACCAGTCTCTCGATGGCCGTCAGCGGGTTGGGTTTGGAGATCACTGTCATGGGCATACTTGCACTTAATGCCAAATCTACATCTTCCATCCTTCCTGTAGGACACGCAGATCCGCCGTCCTCCAATATGAGAGGGTCTGGCCTGTTCTGTCAGGGGCACGTGCTTTTGCAGAGCATTAAGTTTCTGGTCTGCCTGAGCCTTAAATGGGTTGGTAAATACGCTGGTGTCAGAGCAGGCCTGCAGGGAGGGTGGGGGCAGTTTATTCACCCCGGAGGACAGTGTGGGGCTTGGAAGACTTCCTCGTGGTGGAGCATGAAGATGTGCAGTGGGTTGCTCTTCCTCTGGCTCTTCTGAATCACTGGATGCCGACCCCGAATCCCCCTCAAGCAGGAAGTTTCGACTCTTCACAGGTTCCTCTTGACACACCTCCTGACTAGACCTTTTCAAAGAGAATATACGTGTAACTATTACCAATGTTAGGAAGTAACTGAATACATATACTGGAAATAACATATTCTGAGTACAAATTTTGAGTACCTTTATTTTGGTACAGTTACTCTTTCATTTGGCTGTATTCAGAATAGTTACTCTTCTAAAAACAAATCAATACTTGGTGGTACTTCATCATGCAATTCTGGCTTTGAACTGCATGTATTATTGAGAAAAAAAAAATACAAATTGGACATACATGAATGCGTAACAAAAATAAAACATTGTAATTATATGTCATGTTTATTACATTATAATAGGATGACCAGGTTTTCAAAATAAAAAACTGGGACACCCGCCGTTTGAGATGGTAATAATAAAACTGTAAAACGAGTGCGTAATTAAGGAAAATAGTTCTGCACTTGGCACTAATGTGAGTCAGTATAGTCACATTTTCTTTGTGTTTTGGTCATCTTTAAGAAGCATTTCTGGATTTTACCCAAAACAAATGACAATGTATGCCTCTCTTCTATGTGAGTTTGTATCAAATTGGTAAAAACAGGGAAATTTAGGGGCATGTCTTGTATAAAACTGGGACAAATCACTAGACCTTTTGGATAAATCTGCTGGGACAGAGGACACAGGGCTCAAAACTGGGACTGTCCCGGGCAAATAGGGACGTGTGGTCACCCTATACTATAATATAATGCAATTCGGTGTAAAAGTATCCAAAGTATTCAGAATGCAGTAATTTGATTGTCCCATGTGTTAGAAAATACATTTTAATGCAGATATTCAGTGTTCTGCAACTACATACATTTTACACATATTCTTTCCATCATTAACTATTACAACAAGGAATAACAACCAAACATTGTTCTTGCAGAGAGAATTAATTTACCTGGTTTTACTGTGTTCATCTGACGCGTCTCCATCGCTCTCCGAGTCCGAGGACACGCCGTAGCCCACCAGCGCGTTCATGTCGTCGGTTCAATGAAAGATCAGCTATTCAACAGGTATTTTTAAGATAACAATGTGCTGTGATTGCCGTACTATTAAGAACATCTGCCTATATAACAAGCCGTCCCTGATTTTAGATATTAAAGTCTAAAAACACCTGCTTGTTCAGACTGACGGGAAGCTGCTCTGTTTATGTCCTTTTGTTTACACTGACACTTCCTGTACTGACACCTAGAGGAGTGGCGTAGTAGTGCACTGGTTAAAAGGCCCAGTGATGATCTTTGTTATAATGTTTCCCCATCAAAAACATGCCTGGAATTATGTTTTGTTTCATTCATTCACACATGTTTAACACACAAACCCTGCATATTTAGACTGAGTTCTCAAACTGTTCCACCTGAGGATGTCATGTGGTGATACAGATGTGCTCCATTGTGTTTTTAAACTCCATACACCTTCACTAGAATGATTTGGATAATTTCAGTTGGATAATTTCAGATGAAATTTCCTATATCTACTAAACAAAAGGTAAAAGGTAGCTATTAACTTGAAAACTACCGCTATTTGACAAGGTGGAACAATTACTCTAATGTGTGAGTGAAACAAAAAACTGATCCCTCTGTGTAGTAACAACACTATAACATGGCTTAGACTTAGACAAACTTTATTGATCCACAAGGGAAATTATTTGGACACAGTTGCTCACTCATCACAATATAATATAGTAAAAAATATAAATGGTAATAATACATTTTGAATAAATAGTAAAAAAGATAGCAAGAGACAGGTGTCAGTTAAGGCATAATTATATAATATATCCATGTAAATTTACAAGTCAAAATAAAGTAGAAAAATTAGTAATAAAATATAAAATCTCAGCTATATACAGGAGGTCATATAGGAAGATAGTGATATGATGATTGACAGGACATGGGTTATCCATTACATAAGGGCAAGTTGTTGTGCAGTTGTAGGGAGTATTATCTGTTACATAAGGGTAAGTTGTTGTACATCTGTATGGAGTATGGTATGAATCTAGTCCTGTATTTCTTAACGTTCACATGAGTCAATTTTGTATAATACAGTACTGGACATTTAAACTCTGGTATTTACTTAGTTTCTAAAATAAAATAAACAAATCATTATATCATTATTTAGTATTGGGTTTCATAGTATTTCCTTTTTAGCCTGTCCTATTTCAGCCTCAGCAGGACCTGAATGTAAGTTCCCAGAAGTACTGGCTCAGCGTCAGGTTAATTACTGCTTGTAGTCTCATTGTGCATTGGCATCTTGATTCACTTACAGAGAGCTTTGTCTGTTTAAATTTGCATTATAATTATTGTGACCAGATTTTTTAAAATTCTGAACTGTGACACACCTGGGTTGGGATGGCTGGTATAAAGGAACTTGTGAAAAGAGCGTGTAAAATTGTGCATTCTCGTGCCAGTCATAATCTGAGAGACTTCTGACGCTGCTTTTTTTTTTTCTTTATAGTCATTTGCAAACACAGATTTCTGTTTTTTTGGCAAAAAATAATGATATTGTATGCTCCTCTTTACTATTGGCAGGGATCAGATTAGTCAAAAACTGTGATAGTCCTGTTTTAGTCCTGGCTTAGACCCAATGTAGTCCTGGTTTAATCTTAGTTTAGACCTGTTGTAGATCAAACTGGTAAAAAATAGGGACACCTGGGACATTTCTTGTATAAATATGGGACAAATCACTGGTTTTGCATAAATCTGATGGGACAGCGGACACAGGGCTCAAAACTGGGATTGTCCCGGGTAAATAGGGACGTTTGGTCACCCTAATTATAGTTCATGAGACAGCCTTTTCAGATGTTAAAACAAATATACAGTCAATGGGTAAAACATGTGTCCTATTTATACTTTGTAGCTGAAGTCATCAAAATTCCCAAGGGGTGTGTAACTGTAAGCACTGCTATGTCTGAGGCTTTGTTTGACTTTAATCTGGTCTTTATTAAACATAATCTAACCAGAAAGAGCTGGTTTAGTTAGAACTACAATGGGTAATGCTGTTAAACAAGTCCTTCATAAATAATATTACAGTCACAATTATTAGCCAACAGTTTTTCTGTGTGTGTATTTTTTCTTGAGGTTTCAGACTATCATAATTCATTTTTTTTGGCAGTGTTTTTCTTTACTGATGTGGGCATTGTGTCATCATGGTAACTAAGGGAAACAGTCCACCATAAACATATATGTAGAACATCCACAGTGATGTCTCTGCATGCAAAGTATCAATACAAGCTCTTGGATACTTAATTTCCTAAATTTGATTGAGTAAACATCTAAGTCAGCTAACACCATCAGCTTTAAAGGTGCATTGTGTAACTTTTATGGTGGAGGGCACATCACCTAACCTGATTCATCACCCGGTTTCACTTTGTGAAAACCATCTGACCTTGCAGCATTAGGATTCGTTTGCTTGACAGTAGGCGGGTACTTTTTTTAAATTTAACCAATTACTGCTGTTTGGCTGTGACGTATGTAATGCACCAAATCGAGTAGCAAGAAGGGCAATAACGTCTTTCCCCTTGATAAAATTCACTAAACATTCTCTTTGTTCTGGCTTTAAATCCTCGATCTCGGGAATCGTTGCCAACACAGAATGTATGTCTTTGTCTACATCCATCTCAACCTCTTTGTTTACTGTTGTGCTTGTTTCTATGGATACGTCATTCCTCTGCCTGGAATGTTCCACAGTATGATATTAAATGGTTCTAGCTTACATTTATTCAATTTCAGGTAGTTTTATAGTTCAAAAATATCTAGAGAAACCAACACTTGGGGTTTGCCTCTCCACAGATCTGACCTGTAACTTGGTCTGGTTTGGTGTCCAAATGATGATAATAAGATCTGCACAGAGAAAAGCATTTGACAGACCCTCCACCAGAAAAGTTACACAATGCACCTTTAACAACATTACTAAAGACAAATAAAATAATAATAATTTGTGTTATTTATATTAATTATTTTAACTTATTAACTACTAACTATATTAACTATTTTAACTTGTATTATCCAAATAGCTACGGTCTGAAGTCTAAGTACTTCCAGTAAATCTGATAAGCCTCTCATGCATATGTTGATGAGCTCCTCCTTTCACCCCTCTGCTCCTGTTGGCCAGGCATCATGTTCCCAGAGGAAAAGGGCGGAGAGCTGGCCAAAATCCTGCAACTCAAGTCCCTCACAACCTGGAAGTAAACCCAGCACAGTAAGCCTCTGTGCAGTGGAGGAGGAGAAATTAACTGAGCTCAACTCTGTAGTTTAGATTAATTACATTCCCATTGGTTTGTAAAATTGGAGGCTGGCCTATTTCTCTCTGTATCTCTCCGTCTGCGGTCCAATGGCTCTTAGACGAACCAGGAGAATGACCTCTCTTGCCAGTGCTGTTTCCATAGCTGAACAACTACATTATGACTGCTCAATTTTGCTGGAACTTTATGTGAGTATTGCATTTTTTCCACTTACGTCAAGCTGCCATGAACTAGCCCATGTGTTTAAGTGTGAATAGTTGTCATTCATGTACTAAAACTTGTGGAATATTAAGAGTAAGTCAGAGAGAGTGGTTTAGGATGTGTGAAAAAGTCTGATAAGAGTCAATGGGTGGGTGGAAAAGAATGAAACGGTTTTACGTAGAATGTAATGTGAAGTCAAGGGAGTGTTTACCAGGAATTAAAGGTGGGTGTTTATACTGGAACAGACATGTCAATTCTGCCTTAGGCTTGCTTTTCGATATTACACATGTCACCTGGTATTAGAAGTGGTTCTTTGATTATAATCTACTGTGGGATCACGCTGGTGGTGTCCTACGTGTATCTCTATGGTGGAATGTGCAGCAGTTATCACAGAGACACAATCTGCACATTAGCAAATGCTGTCGAAAATGTTAATATAGTCAAAGTCGAAAAAGTTTTAATATAGTTAGTTTATGTTCTATGTATTACTGTCCGAATAAATAAATATTCATTCATAGTCTTAAGAAAAAATACAAAATGGACTTAAAGAGCACAGTGAATGTTGATGATAACTGCAAAGTATTCACTTTTATGTAATGTTATCTAATATTTGAGAAGGCATTAGGTATTTTTTGTTTTCACTAACGTGTGGTTTTGATTTATTGATGCCTGTTTGATTGATAGTTGTTCCACCTTCAGCAGTAATTTAGAAGCAAGTGGCAGGAGGAAAGCTGCCAACATGTTGAACCCATCACAGACATGCATAATTTACTCAGTATGTCCCTTGCACTGGTGGAAGTAAAAGTACAGATACTAGAGTAAAAAAAAAAAAAAAAACTCCAGTAAAAGTAAAAGTTGCACATGAAAAGAAATTCTCGTTTCTACTAAGTATTAAAGTACCCATTTAAATTTGTACTTAAAGAGCGAAAAGTAAAAGTATTTTGTGCAGATTTTGAGATCTAATAAAACTTCAAATGTTTTTAATAATGACCTGTGCTGAATTTTGATCAACAGAAACAACTGAATCTGTCATTTTTATTTGTGTATTTTGGTTTGCTCACACACACACACACACACACACACAAATTTCAGTAGGTCTCAAACCACCATAAAATACTTTTATGTTTGAGTCCTGTTTAAAAATATAGTGCATGCAGCGTAGAAAATGCAGATACATGCTCTCAAATGTAGTGAAGTAAAAGTAAAAAGTATCCACTCAACTAAAGTAAAGTACAGATACCTAAAATGTTTACTTAAGTACACCACTGGACCCTTCACTATTCTTTGGGAGAGAAAAGATGTGCAACAAAGGAAGAATTACACCAGAGTTGACACGCATATTGCTGGTTTTCAGATTCAAGAATGTGATGGCAAGAGCCAGTTTTCCCGATTGATTCCCAGTACTTTCCCCTGAAATGTCCAAAATGTAAATTCACAAATGTTTGTCCTGATCATTTTATTATTGACTAGACCCAAGAACTCAGTGAATTACAATAAAAGCCTTTTAAAACTATTAATTTTGGCTGCCCTCCATTTATAATACAGGCCTAGAGAATGTCATTTGCAACCCAGCACTGATCATGATGAAGGAAACCTGTTTCAAGTCAGTTTTTTAAACATTGTCTGTGTGTTATTGCTGGTCATCTCGTGATCAGCCTAATGCAGCCCATGTTTGGACCATCTGTCACAGTGGTCCTAAGTTCCACAGGCTGTACACAAACTCAGCGGCCAATTACATTCTGATCATGCCAGATCAGCTCATGTTGCTGTAGTGAAGAGAGTGAGAGAAAGAAATGTGCAGAAATCAGTAAACCACTGTGTTTTTTCCTCATAGTTTCATTTTAAAGAGCCCATGTTACACTATTTTCTGATCTATCAGTATGTTATAATGTTGTTTTTCTCATCACAAACATACTTGGAGTTGTGTTTTGTTTCATTCACACGTTTAACACATAAATCCTGCATATTTAGGCCGAGTTCTTCTCCCAATCGGAAAACACTCTGTTCCACTTTGTGATGTCATGTGGTAATACATGAAGTGCTCCATTGTGTTTTTAAACTCCACACACCATCACTAGAATCATGTGGATGATTTCAGTCCTGGAATTGCCAATCTCTACTGAACTAAAGAATAAAGGTAGCTGTTAATAACCACCACTTCATGACATCACAAGGTGGAACAGAGAATTTTGAGCTTTGATTACTCAAACATGTGTGAATGAAACAAACCATAACTCCAGGTATATTTTTGAGGAGTCAACAACATTATAGCATGTCTTAAAGCTCACAAAAATCTAAAAAAAAAAAAAAAAAAAAAAAAAAAAAAAGAAACAAAACTTCCTAGCAACTTCTGGGAAAACACATTCAGCTCAGCCCCCATTTCACTTAAAAGCTTACACATTTCTTATTAACAGCAATAAAATTAATTATAGCACAGCATGTCCTGCGCGGTTGCATGTGACACCACACATATGGTTTAGTAACAAGTACATAGGTCTACTCATGTGGAATACATCCTCTACCTTCGTCTGCACATCGCTGGGTTTCAGATGGCATCACAACATTCTGTAGGCCAATACTATTTAATACAGATGAGCAGGTAAATTAATGTTGTTAAAGGTCCAATATTTTGCTAAATTGACTTTAATTGTGAGCTTTAAGCCATGTAAGAATGCTGTTACCTCATAAAAAGCACACCTGGAGTTGTGTTGTTTCATTCACACATCTTTGAGTAATCCTGAATTATTAATGTGTCTAAATTTCCAAACCTCAAAATGCTCTGTTCCAACTTGTGATTTCGTGTAGAGGTAGTTTTCAAGTTGACAGCTACCTTTTACCTTTTTTACCTTTTGTTCAGTAGAGAGTGGAAATTCCAGGGCTGAGATCATCCATCTAGGTGTAGGAAGGTGTAGGAAGTTTAAAAACACAGTGGAGTACTTCCTGTATTACCACATGACATCGCAAGGTGTAAAAGAGCATTTTTTGTTTAAGAGAAGAACTCGACCGGTTTGTTTTGTGAATTAAACATGTGTGAATGAAACAAAACACAACTAAAGGTATATTTTTGATGAGGAAACAACATAAATCAGAAAATAGTGTATTAAGAGCCCTTTAACACAGATGGGGCCAGGTAAAATTAATATTATTAAATGCAGATTTCTGCACTAATGAGTTCAGTCACTAATAGAATGATCAAGTTTAATGTTTGTGAATTTAACTTTTGAATATTTTTTGGGAAAGTACATTATCGTCAACAGGGAAATCTGTCTCTAGTCCCTCATCTGGGATTATGATGTCATCAGACTGTAGACTCTGTAAATTACCAATAGCCATGGATAATATGCAGTTACATTGGTCTGGGGGTGCTCTGCATGTATCTCTATGGTGGAATATTCATCAGTTACCATGGAGGCACAATGCACACATTAGGAAACACTGGCTATTATAGTCTGAAAAAGTCAAGAAAAACATTCAAAACTGATTTAAACGACACATTTTCAGGAACCTTTAATCAATACGAGCGTTCACTGTCATATTTTCATTTTCAACAAAAATCTAAACAAAAAGGTGAGTGTGAATAATTGATAAACAGCTGACTAAACCCAGCAAGCTTGTGACTGTAATTTTACATGTGAGAATAAGGTGACCAGATTTTCAAAATAAAAAAACTGGGACGTTCATGGTTTGTGGTGGTTGGTAATAACAAAATTGTGAAACAAATGCATAATTAAGGAAAATTGTTATACACTTGGTGAGTCAGTATAGTCACATGTTCTTTGTATTTCTGTCATTTTTAAGCAGCTTTTCTGTATTTTACCTAAAGAAATGACAATGTATACCTCTTTACTGTTCACAGCGATCAGATTGGTCAAAAATAGGGACACCTGGGACATTTCTTGTAAAAAAAAAAAAAAAACTGGGACAAATCACTGGTTTTGTATAAATCTGCTGGGACAGAGGACACAGGGCTCAAACCTGGGACTGTCCCGGGTAAAACGGGACGTCTGTTCACTCTATGTGAGAGACTTGTTTAACAGCACAAATCATCTCACCTCTTCTGATTAGATTGTGTTAAAATAAAGATTAGATTACAATCTAATAGAGCTTCTGACAGAGTAGTGCCCTCAGTTAGTCATGCTCCTAGGGAATTTTGAGGACATCGGTTTTCGTAAGTTCTGTATTTGACCTTGCATTGCCCAACACTGAATTAATCCCTTGTGAATTGTTTCTCAGTCAGATGTATGTACACAGGACTGGACATGCATAAACTGAACAAAAGCATTCCATTTCTTTTATCCCTCTGCTATTTAATGCTCAATTTATTTTTATTTTTCAGAGGAAGAAGGAGAGATTTTCTTCGACCGTGACAGTCTCTGATGCTCGAATGGTGTCTGTTCAGCTTTCGTCAGCGCTGTTGGACGATCAGGACAAAATCTGGTTTCTACACTCTGCTCTTGTCCAATGTCGGGGGCTAATGGACAAGGCTGTCTCTAAAGAGGAGGAGGAGCTGGGCGGTGGGGACACAGGGGACTACGAGAAACAACGAAAATTGGTGCACGAAAGACTTTCATTTTTAATTGTCAGAACTGGAGAGCTGCTTAAATCACAAGGTGGCTCCACGTTGAAAGGACCGGAGGTAAGGCACAGATCACGCTGCAATGTTTAGTCAATGTATTGTGTACTTCCTAAGATGATTCATGATTTTGTAAATACCTATGCTTTGCTTTGTTATGTGTGATATATTGTGTGTGTGTGTGTGTGTGTGTGCGCGTGTGTGCGTGTGTGTGTGTGTGTGTGTGTGTGTGTGTGTGTGTGTGTGTGTGTGTGTGTGTGTGTGTGTGTGCGCGTGCGTGCATGCATGTGTGTGGGGGTGTGAGTGTGTGCGTGTGTGAGTGTGTGAGTGTGAGTGGGTCAGAGAGTGGGCAGTGTGCTCTTTGCTCATATTGTTGACTGAATGTAATTGAATTGTAAAAAAAAAAAAAAAAAAAATCTGTAAATCAGGCAGATATCTACAGTATTTAGCTATAATCTAGTGCAGAACATCTTTGGTTTTTTGAGCAAATAAAGACTAAACTAAACTAAACTCAAAAAGTGATGTCACACATCACAGAATTTTGAAATGTTAAACCAGATTTTAAAGATGATCACTAGACACTATAGATCAGACATGTCAAACTCCGGCCTGGGGGCCAAATTTGGCCCACGATAAAATTATATTTGGCCCATGAGATCATATCAAATATGTATTAGAGCTGGAACTCCAGCTACATATCGGCTATAGAGACATTATTTATTTAACATTTTGTTATTATTTTATATTATGCCTGTTGTGGATTCAGTGTTTAAGCAAAACTATTATTAAATATTTATTTTAATAAGAAAAGGTTTAAAATTACATATCTCAAAAGAAGAGAAAACATGCAGATGTTGCTGAAATTTTTCAATAAATATTTAGTTTGACCCACGACTTAGTCCCAGTTTTAAATTTTGACTCTCTGTGAATCTGAGTTTGACACTCCTGCTATAGATGATAGATGTATTTATATTTTTAAAGCCATTTGGATAATATATCTCTAGAAGTTACAGTGCATTTTAACTATTCAAATTTCTTAATACATAGAGCATATCGACAATCAATAAAAAGAAAGATATATGCTTTGCATTAAACCACTAAACTATCAACCCCAGTTAGACGTAAATAATGTCTGTATAATTCTGTCTCATTCATTTAAAACCACTAAATCAAAGCTTTTTGTCCAATTTTCTCAGGTGGAGTGTCCCTCTACTCTGTTTGAGCTGAAGATGTGGGTGTACCGTGTTTTCAAAGAGCTTGATTACTGGGCAAAGATTGCAATCAGCACCTTACAGGCCATGCCCAAGGAGACAACGGTGGTCCGGAGGGTCCAGAGAAGTACACGGAGCTGGAGATGAGGCACGAGCAAGATTTAGAGGAGGCGATGGTAACTGACTGGGGGTAACGTGGTAAAACATGCAAACAATAACCCTTGAAACATTCAAGCAATAATGATTTCAAGTACGAAAGAGAGAAATGACCAAACTTTGGACTAAGGATGTATTTCAGCCAGACAAAAGAGTAGATTTCTGCATACTGCACTGTTTGTGTATAAGACCTTTTGACTTTCTTGCTTGTAGATAATAAATACTGTGCACATGCTATAGAGACTCCATGTATGTTTAATTTATTACTTTGCAACTAATGTATAAAACGTTATTAAAACAAGAATACAAGTGTGATATTGTCTGTTTCAACAATATTAAATGGCCCATTTTACGCTATTTCCTGATCTGTTATAATGTTGTTTTCTCATCAAAAACATACCTGGAGTTGTATTTTGTTTCATTCACACATGTTTAACAACCCAAAGTCTGCATATTTAGGCTGAATTCTTCTCTCAAGCAGAAAACACCCTGTTCCACCTTCTGATGTCACGTGGTAATACACCTTAACTGTAATCATTTGGATCATTTCATCCCTGGAATTGTTTATTAAAGTTAAATATAGCTGTTAACTTGAGAACTACCGCTGCATAACATCTTCAAGGAACAGCATTTGGAGATGTAGAGAGACTAAAGGATTACCAAACAACAACCAGTAAAGTAATTTCCTGCTCCTTGTATCACCACAGACCTGAAACCAAAACAGGAGACAAGAGGCTGGTAAAAGGGCTGTAGGACCCTCCTTGAGCCACGCCCCCTGATGCTTACACAACAGACCTTTACAAAACTCTGAAACATTTTCTGTGAGACCCACAACACAGACACTTCACTTACACAGGACAGGACACAAACACGAGAGGATGCGTGCATTCTGGTAAGAGGCATTCACCTTTTGCCCCAAAGAAACTATAGGCCTATGTGGAAACTGTAAAGAAGGGAAAGCATTAATCATTTCTTAAAATCTTACAAAACTATTACTTAAGTATAAGTTGTGATAAAAATGTTTTTGTTAAAATATTTTATATTTAAGATGCTCAATCATTAGATAGTTAATTATTATACAGTGCTTCTCTATATACGTATATATGCCACAGCTGTTTAGTAATTTTGCAAAACCTATCAAAATTTGTCTCAGTGTTTAAAATAAAGACACAGTATTATTATAATATATATAACATAGTTAGTTTTTCTTGCAGTGACATTTAGCTTGCTTTTAAATGCTAAATAAACAAAGAAATGTAGTGTAAAGTTGCACTGTCAACAATGAATGCCCTTTGTACATTTGCAGTACTGGCACTTGGTCTATCCACCAGTTTTGTTACTTTAGTAAAAATACAGATACAGGGGCAAATCATTACTGTAGTAGAAGATCATAACATGAAAAATAAGTAAAAGTACCCCATTTAAAATGTACTGCACTGAATATTTGTAAATATTTACCTTTGAACCTGTATCTCCTCCCAAAGGCAGATTTACTCTTTGATAATTGTCGCCTTGCTGGGTCATCTACACTGGATCTCAGCTCATAACACTGCGGCTGTGAACCCCCCAGAGGCCTCTCTGTACAATGGCACCCTGTACGCGGCCTGTAAGATCAGACCCAATGAGCCGAACAGTACCGGTCCAAAGATTTACGGCATGGCCCTGTTTAAACAAGACTCCCCTCAGGACAGACTGGCCGTGTTCCTGCAGCTCCGAGGCTTTGACAGTGGCACAGCTGAGCCCAAAGCGGTGCACATCCATCAGTTTCGGAGACCTGAGGTCCAGCTGCGCCTCCACTGGGGGGCACTACAACCCCCACCACGTCAACCACCCTCACCACCCCGGGGACTTCGGCAACTTCATGACGGAGAACGGCCGCATCAAAGCCATGGTCGAGTCTGAGGCCACACTGTTCGGAGGAGACTCGGTCCTGGGCAGAGCTGTGGTCGTCCACCAGCACCAGGACGACATGGGGCAGGGGGGCGACGCGTCCAGTCTTCTGAACGGGAATGCAGGCCCCCGGGTCGGCTGCTGCGTGATTGGGATATCCTCTCCTGATCTCTGGGCCATGTACGCCGATAAACTAAATCCTTAAAGACTGAATTAGAAATGTAATTTTTGTATTGGGAGTTCACCACCTTCTTACTTCTGTGGATATGTCTGGTATTGTAGCTCAAAAATACCTAGAAAAAAAAATACCTAGAAAAACAGGCATTCTGACTGTGAGTTGGTTGCCTCTCCACTGATCTGACCTGTAATGCCTGGTCTCCATGAATATAAAAAGATTTAACCCTCTCAACTTTTCTTTTTAGCATAACATTGGCCCTATTGCACCAAATAGTACCAAAATTGGCCAATTTGTGTATTTTGTGATGTATGTTTAATGTCTGTGTTTTTTTCAAGATCACATTAATTAAAGATCTATAATCAAAATACTCATACCTGTGGTCCTTCTGTACATTTTTGTCCCACTGACTTCCATTCAAAATGGTTTTGTTTACTGGCATAACTTTGCCCGTTTATTTTTACTTTGTGATTTGTTTTTCATTCTTTGGTGTTGAACCCCCTTTAAAATGTTTTGTTTTAGTGTCTTTTTGAATTTTTTGATATTTTTCTTTTTACTGTGTATCTTCCTTTGCAAGGTTATATCAATAGAAAGACACTTACACATATTAGTCCACACTGAGTTTGTGATGTGCAAATTAAAATTTAGTTGGAAAATATAGAAAACATCACATTTTTTTTTTTTTTTTTTTTTCATGCACATAATTTGAGACTTTCGCAAACAAAACTGTAATTTAACGTGTTAAAATTTAAAAATATATAATATTTGGTATGTAAGATTAGAGCAGAAGTAAATGAAGACACTGATATAAAAATGTAAATTTTTGTCACGAAGGACCACAAATGTAACTCTTTTTAAAGGGGTGCACAAGGGTTAATTCCATATTGTGAAACATTCCAGACAAAGCAATAACATCTCCACGGAGAAAAGCATTTTAAAATGAAGACAAGACCTTTTATGAGTGTAGTTGCTTTGACATGACATTTATTCAACTTTGTGCCATTGTGCTACAGGTAAATACAAGTGTGGTAAGAAAAACCTTAAGAAATGTCACTGTGATCTTTGTAATGTGGAATTATTGAATTATGGTTTAAGTAAACATAAATCTTTAAGTAAAATTTTGTTGTTGTCTAATTTGTTTTTGGTCTTACTACACCTCTAAATGATGAAACAATGAAATAAAACAATCTGAAATGGCCTTAAAGCAATACATTAAATAAACATAAAAAGATGTGCTTTAAACATTCACGTGCCAAAGGTGCAAAATTTGAAATAGTTTAAGTCATTGTAACAAAAGGTATTGATCAACACTGATGGTAAAAGCTAAATGAGCTACCACAATGTGTCTAATGCTCTTCCTTGCAAAACTGTACATTTTATTCCAGCAGAATCTCTTTGTATTCTAAACTCTCCTCTTGAGCCACTTGCGCATCTTTCGCATCACATCACTGTGTCTAGATGCCAAAGTTTATCCATTCAGTAAACTGTGGAGCTCAGCAATGACTGCTCACCACCCCAGGTCCAGAAATACATTTCTCATTCATTTTTCCCATGGACTTTCTGAAAAATATATAAGGTATATAAAAAGTTTGTAAGCTTGATCATGGCTATCTGGTAACAAGACCTATAAAACCTATAATTTTATGTTTCTGAAACTTTATAAATCACCAAGTTTTTAAAACATTTCACAGAATCTTGCTTTTTAAATATGCTTTTTGGGATTAAATTGACTGCATTAGGGATATTAGTTAGCCAATCAATCAAACTTTATTTATAGAGCGCTTTTCATACAAAAAAATGCAACACAAAGCGCTTGTAGCTGGTTAACCTTTTGAGCATCAGGTCCCAAATATGTACATGTACATATCCTTGTTTTTTTGTTATTGTTGTTGATTCTTTTTTACCTTGCTCAAACAAATAAAATGAATGAATGAACCTCCACAATGCCTGAAAAGTCTATGAGACAAATGAATGGAAAACTTACTTCTGGAACTGAAGCAGGCATCACTGTTGAGTTCCATTGCACCTGGCCCAGTGTATGACCTGACTCTTTTTACTGGTTGAACAATTTTACTTGTGTTTACGGGAACAATCGTCTTGGTCACTAATGATAAATAAATATACGTCTTAAAAGTCCTATATTACGCAAAATGGATTCTTGTGAGCTTTTAGTTTCATTATAATGTTGTTACTTCATCATAAACATACATGGAGCTGTGTTTTGTTTCATTCACACATTTGAGTAATCCTGCATTATTAGTCTGTCTACATTTATAAAGCTCAAAATGCTCTGTTTCGGCTTAAGATGTCATGTAGTGGTATTTCTTCAAGTGAACAGCCACCTTTTACCTTTTGTTCAGTAGATATTGGCAATTCCAGGACTGAAATCATGCAAAAAATTGAAATATTACATGACATTACTAGGCGCTTTCTGTTTGAGAGAAGAACTCAGCCTAAATATTGCAGGGTTTGTGAGTTAAACGTGTGTGAATGAAACAAAGCAAACAACATTATAACATATCAGAAAATCGCTTAATATGGGCCCTTTAATCTGGGTTGTTTTTAAGTGTTCTCTTCCTCATTTGAAGAATCAGTTCCTTTTGTATTTGCTTCTGTCTCTTGGGTTAACCGGACATCCCCTTCCGTGTTGGAAGCAGTGTTGAAAGAAGAAAGATCTGAGGTTTGGGCACAGTACACACTTTCAGCCTGCTCAGTGTCTTTGTCCATCTCACAGTCCTGGTTATCTATCTCATTTAAATTGTCCTGTGTAGTAGTAATAGCAGCAGTATCCTCATAAAGTCCATTTTCATCTGCATTTGTATGATTTAGGTTCACAGTCTGGGGCACTGGGCTGCTGGTTTGTTCCTGATCTTTCTGGGAAGGGCAGGTTTGGCTCAGCTCTGGTCCCTCCGTTGAAGCTGTTTGCGATGCTGGGAAGTTTGTTTTTTCTTGGTTTTGTTCAGATTCCTTTTCACCTGACAGGAAAGAAGGCAGAAAAATCTTAGTGTATGCTTGCTTGTGGTCTCTTGTAGTTAAATAAAAAATTTATTCTTATACCTTCACTAACGTTGCAGTTTGGGGACTCAGGGGCTTGTTCAGTCATAATAATGGTGTCTTTTCCTCCTATTACAAGACAAAAATATGAAAAATAAATAAATAAATCTTTATACTAATATAAATATATAATATAATATAAATAAAATACAAATATATGAACGTGACTAGACATGATGATTGATTTTAGGATGGAAGTTCAGTTCAGTCAAGGAGATAAAGAAAAGAACCTACTTCCATTATATCCCAGAGACACATCATAAGTTAAGCCTCCAACAAACAAGAAGCAAAGCAAGAAAATGAACAATAAACTTAGTTATTATTAAGTAGAAAGTATACACAGAGTAAATGAAAGATTAATATAAATGTAAATACCAGGCAGACTCCATAGTCCCGACATCTCCAGTGATTTAAATTTCTTCTCCAATTCTGCCACGCGATTTCCAAGAATTCTAGTAAAAAAACGTTCAACGTAAATGAGAAAATTAATCTGGGATATCTTGAAGCAAAACAGCAAAATTGCATTAAAAGGTCCTATATTATGCCAAATTTACTCTTGAACTATAAGGGATGTTATACTGTTGTTACCTCATCATAAACATACCTAAATACGCAGAGTTTCAGTGATAAACTCCAGGTATGTTTGTGATGAAGAAACAACATTATAGCATTCATACATTTCAAACAGCAACATTACAAAATAGCGTAATATGGTCCCTTTAACACTCAAGAATACCTTTAACTTACTTGTTGATTTGGCGCTGGTGCTGTATCACCATGTTCTTTTCATGGATGGTCTCTAACAGCGCTGTGGCCAGAGATTTGAGATCTGAGATGGACTGGGGAGTAACCGGCAAGCTACAGCCATTTTCTTCAGACAACAGCAACTCCTTCACTGAAACAGTACATCGTAAACATAATAAGATACTTTTAGCAACCTTTTGGCTGGGGTGTCTGCTTATTTCTATGGATATATCATTGCTCTGCCTGGAATGTTCCACACTATGACATCAAACAGATTTACCTTGTATTTACTCACTCACAGGTGGTTTTATAGCTCAAAAATACATAGAAAAACCTGTAACTTGATCTGGTTTGGTCTCCATGAAGATAGAAAGGTTCAATACCATACTGTGAAACATTCAAGACAAAGCAATAACATCTCCACAGTGAAAAATATCTGACAGACCCTCCACCAGAAAAGTTACAAAATGCACCTTTAATAACGTTACATAAGATTTGTTAACATGAGAGGCTGACCTTGTTTGGCAGAGAGCACACCTGTCAGCGCACTACTGTTGGGTTTACCACTTATTTTAGAGTTTTTCCGGCACTCCAAAGCGGTCTGCAAATACAAGGAAATTTGCCTTACGAATCTCAAAATATTACACAAATTAATTCATGATAAATGTTACTCATGGTAATAGAGCGTACTGTGTGTGCTACGTTACCTTATACTTGGACAGATTTGATTTTAAAATGGTAACTTCTTCTTGTAGCTGATTTAGTCTCTCGTGTAAATATCTGTAAAAGTGAACCACAAAAAAACTAATCTAAGCTTTAAGTCATGTTAGAATGTTGTTACCTTATTAAAACATACCTGGACTTGTGTTTTGTTTCATTGGTTCCTGGTTTATTAGTCTGCCTAAATCTCAAAAGCTCAAAATGCTCTGTTCCACCTTGTGATGATATGAAACAGTGGTTTTCAAGTTAACATCTACCCTTTACATTTAGTTCAGCAAAGATTGGCAATTCGAGGGCTGAAATCATCCACATAATTCTAGTGAAGGTTTAAAAACATAGTAGAGCACTTCCTGTATTACCACATGACATCACAAGGTGGAACAGAGTGTTTACCATATGAGAGAAGAACTCAGTCTAAATATGCAGGGTTTGAGTGTTAAACATGTGTGAATTAAACAAAACACAACTCCAGGCATGTTTGTGATGAGGAAATGATATTATAACATAGATCAAAAAATAGCGTAATATGGGCCGTTCAAATTCCGTTCCATTCAGACCTGTTTTCCATGCAGAGTGCGTCTACGTCCAGCATGCGGATCTCATCATTGCCAAGGAGGTGATTCATTTCCACATTGAGACGATGAGCCTTTTGTTGAAACACATCCCGCTCTGCTCGTATGTCCTGAAGCTCATCTGTCAGAGACTTTACACTGTGGTCCAAGAGTTCATTCTGCAACACAGCATCCACCTTCATAAATCTTGTATTTAAACAGAATATTATGAGCAAAAGAAAAATGAAATTGTGTCAACTAGACAAAAGGCAAAATGTCTTCACTTAGACTACGTTTAAATCCAGGGTTAGCTGTGCCTATGAATGACAGATTTTTCTTCTGCACACTTCTCTCTTCTCTTTTAATGTACATTTTATGATTATTTATGTTTTAATTTGTTTGTATTGTGATTTTAATGTATTTCTTATTCTGTACAGCACAATGAATTACTTTGTGTACGAATTGTTATTCAAATTGTTATACAAATAAACTTGCCTTGCCCTAAAGGTGCATTGTGTAACTTTACTGGTGCAGGGTCCGTCAAATGTTTTTCTTCATGGAGATGTATTTTTGAGTTATAAATCCACCTGTAACTGAATAAATGTAAGGTAGAGCTATTTAAAGTAATGTCATACTGTGGAACATTCTAGGCAGAGCGATGACATATCTATAGAAAAAAGCAGGTGATGGACCTCCCAGCAAAAAGTTACATAGTGCACCTTTAAAACTTTTATTGAATTTTTCTTTTTCTGTGGATCATCCCTGGACGATTGAAGGATTACAAAGAATATTATGACGTGCAACAAATCAACTAATCTGATCACCTGTTCTCTTGATTTCTCCAACTGTCTTACTAGATCCTCTCGTTCATGAGCGGGAAAATGTCTCATTCCAACCTCATCGTCCCCCAGCCTTTGTTTGGTGATGGTCATCCGCAGCAGCTGTGAGGAGCAGAGCTTTTATTTACATTATACTACACATTTTAGAATAAATTTACATTAATATATGCTTAATATGCTGCACCTTATTGTCGCCTTGAGCTTCTGTAAGTCTTTGTTTCACTTCCTTCAGTTCATCAGAAAGTTGTTGACTTTTTTCTCTCGAGTCCCTCAGTAACTGTGCTAAATTGACCTAATTTATCAAAATAACAATTGAAGTTAAGATTAACACATTATCAAGTACAATGCAATCTACAGTGACAGAACTAGAATAAAATATTTACTTGGTTGCGCTTTTCTGGAGGAAGAGAGGTATCTCCATCCTAAGGATTATGTAATAAACTTAATTTAAGCAAAAGTAGATATGGAGTATAAAAGGACAATTTGCATTTAGTACTTACAATGAGCTCCCTGTATTTCTTCTTGAGTCCTTGGTGGCGCTCTCTGAGCTGGTTGGCCATCAGTTTGTACTGGTCCCTCTCCTGCTGACACGTGTCCAGCTCTTTGGACAGGATCAGAAGAGCTTCTTTTTTGCTTTCCAGCTTTCTCTTGCAGATTATAAACTGAAGAAGGCAAGTTTACAGTGTTAGTTTCTCAAAGAAGAAAAGGCCCAAGATGCGAACAAGACAAAAGTGATTAATTACAAGCCTAGTAAAAACCTGCCTCAGGGAGTTTCTAAAGGTTAGAGCTAAAGGGTATTGGCATTTCCCCTTGTAATTGGAATTAGGCTCTGAGCCAACTGAGATTTGTGAGATGCAATCACTTCTTCAAAGACAATCTCTGCAGTACTACAGAGATATTTGTCTTAAAACATGTCATATGCTAAATGTCCATGGAAGCATAACAGTCAAGTCAAGTCAGCATGTTATTACATTAGCTATTAGCTACATTAGGTGATGTTTTACCGAACAAATCTGATATAAAAATATATTTCCCTTTAGTGTAAAATAGTGGTCAGCTGGTTGCACCTTGGTTGTTACATATATACACACACATGCATACATATGTCCCCCCTCCTCCTGCAGTGTGGCTGTTCTTGGACTCACCTCGTTGAGCATCCCCTGCCACTCACTCTCACTGCGGCGGGTCTCCTCCATCTCCTTATACTTTTCTTATAAATAAAGTCTCAGTGAATTAGAGTAAAATCATGGCGCATTTATCCTAAAGGAGAAATCCAGAAACATCAAAACCAAATGGATAATCCCCTCTCCAAAGCACCTGCATCACTTCCGCTGGTCTCGAGGCGCAGGGGGAGCGTCATGACGCATTTCCTGGTCAATTTGCGATAACATCAAAAAGAAAAGAACAGAAATCCACAACAAACATGTGTCAGTATGCGATTTTCATTTATTTGAATGTCCTTTTGACGAAATTAAGTAACTTGTTTTCACAGTTTAGATTTTGTTCACTTGAAAAATGGTCAGTAAAACATTTTAGGTAAATAAATAAATAAATAAATAAAATAAATATCCAGTCAGTGTCACTCAACAAACGAGATACAACAATAAGCGCTATTATAGTATGAGACAGATGTTAATTTTACACATTTTACAGGGACATTTCAACATTAATTATACATTTACATTCAACATGTGCAGCAGCATAGTACAGTTTCAAAGCATTTTAGCTTTAATATAGGCCTAATGGCTAGTTGCATAGAGATCTGAAGTAAGTTATCACCTCACAAACTCACACACTGTTATATTGCTTATATAGCTTTTACAGAGATTTTAGTCTTCACACTTTCTGTATGTATTTTCTTTTAATATCAGAGGCTATCGTTATGGTTATGCTTTCTATTTTCCTTCATATGCAGTACAAGCATTTAATGGCTTTTGGGTATTATAATGCATTTACATTCAAATTAAATCATTTTACTTATTACATTTTCCATTTCACTCATTAGTATTTGATTATAAGCTTAAATCTACTATTATATGCTCAAACACCATTGTTTTACCCTTGAAGCTTGGAGAAAAGATAAAATTTCTCCTATCAGTGCTCACTGCTACAAAAGATCGAGGTGACTGTACGTAAATATCCTTAAACTTCTTAAACATCTTTGCATCTGCATCCCACAGAAATATCTGGGTGAATGAGTAGTCACTGCCCAGCGCCAGGTAGTGTCTGTTTGTAAAGCTGAAGGGCTGCAGAACCATAGCGCCTCTAGATGGAAGAGGCTGGATTTCACTGAACAGTTTATTGGTCCATTTGAGAACTTTGGAGTCACCAATGTAGCAGGTCATGGCTAGAAACAAGTCCTCCCCCAGTCTGAAAGCTTTGACTGCTACTGCATCATCAACATTTGGAATCTCACTGTGAACTATGAATTTCAGTGTGCTTTTGTTCCACAGGAAAATAACGGGGGACTGAGAACGACTGGCCAAGATCAGATAGGACTTCCCATCCACTTGGACATACTCAGCGTCTGTGTCTCTGAACCACTCATGGAGAAATTGGTAAGTGTAAAAGCCAGTTTCGTTGCGTTCAGGTTCGTCGTTCCATTTGTACACCGTGGACAGACCGGCTTTGGAGCTGTCCACTACCACAAAGTACCACTCTCGGTCTATCTGGAAAACTTCTATGTCATTTGGCTTTGAGATGTTGAAGACCTCAATAGTCTGAAACTTTGTGAACTTGTTCTGTTGAGCATCAAACTTGTAAATGTGAGAGCCACCAAAAAGTTGCGTGATAATGATGAGGATGTGGTTGTCAATTAGGACAGACTTGCATCCAACAACAGACTTCCCTTTAAAGATGAGAGAAAAAGAAAGAAAGAAAGAAAGCCACAGGTTACGCAAAATTGACTCTTATGAGCTTTAAGACATGTTATAATGTTGTTATCTGTTCAAAAATATACCTGGAGTTGTGTTTTGTTTCATTCACACATATTTGAGTTAACCTTTTTTATTAGTCTGTCCATCTCTAAAGCTCAAAATACTCTGTTCCACCATGTGATGTCATGTAGTGGTAGTTTACAAGTTCACAGCTACCTTTTACTTTCAGTTCAGTAGAGATTGGCAAATCCAGAGCAAAAATTATCTAAATGATTCTTGTGAAGGTATATGGAGTTGAAAAACACAGTGGAGCATTTTCTGTATTACCACATGACATCACAAGGTGGATCAGAGTGTTTTCTGTTTGAGATGAAATTTGCTTATGCATAAATCTGCCGGGTTTGTGTGTTATTCATGTGTTAAAGAAACAAAACACAAATCCAGGTCTGTTTGTGATGAGAAAACCACATTATAACATAGATCAGAATATATAGAGAAAATAGAGCTCTTTAATAAAACCTGCAATGTTGTCAAAACTTCTGAATTTCATCTCAATGTGATCCCACTCCATGATTACGCAGCTGTTGGTGTTGGGTGATGCCATCGCGACATATATGTCCTCTTTGAAGGAAAAGATATCCGCTGACATGGCCTGAACATTGATGGACTGGTGACGCACAAAGTCTGTAAAATAGACAAAGACACAACAGAGGCATAAATAACGATTTGTGAACTGCAATGCACAACCACAAAGAGGAAGAGATGGAGACCGATTCTTTTTGGTGGGTTTTTCTTGAGCAATTTGGATGGACCACAGATGGACTTATGTATTATGTAAAATTGACTCTTTGCTTTTGACTCTGAGCCTTAAGCCATGTTAGAATGTTGTTACCTCCTCAAAAAACATATCTGGAGTTGTCTTTTGTTTCATTCACATGTGTTTGAGTGATCCATTATTATTAGCCTGTCTCCATCTCCAAAGCTTAAAATGCTCTCTTCCACCTTGTGATGTCATGAAGCGGTAGTTTTCAAATTAACAGCTCCTTTTACCTTTAGTTCAAGAGCAACTCGCAATTCCCTCTTAAATTATCCAAATTATTCTGGTGTGTGGAGTTTAAAAACACAGTGCAGCACTTCTTGTATTACTGCATGACATCACAAGGAGTGTTTTCTCTTTGAGAGAAGAACTAAACTTGCAGAATTTGTGTGTTAAACATGTGTAAATGAAACAAAACACAACTTCAGGTATGTTTGTACATTATAACATAGATCAGAAAATAGTGTATTATGGGCATGTTAAAAGCTCTCTAAGGAAACAGTGTGTTGAAGTAAAATACTTTGTATCAATAACAAACACAATAATATGAACACATGAAAGCATATTGTACTTTATGTAAGCTATGCCCATGGTGCCTTTTATCGCATGTTCAATTATTTAGATGTTTATTGATTGATTTCCTTTTTCTTCCTTCCTGTGTAACGGAATAGAGTAGTTTTGATTGAGATTAAAGAACCTATTACACTATTTTCTGATCTGTGTTATAATGTTATTTCCTCATCAAAAACACCCTGTTCCACTTTGTGATGTCACTCCATAAATCTTCAAAAGAATAATTTGGATTATTTCAGCCCTAGAATTGACAATCCCTTCTGAGCAAAATGTAAAAGGAGCTGTTAACTTGAAAATTACCACTACATGACATCACAAGGTAGAACAGAGCATTTTGAGCTTTGGAAATGTAGACACCTTAATAAAACAAGATTACTCAATCATGTGTAAATGAAACAAAACACAAATCATTTATGTTTTTGATGAGTTAACAGCATTATGACATGGCTTAAACCTCACAAGAGTCAACTTTGCATATTGTACCTTTATAGTACCTAAGATAGTACTTTAAAAAAAGTGTTTTTACCTGTAGACATGCACTGTCTGGGGGCGAGTGGGAGGTCATTGAGGCGTTTGCCCTTCATATCAGTGGGACCAGCACACATCACGTCAGACACAGTGGCGTTTGTGTTCTTCAGCCACGCCATTAACCACTTATTCTCACAGCTGCACTGAAAAGAGTTCCCCCTGAGGTCCCTGATAAATAAAAAAGCAAATGTATGAATTGAGGAGCCTTGAAAAATCACATATCGACTGTTTGTGTAATTTACCCAAAGGTGCATTGTGTAACTTTTCTGATAGAGGGTCCATCAAATGCTTTTACTCATGGAGATGTTATTGCTTTGTTTGGAATGTTTCACAGTATGGCATTAAACCTTTCTATCTCCATGGAGACCAAACCAGGCCAAGTTGAAGGTCAGATCTGTGTGCTATTTTTTCTAGGTTTTTAGCTATAAAACCATCTGAGATTGAATAAATGTAAGGGTCTTTAATGTTTAATGCCATACTGTGGAACATTCCAGACAGAGCAGTGACATATCTGTAGAAAGAAGCAGGTGATGGACCCCCAACCGAAAAGTTGCATAGTGCACCTTAATGGATGTCTTCACATTTAAGCTATGTTGTTAAGCACCAGATTTGATTTAAGAGAAACGCAAAGGCCTATCATCATTTGTGCTGGCTCGGACTTTGCTCCGCCTGAGTCAGCTTCACTTTAGAAAGCACAAAGGAAAAAGAGACACATTACTGATGCCACAACTGCTTACTCACAGCTCCAGTAACGAGTCCAAGTCGAAAAAGAGGTCTCTTGGCAAGGACTTCATCTTGTTGTTGGCAAGCGATCTGAAACAGAGCCATAAGAGGAGAAGATACCATCTTGTTCCGCTTAATAGTTGTGTTTTCAGCCATTATGAACTGAACCATATACAGTAAATGTGTTAGCCTAATCAGAGATAAGTATGACTTACAGATGGGTAAGGTCCCGCAGGCCACGAAAGGCATTTTTAGTTATACTCTCAATTTTGTTGCCTTCAATAAACCTGTGTAAAACAGAGTAACAAGATCAGCTCATGTTATTAGATGTGAAGGATAACTTTTGGAACAGAAAAAAAAAAATATCTTACAAATATTCAAGATGTGGAAGTCCAGAGAAAGCATCGTCTCTGATCGTAGTCAAAGAATTTCCATTTAAAAGTCTGCAGAATATAAGAGATCAGTTGTATATCTATAGGCCTATTGTTGTGACATTGATAGCCCACTGTGACATGGTTCAATACGGCTGTGTTATGTCAGTCTTGTATTTTCATCATTTATTTTCATTGTTAAATCAGTTGGACGCTGAACTTACAGTAGCTGCAGTGAAGGCATTAGTGCAAACATGGCCTCAGTGATTTCAGCAATGGACCCATTTACTATGCTCCTAGACACAGACACACAAATCAAAGTCAAACTTGGACGCACAGAGCACCATGCGTATCGGATGTCCGACTGCAGAGCGACGCTCACAACACAAAAGTACGTGTCCTCTCGAGCAGTAGCATATTTATAATTGGCTAGGCTAAAAAGCTGATATAAGTCGTGGAAACGGACAAAACACAGTTGGCTTACAGTGAGTTGATGTCACTGGGTATAGTCCGTGGGATCTCTGAAGCCCCCACGCAGACGATCGTCTCCTTGGAGCACGAGCATCCTGAAGGGCATTTAAAGTTTCTCTTGGATTCCGCGCGAACGAAAAGAAAGAAAAGCACACCAGCTGCCGCCAGCCATCCCTGAGAAGCCCGCATGTTTTTAACTTATTATCAATGGCCGCAGAGGAGACCGAGGCGTAAACAGCTCTGTCCTGTCCCGTCCGCCTGGGCCACTTCCAAACGCAGCACTGAGATCCTTCGCACTGACACAGGCTGATACGGTGCAGCATCAACAAGGCGTGAGACTGTGAGCTCTGCCCACAGGAGTCCACCAGTGTGAGTGTAATCTGGGCTACAATGGGTCAGACAAGAGCTAAGAGATGTTTAGGAGTATTTTATTAAAACAATATAATAGAATAAAATAAACTATGCACCAGCCAATTAAATAGCCGATTATTTAAATGAATATATTAATATTAAATGTTTCTTTGTTTTCTTGTTTTCTTAGATTATAACTTGAATTGTAAATAATGGTATGACTTTATTAAAGAGCTACTACCAGGTTGTAGTTGTTGTTAAACGATTGTACCACTAGAGGGAGATAGGGCTCACACTTTATATGACACCAACTTCTTCTCATCTTTATTTTTAAATCAAATATTGAAAATTACAATAGCAGGTACATACAGGTTCAGTATCACATTATAAAAATTAAAATCATCATCAAATGCTTCCACATGTTTTCATATGTCATTGATATTTTTATTGCTTTTGAGTAAATTCTTTCTTTGATTATTAATGTGGTGACAATAAGATTACTCCCCGTTTGTGCATGGGCCTAACAAGGTGCTGACCTTTGCTGGAGCTGCAGGGGTCTGTGAGCAGGAGTGAAACTGAAGCCTTGTTGCCAGAAGGCATCAGCCGTACGTGTCTGCCATTGCTGGCATAATCTGTGACAGCTCTGCATCTAACATTGCTGTTTTTAGTCTAGAGTGTCTCCGAAACACTCAGCACACGTGCAAGCTGAAACCAGATGAGGCCACAGCAAACATCTCTTTGCTATTTCTTTCTAGACAACCATCAAACTGTCATTAGGGAGAAGGCAGTGAGCTTGTTCAACTTCATTTTTCTGGAGCCTACACACAGGAGCAAAACTACCACAAGTTATTGTTTTGTTTTACGCATTAGCAGCTGGCTCCCATGTGTGGCCCTTGACCTCTGGATGTCATGTTATCACATTGTGCAAATGACTTGAATGTCTATAAAACTTTATGTTTGTTAAGGAATCAGTCAAGGAATCAGAGAAGGGTTTAACCTTAGGTTTCTCACAAATCATTGTGAAGGTTTTACATGTAGAAAGGCTGTGAGTTCAAATGCAAAAGTAAAATCTTGGAGAGCAGTCTTCACTCCCTCCTCTCTCCTCTTACATACCATTTACACCCTGCACAGATTGTTTTAATGGGAGAGAATAGTTGAATGTCATTTACAAGTCTTTGGCTAAACCAAATGATTAATGTGATGCTTATGGCCATTTTTTATTTTTAGCATTTTAATTTGTGGAATGGAAAAATGCATTTGCTTAGTCACATCACATCACCATAATACTGTAACTAAACAAAGATAAAGACATCTGCATGTGAAATACAGTCTGTTCAGTGATTCTTCATGCTTCTAAGTGAAATGTCATTATCAGTGGTTTGGAGTATCTGTTAATCCTTTACATCCCCAGAACAGCTCACATGTGACACTTTCCAATCCACAAATGACCTCTGAACCTGGGGGGGTGGGGCTGGGTTGGCCGGGGGTAACCTGGTTACTGCTTCACAGCAGGTTCTCAGGATTTCAAACCTCTCTGGTTCCAGCAGCAGAAGGCTCACTCATCAATATAAGGACAAGCTGCTGGAGGCACAATCTCGCAAGGAACATAAACATGTCATAACAGTGCAGCCTAAACCCATCCACTCTGCATGGAGCAGATAATTCATACAGGAGGCTGCATTCATTCATTTTTAACCTGACACACATTAGGGCACAAATTTATGATCTTGTGAATGCAATATTTCTGTTGAAGGAATACATTTAAATAAATAACCAGGGGTTCACAGAAAATATCCAATAGAATGTACAAAACACAAACTTCATATGCACATGTATTCATCTTTGTCTTTCATTTTAGTTTTCTCCTTCTCTGTGGGGAAAATGACAGTACAAAGGTCAAGATTTATTTAAATCCTTAAAATTATATAAAAATATTTTATAATAAAAAAAAAAACTTAACATCAAATTAGTTTTTATAATTTAATAGTCATGGTGGTTACATTTTTATATAGTGCTTTTCCACCTTCAAGTCACTCAAAGCGCTTTACATCAAGAAACCACTCACCCATTCACACACATATTCATACAATATATGCAGAAACTGAGGGTGTAATGGGATAAGTGCCTTGCCCAGGAACACAATCACAGCTTTCATCTGTGGGAGCTGGAATCACACCGTCTGTGTGTGGATCAGTGGATCTGACTGCCCTACTGATGATGTTTATGTCAAGACTGAGATTTGGACCATCGACCTTTGGGTCAGAGGACGACCAACTGGACAGAAGCTTAAATACCTTCTTAAATGAAAACTGTCTATTCTCAGCTGCTGCTCTGGTGTACACTAACATCAGCTCAAACAAACAACTGTCAGACCTGCTCTGTCCAGTCCATCCAAACTCTGTCAGAGTGAATTCATCACACCCTGAAAGATTTAGGGTGAGGGTGAGAGAGGAGAGAGCAGGGCCACAGACCAAATGCATTTTAGAAGCAGCTGTGTGTTGTATATTACCGTGCTCTGCATAATCCTGACCAGGTCTTCATATGGACTTCTGATGGTCCTGATTAATGGTGCTCATGATTTAACACCTGCTGTTTTAATGTAGCCACTGTAAGAAACTGATCTCAACTGGCATGCGTGAGAGCTGTCCCCATTTTAAATAGCTCCCTAAATTTATCATCTTTGTGGAGGTCATTTTAACCTGTCTATGGGGCCACATTAGGAAATATAATAAATAATATCAATATGTTAGGCTTTCATAATTACAGAAAGTATGTATATTTATGTATGAACACAAAAGTCTGTGCACATCACTCTGATGGCCACTCCCTGACAGTTAACTGACAGGTGAAATAATATGGTTAAATAATGCACAGAGGCAATATTTCCATTGATAATGTGACCATGAGGACCTCATAGGACACAGTAGTAATGTGTTTTGTTTTAAATCATCCTAAAAATAACAACATACTTAGTTCAAAACATTTAACTGAAATAAACCGATTGTTAAGAGTGTTGGTCTGGTGTGAGACTGTAGTCTAATGAAGGTAAAAGTCAGATGCGACGGTGCACAGAGTCGCCCCTGTGCCTGTGTCCTTGATAGTGCTGTCAGTGTGCCCTCCACATGGAGCAACTGGTCACTGCCCCTCCTCTCTGCATTCCTGCAATCTGGGGCCCTGTCCAGAAACAACACTTGTGTCTTCAACACCTACACATGCATTTAATAACTGGGTCATTACAACAAAGGAGCCTGCTCCCACATTATGATAACATAACATGGTTGACCATACTTCACTCCTGTCACGTGCCCACTGGCTCTGTGTGGATGGTAAAATCACATCTGCAGTTATAGGCCGAGGCACACTGGCACCTTTCAGTGGGAGTATTTCTCCAGACAGCTGTGCACACACACGCACACACACGCACACACACGCACACACACACACACACACACACACACACACACACGCACACACACACACACACACACACACACACACACACACACACGCACACACACACGTTACTCACTTGAAGCTACTAATAAAAATTAGGACATTACATAACTTTAAAAATGTTATAGCCAGTATCCAGTCTTTAATGTAAAGCCCTGTAGGTTAAATGCAAAAGTCCATTACAACTGTGTAACTTTTTTAACAGAACCGGCCTTAGCAGACTTGTAATTTGAGCATACAGGTCTTTATTCAGATCTATAAGCTATTGTATTCAGAATGCGCATATAGTAGCATTTAACTGTATTACCACGGTAGGCATACTAGTTAATTTCATTTCTAAAATCTATGATTTTAATCAATTGTAGGCCTAATAGATCCATCTCTGTTGCTGGCACAGTAATTTTCCATTGTAACGCGTCATTGTGAGAAACGTGACCCGAGGCAGAGCTCAGGACACAAGGAGCTGTTCTCCGTTCAATGGTGCTGAAACTGCACATATTGACATCAGATCTGATAATGACGGGATTTTCCTCGGGACTCCCCCGCGTGCTGCCCTCCCGCTTATTGACAGCCGCGTATTTGTGCTGCCCTCCCACAGCCCTCCCCTGGACCTCTGCTGAGGCTCGCGCCGCTCTTGCCCCTCAGAGTTTTCCGTCCTGTGTCAGGGTAAGACCGTAACCGCGCAGACCACCTCCACACGGCAAGACTGGACTAAATGGAAGCAGCCGAGGAAACTCTCACTTACCGAGATGACACCGGACTTCACAAGAAGCTGCTCCCGGAGGACAAAGCCTACAAAGACTCTGGCAAAGAGATTAAAGACAAGGTCGAAGCGAGGAGCGACGAGTCCAACTACATGGACACTAAGACGGACAGTGCAAAGACGGTCAAAGTGTCTTTCACCGGTGAAGGAAACCAACTGTCTGTCAGTAAATGTGACGGATCTAAACAAGGAGTGAATGAGAAGTTAATTTTAGAAGAATCGGCGGATACAGTTTCAAATCAACCAGTTGTTAACAGCGACTTTAAAGACGCCGACTTTAATAAATTAGGGGAAGCTGATGGCCACGAGACGAGCGAGTGTAGTGAACTGGCACAAAGCGAAAGCGACGACCTGCACTACACGGATATGTATCTGAACAGTAAGACCGAAGATGAAGATGACGAGGCCGGCGCGCTGCTGTCCCACCACTACGGCTTTGACACCGGGGAAGATGAGTCCCACTACATCACCACACACGAGATCCAACTCACTGAACTGGACCATGATGTAGACTACGACCTGGGCAGAGGAACTCGCTGGGAGTTTGAAGACGACAACTTGGTTTATTCTTTTGTGGATTACGCCACCTTGGAGACGGATAACACTAATGAGGGAACTTTGATACTGGAAGGAAAGAGCGCCTCGGAAATCCAGGCTAATCTCGGAGGACGGGTTGTCAGCACTGAGCAGGACGAGAGTGATCTCTTCGAGTCTGATAAGTTTGCCAGTTCAGATGAAAGCTTTTGTAAAAACCAAAGTGACGCCGGGAAGATTCACTTATCAATACAGACGGCCTCGAGGGCCGTCAACGAACCGCCTTTGCTCGACAGCGGCGACAGGGGCCGCTTGTCACTTGTGAGCGCTGGCGCCAGAGCGGGGCCCTTGAGCGATAGAGCTCAGTATTTTATCCCGGCCCCCGGCCGTCAGCACCTGGCGACCAAACTGAGACGGAAAGATATAAATGAGTACTCCAGTGGAGCTTCCAGCTCCATCAGTGAGCTGGACGACGCTGATAAAGAGGTGCGTAATTTAACCGCCAAGTCTTTCCGCAGCCTGGCATGTCCATACTTTGATGCCATCAATCTTAGTACATCCAGCGAGTCGTCTATTTCGGAATATGGACTCAATAAGTGGGCTTTCGTGGATTGGAATTACAGAAACGTTTCGCGTAGCAAGGAGCACAGCATCATTGCGCATAAAAATACCAATTTAGAAATGAACCAAAGTGCCGAGAATAAAGTAGCTCAAATGAAGCACCCCCACGGTGCTATCCCAAACATAGATAATGAAGACCCATCTGTAAATTTATCTAACAGCAATAAACAGAACGAGCCCGGGGGTCCGGTCCAGGACAAACAGCGTGAGGTGACCCTTAATTTCCGCTGTAATGTTGAAGCAGGAGTGCGTGAAGGTACCAAACGTCCGAAGTCTTCAAGCGCACGATCTAGGGAGGTACACGGCACAGTGCTGGCCAGGTCACGTTGTGAAATGGAATATCGTCACACTGATGACAAGGACCCTCACAAAAAAGCAATTTTTGCATCAAGCCTTTTGAAAAATGTAATTTCAAAGAAAATGCAGTTTGAGAAAGAGCGCAAAATGGAGAGAGGTGAAATTCATGATTCGTGCTTAGGTCTGTCTCCTTGTGGTGTGTTGAAGGTTAGGGATCTGGGGAGAAGCATGCAAAGACAAACCTCTGAGTCAGGATCTGGGGTCACTGTAAATTCAGCAGAGGAGTTACATGTGGACGGCAGCAGAGCCAGTTCCTCTGAGCCTGTAGAGGAGGGCAAAAGCAAAAAGGATCAAGAATCACAGAAGGAACAGTTGGACAGCCCCTCACATCACATGCCTGACCCAGTAAAAGAGACAGAGAAGAATCCCAACAGCATGCTCACAAAACTCCTTTTTGTCCCTAGATGCCAGCTCTACACCAAAGACAAAGACTTCTCTAAAGATGTGCCCTCTCAAGCCACAAACAGCACAGGGAAACCACCAGAGATTAAGATATGTTTAAGAAGTGTCAAAGAAAACAAAGGGTGCACTCTCAATATTGCCAGTTTGTTAACCCCTAAAATTAGTTACAGCGCCGTAAACACGCTCAGAGCCGCAGGAGAGATAAAATGTCCCATAGTGTCTGCATCAGACAAGATGCCGACTTTCACGGTAAGAGATATTCGAGATACCAAATGCAAGTTTCAAACCCCAATTTATCAAGTCAGAGATGTGCGTAAATTAGTCAAAAGTTCATATCGTTTTGTATCTCTGGACAATAGTGAGAATAAAAACCCTACAGCCATTTCCACAGCAGCAGACACTGCTGATATGGCTAAGAAGGCAGTGAAGCAGCCATTAACAGCTCCAATGGTTATTAAGTGTCACTCAGTCAAAACAAATGTGAAAAAGAACACAGCTGAGGTGTCACAAAAAGAGGCAGAAGCAGGCATGCCTTTCTCCAAAGTTAAGTTTCATCCTGTGTCTTCAGAAATGAATTCTGACCATGTAGAAGCTCCGTGTACCTCTGACAATAAACAGGTAAAACAGAGGGTAGAAAAAACTTCAGGTGAGTTTTCAGACAGGAAAACTGAAACGAAAATACCTAAACAGGCTGCACTTGAGAAGCTTAAAGCTGCTGTGAAGAGTATGGAGCAGCTGTATGTCTTTGACAGAAATGAGTGGAAACGTAAAAACCAGGCCTTGCACTCAATGACAGGGAGCCATGTGCAGTCTCTTATCAGCAAAGAGGAGCAGCGGGAGGAAGAGGGTACAGTGGACAGGGCTCGCCAGGCTCAAACATATAAACCACACGCTAAGGGATATATGAACGTCATGCATGTCCCATTTAATTGTGAGACATTAACACAATTAGAGCCCAACAAAGAAGGCAGCAGAAGTACACTGCACCCAGAGCACACCAATAAATCACACATGATCAAAAGCTCTATCAATAATCCAATCCCACAATGCTCTGCTCCCAAATCATACACTGTAAAAAGTTCAAAGACAGCGGCGCCAGTCTCAGTGAAAATAGATGCACCAAAATGTGGGCAGCTGGACAAAGCAAAGGTCACTGTTAATCCCTCTGTGGCACTGCCCGTGTCAGATTCGGAAAACTATCTGACTATACCTGGACTCACTCCGGAGGGTGGGCCAGGGACTAAGGAGGACAGTGTAAACAAACATGAGACATACATAACTACATGTTCAAATAAAAAAAACTCACCCTTAATTATGGAATATCCTTCTTCAGCGCTCTATCATCACTCCAATGTCGTACCACAGCACGTGCTCTGCTTCTCCCCCTCTGTCCCCACTGTGTCCCCCACTCCCTCAGGAGGGGACACTCAGAAAAAGATGCTTCTGGACCCTGCCACTGGACACTACTACCTGGTGGACACTCCTGTACAGCCCACTAAGAGACTGTATGACCCTGACACTGGGCAGTTTGTGGATCTGCCCCTGTCCCATTCACCTGTGTCCCCTGTCACCCCTGTGGCATCAGTGACCCCTGTGCCTCTGTCTGTGTCCCCTCTGGCATGTGCACCCACATACATGATTTACCCGGGCTTCATTCCCTCGCCCACACTCACCATGCAGCCAGTGCCCCCACAGTCTCACTGTGAGGAGGCAAGTCACCAAAAGAAGCACAAAGACACAAACTCTCCAGTTCTGGCAGAGAAAGTGTACTACAGTCCGTCAGGAGAGGCCTCGCAGAGCGACCAGCTCCCTGGACCTGTAGGTCATGTGACCAGTGGAGGACGTGTAGCGAACAGACCGTCTGTTATCAGCATCTCAACACCACACGGCCCTAGAATCATCGCCCCTCCCTCCTTTGATGGAACAACCATGAGCTTTATCGTGGAGCACCGGTGACCAACACTTTTCACACACAGACTTCAGGTGAGTACAGAGCACACTCTCTGTGTATTTCCCTATGTACTGCCCTGGTTAAAAGAAAAACATCTAGATACTCTACTCTGCTTGTATTCACTTGGGCTCACAGTGGACAAATTATTATATATTTATTTTTAAAATATACATCATTATTATTCGTAATTAGCATGTGTATTATTATTATTATTAGTAGTAGTAGTATGTTCTGTATTTTAAAACAAAATGTAATGTAATGTAAATTAAATGTTATTTAGCTGAGATAACATTTTCTTCTAAAGAAATTATAATAGCTCATAATAGCATATAACTCCCTCCCTTCAGGTAACAATGGTGATTTTGTACCAATGTGACAGATTTGCAGCCTTCACTGTATGGTACAGTCCAGTTCAGTCTAGTGTGAGCTCTGCTGTTGGGACATGTTCAGTGTTAATAAACATGCACGAGGTTCATGACAGGAAACATGACTCCAGTGCTCTGCTGTGCTCCCTGGGAGACTGGACTTTCAGCCATGTCCAGTCCCACAGTTCCCTTTTCTATGCATTACACACAGTCGGGCTATTTTAATAGTGTCAGACGAGTTTGTTTACATGGTTTATTCTCAGGGTTCAAACTATTTATGTCAGTGACGCCTCACAAGTTAGTATTTAAAATATAACATTGATTTAAATGTCTAAATGTCCAGGTTTATGATATTTTTGTGAAACATTTGTTATTTCACAGTATCTTAAACATTACAAACATATATTATGTTAGAATGAATGTACATATAATGTCTTATATTTCTTTATTTTTCAACAAATGAGTCATTGACATACAATATATAACAGAGTCACAACCAACAGTAACTTAACATCTTTAGTATAACAAAGAATAAGACCAACAACAATGTACGTGACAGGAGCACAGGACAGGGGCACAGGACAGGAGCAGAGAACAGGGGCACAGGACAGGAGCACAGTACAGGAGCATAGGGCAGAAGCAGTTGACTGCAGGCATGTCCAGGTTTAAAGGGCACACACATTAGTGTGGAGTATCTGTTACAATTCATATAACACTTAACTGTCCTCAATCATAAATTACAGCTACACACACATTACCTTTAAATTATCACCTTTGATCAAATCTCATTGGATTAAACATTTGATTAATTAGATTACATAACCTTCAATTACTGAGGGAATTATACATTATACTGACATATGGTTATATACAAGACAAAACACTTATATTTAACTTTATAGTGTAAGTAAGTACTCTTAACTTTGTACTACATATTTCCAGCTGTATTTGTTTGCATGATGTGATATTGGTCTTACGATGATCAGACTGAGCATCTGTCATAGGTACTGTAATATACTGAAGTATTGTTATATACTGAGGTACTGTCTTATGTATTGTGATATACTGAAGTATTGTCATATACTGAGGTACTGTCTGATGTATTGTCATATACTGAAGTATTGCCATACACTGAAGTATTGTCATATACTGAAGTATTGTTATATACTGAGGTATTGTGTATAGACTCAGGTACTGTCTGAGGTAGTGTCTTACAGTGAGGCACTGTCTTATACTGAGGTATTATAATGACTCTCTTTGACTGTAGACTGATGTTTTACACGACATGATATGAGCTGATTAGACGAGGTGAGAAAATACCAAATAACACATTTACAAGATAACTACATGTTCATTTAAAAAAAATCACACCTTTAACAATTTGCACTTCAAAAATAGCCTCTGATTGAAGCTGTGTCATTGAAATAACTACACAGTCTTCAACATTTCAAACCCTTATATATCGTGACCAATATAGTTTGGGTGGGCACAACTGGGCACTATAGCCCAAAAAAAAAAAAAAAAAAGTTTAAAAAGATGATTCAGAATTTCTAATTAAATTCAAGTGAAAATAGCTTTCAGGATTAATTTCATGAACACAAACAAGACATTTATTCAGGGCCATCTCACACAAAAATTCGAATGTGTTTTATTTAGTAATTTATTTATTAAATATCATATTTATTCAAAGTCTGAACTCTATTTGTATCACAGAGCCTTTGCTTAAACAAACTGAACCATCATTGACTTTGAACCTCATTTATTTATTTGTTCATTCACAAAACAACTGGACATTTTAAATTTAACATTCCTGTTTGAAAGTGTCTAGCAACATTTGAATTAGCAGCTTACTAAATTTACTCTAGAGGGGCTATCTGTCATCACATTATATATTTCCTATGTGTGTAGGGCCTACATGTTGTGGGTCAATATTTTAATAATCATTTTAATAAAGTAAATTTGTATTTAATATATTGTGTGAAGAAAACACCACAAAATGTTGGATGGTGTAGACACCAATATGGGACAATATTTCAATTTGGTGTCATTATTATCATGGGCAAAATAATTGCGATTAACATTTATATTATAAAAATTAGTTAAGCTGCTGACAGTTTAAAAATGTTATGTTATGAAGAGGATCCACTTTATAAAGTTAGGTAGGTTAGATAGGTTTGTACTTTATTATAAATTAACAACAATGATCTAAAAGAGAATATGGAGAAGTAACTTTTTTTGCAATTATGATTATATAAAATGTCCCACTAACAATTATTGTCCACCCTTTTTGTCACGATAACTGATATATATACCATGGTCACTGAGTTACTGGTGTGCATTAATACAGCAAACTGCATAAAGAAGTGGACTAAGGGAGTGCAATGTCACCTGTAGTGTTTGGCTCCACTCAAAGGGAGATTGCGATGCTAAAGGTTATAGGAGTTAGGCATTAGGCATTAGGCATTTATATTAACACAACATAAAAAAGTGAAATAAAAACACCAGGATCGTGTAGAGCAGGTTAATACTGACATTAAAGACCAAAGTGACTATGCTCACTGCAGCAGCTACAGAGAGAGGTGACAGTATTCCGATGTAAAGTCAATTGAAGCCAGAGTTGATGGAGCCAGCAGCGCCCCCATATTCACTTCCTATTTGGAATACGCCGACTAACGCGTTCGATATGTGCATGTATATATATATATATATATATATATATATATATATGTACAGTCTATGGTTAACTGCATAACACACAAGTAGTCCAGCAATGGTTAAATCACATTCTCTTTCACTGCTCTGCTGCCATCGCCATGACATGACATGACAACAGGTAAAGAAATGCTCAAATGCTGTGAGATATGAGATTGTAGGGACTAGCTCATTTAAAACACTGAAATAAGAGAGAGAGGGATACTGATCATTAACTGATATTTGAGACATTTACAGATAGGGAAAAAAACTTTTCACATTCACAGGTGAAACATTTCAGTTTGTAGCCGTGGTATAATGCTTACTTATTGTTTATTGTTCCATCTCTAGACACTAGATTAGGGCGTGAATTTTTTGGAATAGTCTAATGGAGCAGAATTTACACACAGTTCCATTGCGAGCGTGCTGTAATCCATGGCAGACAGCCTCACATGGGCCATAGTGGTGTGAAGTGGGGCAGGGGGGAGCACAGGGTGTTTGTGGTTGGGGCGAGGGGGCATGGCTGGGATAGTGATGCAGGAGGAAAAGGTCAGGCAATGTAAAGTATTTGTTGTGCTGATGCAGGGAGAGGACAGCTGCTCAGACAGATCAGATGCAGCTCCAGCTCCAAGCGCGTCTAAGGCTGAGATGGGGTCAACTTTTTATAGCCCCCTCCCCCTCGGCTTTTTCCTAAACGGGCACTGCCATCCTGAGCACTGTGCACGCTCGCTACACAAACAAATCAAATATCATGATCCTGGAGGGACAATGAAAAGTTTAAGTTGAACTACTATTGAACTACTATTACACTATCACCACTTTAAAACTATTCTCTTTTTTATCTTTTGCAGATATCTTTATTGATGATTTTGTCAACTTGCTTGGCAGTAGAAGCAGTTTGGACCCCTGGACTTCTCCTTGCACTGCACATTTGGAATCCCCATTGACAGACACAGACTGGTGTGTTCATTTGTTCCATTTTGACAATATCTGTTTTCATCGTAGCACTTTGCAGGTTATAAAGTCAGCCAGGGGCCTGAGCTGATGCTGGACACTTTAGCTTTATTTTCTGCCTTATGATACTTTCCATAAATCTGCTGCTTAATTTGATAGTAGTGGAAATGTTGTTTTGTGCAATTCAAAAGGAAACAAGACACTTATATAAGTAATATATATGTAATATATATCTGAATCCAGTTTGGTAGATTGTTTTAGAAATGTGACTCAATAAAAATATTTTGTCTAAATTAGTGCACAGATCTTTGGTTGTGCAACCTTTCTTGGTTTGGTATGAACACAAGAGCTATTCTTAGCCCTCGCTTGATCTAAGTTTCAGCCCTCACCTCTGTTGATCAGTTGTGTTATTTTTTCAGTAGTTCAGGGACATCACATCCAACATAAATCACCCAGCCCCAAGTCATATGTGCACATGTGGATCTATACAGACAGGGGCAAGGGCTTGTAGCTGTGTAATCGCACGAAAGGTGTTACGCAAAAATAATGTCGTCTTTATGAACAGTTGGATGAGTAATGTAGTTTGTTTTTATCACTGGGACCATTTATTTGCACAAGTGTGATGTTAAAGGCAAGGTGACACACTGCATCACATTAAGGATCTGTGTATTTCAGTGAAAGTATCTGTGGTTTGCCCTGTTTTATCCCCACAAAGTGCTGATAATGAGCGCATCTCTCTGTGAGTGTGATAGTGCATGTTAGCGCACACTCCTGGTATGTTGCGGAGAGTTAGGAGATAGAGTAGAGCTGGACTCTTCCTCAGCTATGTACTTAGATCAGTATATCTAAGTAGTAATGTGGCTAATGAGCGGGAGCCAGCTGAGACATTTAGGGGATAACTTCCTCTATTAGTGTTGGTTTATTTTACACTTTTAGTGTAATGGCCCAGGAGTGGATGTGTGTGTGTCTGAATGTATCTGTGTTTGTGACATTGAGTTATGCCAGGCATTTCAACATTCTGTGAGCGTACAACGAGGAGTCATGTTACTTCACTGTGCATACGAAGGCTACATGTGTTGCGTGTGGCTGTACATTTAACACCATAGCAGCGTCACTTTTTCTGTCCAAAGAATAAACCCCTCCGCCTTTGCTTTGTATGTGGATTACTAGAAGTACACATTAACATAACTAACTCATTCTTATTGTTATCATGGGGTAATACCTGTCTCTTGTTTCCTTTTGAAGCTGCACTAAAACTCTGGGTCATTGTGTTTTGACTTAATAATGTCAGCATCCATCACAGGACCCCGTGTGCCGCTGCTGTGTTAGCATGTGTCAAACTAAATACTTAAAGCTATTTGGAGCTGCAGGCCAGTCCAGATACCTTATTTATTATGCACATGTTATTGCTCTGTCATTACAGAGGAAATACACAGTTATGTATCATGTGAATACATAACTCGGTGGGAGATAGATTGGACATAGTTTACTCAATGTTGGGAGCAAAACTTGAAATTGCAACTTTTAATGCATCTTAAATTAATTCTTTAATATTTGTATAATGAATGTACTTAAATATTTACCAAAATTTATAACAGTTGTACCTATTTAATTGCCTAAAATCTTTTTAAAAATAGGGTATCATATCATTATACACTTTTACAGAACGTTTATTTCACAGTTTATCTGAAACAGTGGAACAGCCTGGTTTTCTAAGCAAATAATGCATTTCAAACTCAAATGTATTTATATGTCTTGAAAACAAGCCAGTTCTCCCCAACATTTTAATAGTCTTTTCATAGTCCTACCCATTTTTGTCTTAACATAAGACAAATTAGATAAATTGGTCTAAGGAAAATTATTAACATCAAGGTTCAAACTGGGCAAACATGGGTTATAAACTGAGGCTTGCCAGTAAAGATGGTCAGTGAAAGTGAGATAGTGCAAGTTAAGTGCATGTGAAATGATTTGGGGCGGTCCTTGTGTTACGATGGCACATTATCTCTTTGGTGTAACCTGAAAGAGTTTAACCCCCGTAAAGACAGTGATCAGGAAAGAGGAAAGAGGAAAGGTAGAGCTGTGTGTGCTCTCACTCACACACTTTGAAGTAATGGAAATGATGTATGGGTGTAATGTAGACTGACTTGCCTACATAAGTCTGCAATAAATTCATGACGCAAGCCACTCCACTCTTTAATGGTCTTTTTTTCTGCTTTCTTGTGAAACTTATAGACCCACACCCTGCAAGATTGGAAAATGAAATGTATAATAAAAGTAGATATAGGCTATTCTTCTTTTATAGAGCTCCAGTCCTGGCACAGCTCATTTTTTATTAATTGCAAGGATTTATTTTATTTATGAAGTTTGATTGTTTAATTGATTCCAAGCATAAACCCATAAATAAGTTTTGTTTTGTTTTGTTTTTTATTAAAGGTGTAACTTTTCTGGTGAAGGGTCTGTCTAATCCTACATGGAGATGTCATTGCTTTGTCTGGAATGTTTCACAGTATGTCATTAAACCTTTTTCTATCTTCATGGAGACCAAACAAGTTACAGCTCAGATTTGTGGAGAGGCAACCCCACTCACATTCAGAATACCTGTTTTTATACATATAGTTGAGCTATAAAACCACCTGTAATTTAATAAAAGTAAGGTAGAGCTGTTTAAAGTCATATTGTGGAACATTTCAGGCAGACCATTCCATGAAATGAAGCAGGTGATGGATCCTAAACCAAAAAGTTACATTGCACTATTAAATTTGCCAACCGAGGATTTATTCAGCCCTCACAAATGTGTTTATTATTAATTGTATAACATAGGAAACTTTAAATCAAATTCATAGCTACAGAATTTCCCCTTTAACGCTCTAACCGAGTATTCACAAACTCATCTGAAAAAGAGATGCGCAGGCGAATGGAAATTAAGCAGATTTATGCCAACAGAAGGGGACATTTGGCATGTGCTAGTGTGTGAGGTTAGTTTTCTGGTGACACTGAAACACCACCCGGGCCCAGGGCTTAAGTTTAACCTGACAGTTTGTGGCGCTGTTTACTGGGTTGCCGTGGCAGCGCGAGACTGGCAGACACTAGTTTGCCCCCAGCTGCTCTCTGTGGTTTCTGAAGAATCTGCATTAAGAGCCAGTTGTTGTGTTTGGATGGCAGGGGGCTCTGATGTCACAGCCACGACACAAGACCTGGCCAGACTTAAGGACTTACCCAAGTGTGGGGAGCTTAGCACTACGGCTATCATAATGCAAACTTCCCATACATGTGAGATAAAATAAACACACTAAAGCTAGACAGAGCTGTGCCCATATATTTAGTGTTATTTAGTGTGTATATTTATAGAATTATACCTCCTGTTTTTCCAGTGCACATTTATTGTCAACCAATTTAAAATCTTAAAAGATTTTACACAAATGTTATTACCTCATCAAAAGCATACCTGGAGTTGTGTTTTGTTTCATTCACACGTTCATTACATTTGCTTAATCCTAGTTTATTAATCTGTCTACATCTCCAAAATTCAAAATGCTCCCTGCCACCGTGCAATGTCATGCAGTGGTAGTTTTCAAGTTAACAGCTCCTTTTACCTAGCCACGCTAGTGCCACCTAGTGCCTCCTCTCAGTCTCATTTCTCTCCAGCGACTAGGTCAGGAATCGGGAATACCCTAGACGGTTTGCAAGAACCCCGGAAGTGCGAGTCTGAGCATTAGCCAATCAGCGAAGAGCCATACATGTTGGGAACAATTTCCGAGATCGAGGATTTAAAGCCGGAACAAAGAGAATGTTCGGTGAATTTTATCAAGGGGAAAGACGTTATTGCCCTTCTTCCTACAGGATTTGGGAAAAGCTTAATATACCAGTTAGCCTCGTTAGCGACGCATTTCATACGTCATGACCAAATAGCAGCAATTGGTTAAATAAAGAAAAGTACCCGCCTACTATCAAGGGAATGAATCCTAATGCTGCGAGGTCAGACGGTTTCCATGAAGTGAAACCGGCCTTTAGTTCAGAAGAAATTGGCAATTTCACTGGTGAAATCATCCAACTGATTCTATTGACAGTGTTTGGAGTTTAGAAACACAGTGGAGCTTCTTGTAACTTGACATCACAAGGTGGAACAGTTCATTTAGAATTTTGGAGATGTAGACAGACTAATCCAGGATTACTCAAACATGTGTGAATGAAACAGAACACAACAGCGGGTATGCATTTTGAGATCTGTTTGGGAGAAAAAGTTAAAGAAAATAGTGTAATCTGGGCCCTTTAACTAATAGTTATTACATCGCTACCTTAAATTGAATAAGCTTACAACTGTAAGCAGTACTCAAACAGTTTACTCAACCTGTGCAGTTGTAGCAGAAGATATTTTCAAGTGTTGATGAGAAAACAAAATTTTGCATGAAAACAAGTAAAATGGACAAAATGTTTTTAATAGTAAACCCATAATCCCAAAGAGTTTCCCAAAGAGTGGAAACAAAAAATATTTCTCATCACAGGGAATATCTTATTTTAAGGATGGAAAAGGTAATTACAGTGTTATTTCTGGCAAATACAGAAGGAACTGCTTGTGTTTTTCATAAATATTAAAAAAACATAAAATAATTCCTGATCTTCCCAGGAATGTAAACTTTGTTTGTGTTTAAAAAAAAAAACATTCACTATTTTGTTTGGTGTTGAGGTGAGAGCAGCCCCTGAACTGTGAATAATGAGTCCATATTGTGATAACCTAATGAGTCAATAGTCCTCTACCAGCTGGAGTCAAACACCTTCTTGCACATATTTGAGTTTTCCTGATGTAGAGGAAACTCCGAACCAGGAACTATATACTTCTTGCTCTTCTGTGACATGGCATTTCTCCCTGATGGTAAACTGTCATATTTGGCCTGATGTTCACTGAAAAAATAAAACACAAAAATTAGATCAGAAACAAAATAATAAAGAGAAATACAAAAACTAAAAAAGTCTGAACCTGATTGGAAACGTGGCTTTGTCCATCTGTATGCAAACCAGGAAGGGATATTCCGAGAACTGGACAGTGGTGATGAAGTCCAAAGAGGCCTCTGTGTCAAAGCTGACCTCAACTCCTGTTTTTAGGAAGTCCATGTCCACAGTAACATTTCCAGATACAACCAGTGCTCCCCTGAAAACAAAACAGGTGAATGTTAAACAATAAGAATTATGGTCAGCTATTGTGGCATTCAAATAAGATAAATAAGATGATTTCAAATGATTTCAAAAAGTCATGTTTGAGATGTTACATATTCTCAGCTATATATTTTAAAAAAAATAAAAAATCTCAGTCATCTTCAGCAACATCCGCCAAATTAAGATTCCCTATGAACATTTTCAACTTTCCTTTCCTAATGAATGTCATCATTTCAAGGGAAAAAAACTATGGTCATCTGTTTGATCCAATGCACCAACTTGAACTTACAAGTTTGTTTTTCCCCCCAGAATATTGTAGTTGTTCTGTTTGCTTGTAAAAAAACACACACACACACATTAATCATAATTATTCTCAGCTATATTTAATTCAAAGCAAGTGGATTAATCTGTTCAGTGGTTTTATCGACAATCTGTATACAATTTAAATGTAAATGTGTCCTTTTAAAGGTTTTTGTTCATGTCTATAAACATTTTTGGAATTTATCACGAGACTAAAACTACACACAGCAGTATGTGGGTGTCAATTTATGTGAAATTGACTGTATTTTGGCAGAATAATATGAATACATTTGCATAATCTAAAAGCAAGGCAATAACCTATTTAGTATTGATACTTTGCAGTGACATTATACTGGGGGTGTTCTACATGTATCAGTGGAATGTTCAGCATACAATGGTGTCACAAAGCACACATTACTAGTGGCTGTAATTTTATGTGTGAGACACTTGTTGGTGAAAAGCAGGTGATGTGCCCTTCATCAGAAAAAGCACCTGTAATTTTCAAAAAAACATATATACAATGGTCACCACTAAGAGCCAGTAAGCCTCTATAAGATCTATAACAGCTTCTGCCAACTGTGGGACAAAACAACCTTTGAAACTGTACATTTAAAAGCATTTAGAGGTCCCTGTATTTTCTACTTTCAGATAAGATAAGGTAATCCTTTACTGTCTTTTGTATATAGAAAGCCAGATAAATGTCTAGGTAAAATGTGCTTGTATTGTATTAGTCTAAAGTAGAACCACAGGGCAGTATAAAGTCAGAAAATGTTCCGCAGTGCTGTTTAAAGCCAGTTTCATCACCAGATGCTGTGAGATATTTGACACCTGGATGATGACGTGCTCCATTTTCAGCAGCTACTGTTGTGTATTCACTGTAAAGGTTTAAAATAGAAGACCAGACAGAACTGACGTCACATTCCCTCGAACCTAGCATAGAGAGGGGCCTTAAGCACAGCCCTGGAGCGTGTCCAACATGCCACTGGAACAAATGAATCAGACAATACTTATAGGCTCTCTGAAGTTCACATAAACCCAGCATCAACACATGTCTATTTGTAGTTGAGTGACAGACCTACTCTTGTTTTCTACAAACCGCTTGTCCATCAAAACAGGCTTAAAGCAAGTTTCACCTTGACATGACACAAAAGGCAGACACAATAATATGTAAAGCTGCAGGGTGTGACCTACAGACATAGTTTCAGGGTCGATTCATACTTGCATGACCACCACATCAAAACTGGGCCTAAACTGGGACTTATAGGTGCACTGTGTAAATTTTCCGATGGAGGGTCCATTTCTTGTTTATCTCTATCGAAATGTTATTGCTTTGCCAAAAATGTTCCACAGTAAGGCATTATACTTTAACAAGCATGTCGCATCAAATTATAGGTCAGATCTGTGGACAGATGACCCCGCTCACAATGAGAATTAATGTTTTTCGGATATTAAAACACCTGCAATAGAATAATAAATGCAAGATACCTGGAACATTGCTGGTAAAACAATGGACACAAACCAATGGGGGGATGTCAATCAGAAAAAGTTACATAATGCACCTTTAACATGGAAAAAACAGAGCTAGACTAGGACTAAACTAGAGCTAGACTGGAACTAATACAGGACTAGACCAGGACCCAACCAAATCTACTAAACTCAAACTGGTCCAAAACCAAACCAAGA